ACGGTATAATGTTTTATTTAAGTTTATATAGTATTATAATAAATAAATTATAAACCTTCATTATAGAATATATTATAATAAAAATGCTGTTATATATGTTATATAATGCTGTTATATATGTATTAAACAAATTTTAGTTCGATATAGTTTTTGGTGAAGCCGCGCCAAGATTTTATGAACAGTTAAACCTACGCGTAAGTTGCAAGTGCGTTTTGCATCGCGCGCTGCGCGCACGATTGTTGAAACCTACGTGTAAGTTAAAAGTGCGTAAGCTGCACGCACGGTTATTAAAACTTACGCGTAATTGGGTTTTAATAACCGTGTGTGCAGCTTACGCGCTTTTAATTTACGCGTGGGTTTTAATTACAAAAATATCAATAATTTATCAAATTAACCAAAGCTATTGGTTATTATGCATAATAACCGGTTGTTATGCATAGTAACTGGATTTATCACTTTAACCGTAACATATACAACAACACAATAAATAGATAGACAGACAGAGATTGAACGAGAGAGAACTGCAGATTCATAAAGTGTCTATGATTACTAGTCGGATGATAACGGATCGTGAATGCCGAGCGCGAAATTCCGACTTCTTATTCCCGGAAAATTCGTCAAACGTCAAACGAGGGGCAAAAAGTGTCGTCGCTCGCGAGCCGATCAACACAATCGGCGCGATATAAACATTGCGGGCCTCGGCGGCGGTTGAAGCAAGAGAGACTCCCCCTTGGGCATCTTTTCTTTTCTCGAAGGTTCCGAGACAACGAGGGGAATGCGAGGAGGCCTTTCAACTGTACGCGACATTCATTTACTACTTATTGATTACTGAAAATAAAGAAAATTATTCTGTCGAAGCATCGGATATCTGTTAGCTTTATATTAATTAAAGAGGAATGTGTACGATTAGAAAATATGTTAGCAACTAATTGTACAGAATGTCAAAGTTATTGTAACGCCGTTTTCGGAGAATAACACAGCCACACAAAAAAAAAGTGTCTTGATCTGGGGACGAGACATATGTATTCCTATGTATTTTGACGCGCTGAATCCAAATCCGCTATCAGAATTGGCCCAAAGGGTCTTGGTTCAACCCTAACCTCAAAAAACACCTAAAAATCACAGAAATATGCGAGAAAATTGTGATATACTGCCTGACAGGCAAATTTTCACCTAAAAACCAATGTCTGCAGAGCCTTAACCTTACAATTAACCTGACCTGACCTAATCTAACCTAATCTAACCTAACCTCACCTCACGTAACCCAACCGAACCGATTGTACTCTACTGCTGGGCAGGCCAATTTTGACACAAAAACCATTGTCTGCGAAGCCTTAACCTACAAAAAATCTAACCTAACCTAACCTAACCTTTCTCAGTTGAAGTTGACATGACCGTCCATATGGTCAGCATATTCCTGTACGTTTTCGGAGTATTCGAGTTCAATTTTACGGTTTTGTGAAACTTACTTGTATCCCCAACCTCATGACCATTGAATCTTACTTTAAAAAATATCTCTGATTTCTCAAAATTGCTCATTTTGCAATTAAAATAAGGACACGTGCTCAAAATATGTATATATATGAGCATGACATTTCAAATGTTTCTCGCGTCGCAGTTTATGAACTCGGGGTCACAATTTATATTCTTTTTCATATTCAAATGAAATCTAACTTGTCATTCATATCAAATTAATTAACAAATTGTCTTCAATCTATTTTCTTTCTACTATACCGTGTTCTTTTTTCTTCGAAGGATCTATGCAAAGGGTTTCGCTTACGTTTCTTCCCTTTTATATTCGTTTCTCTTTTCAGCATTCAGCAAAAATTTTTGCTTACCTTTAAAAACTTTTAGAAAAAGCATCAAAGAAAATCACGTTGATGTTGTCATGGGTGAAATCTCACCCTGGTATATATTTTTTTATTTTCGAAATAAGAAAAGCCAAATGAATGCAATTAAATGTTATTTATCATCATTGAATATTAGATGAAAAGTAGAAGAGTTATTGTCCGCAGCGGATAATCTAATATTTAATAAAAACGAAACAAATTCGCATGGGATGAAATTCCACTCTTTAACGTTACTATGACCTTTAATTATTTTCCGAAAACGGCGTCACAACAACTTTAACACTCTGTACAATTAGTTACTAACACATTTTCTAATCGTACACATTTCTCTTTAATTAATATAAAGCTAACAAATGTCCGATGCTTCGACAGAGTAATTTTCTTTATTTTCAGTAATCAATAAATATATGTAGTAAATCAATGTTGCGTACAGTTGAAAGGCCTCCTCGCATTCCCCTCGTCGTTCCGGAACCTTCGAGAATAGAAGAGACGCCCAAGGGCAAGTATCTTTTGCTTCAACCGCCGCCGAGGCCGCAATGTTTACACCGCGCCGATTGTGTTGATCGGTTCGCGAGCGACGACACTTTTTGCCCTTCGTATTAATACTCGCGCGCCTCGTATATTCGATTTCATTCCATTAGCAGCAGTGGTGCGCGACGCGCTCATCACTTCCGTCTCGTGTAATTGAAAGAAATGTATCTCGTCGGTCCTCGAGATACTCAATCGGCATCGCGTCGGTATCGCGTTGATTAACCGCACGGTCAAATCGCGAGTATCGGCATATTAGAAGCGTGAGCGAGTGAAATCCGAAGGACTCCAGCAGCCGGGAAGCAGGATGCCGGCAGCGCTACGTCACGTTTCCAGGTATGTGGAATCATTTATTATGCGGGAGGTCTCCAATAACAAGAGCGGACGTTTGACGAATTTTCCAGGAATAAGAAGTCGGGATTTCGCGCTCGGCATTCACGATCCGTCATCATCCGACTAGTAATCATGACCTTATGAATCTGCAATTACTCTCGTCAATCTCTGTCTATCTATTTATTGCGTTGTTGTATAGAAGATATATTGATCCAGACAAAGACGGATAACGGTTCATGAACGCGGATCTCTAATTCATCATGTTCTCAATCAAACATTCTAAATAATTCCCAACTATGTGAATATACCGGTCTTGTGTAGAATATTCAACGTCATATCGCTTCTTAGACTACGACCTTTTTTGTTTTCAGTCAGCGCTTCTTTCTTTCAAGTCTGTTTACTCTCGTTACGGGATCTAAATTTAAATGTCCATTCGTAAAAGAGTATTTTCGAGAGCACATAATTGTTGTCTTCGCTTCTTGTTATCATTTTTTTTCGTTAGCTTTTTCAAGAGCTCCAAGTCCTATCTAGACTTTCAATGTCAATGAAGAAAAAAAACTGTAGCGAATATTCTCTACTCACCCTGACCAAACATTCTTTCTCTACCGCACACAAACTTTGGACAGCTTCTTGGTATGTGAAAAAATGTTTAACTGAAATGGTTCAGAAATTGGCAGAACTTCATTCATGTGAGAGAACGAATACCTGGCATTTTTACCATGACAATATTGAACTACATTCATCGCCATTAATTCACGAGTTTTTGGTAAACCATAGCTTAAAAGTGCTTGAGCATCCTTCTTACAGTCCTGACCTAGCACCTTGTGATTTTGGTTTTTTTCCATTAATGAAGAAAAAATTAAAAACACATGCCCAAAAATTTAATAGCGATAACGAGTTTTTAGCAACATGGGACCAGGAATGTGCAAACATATCGGTCGAAAGTTGGCAGCAAATTTTTAACAAGTGGTTTATTCGTATAACAAAGTGTAAAAATTATAATGGGGATTATATTGAAGGAAGATAAATAGTTACATCGCAAAAAATTTATCTGATGACCTATACTTGATATTTTGATGTCATTAATTAAAAAATGAAAAATAAAAACTCACTATTGATATAAAAGACATGAAATATTTTTTAGTTACTTCAAAAACAATGAAAGATATGAGTAAGCTCCAATATTTGACATAAAATGCTTGTCTTTATTGCTAAGTTTTCTTGTCTCAATATATAGATCTAATCATGCAAATAATAAAATTATTAATTGGCTATTCTATGGTGCTGACAATTCATTTACAGTGTGTGTGCGTGTGCGTGTGTGTGTGTGTGTGTAAACATCTTATAAATTATGCAATTAATATAAAATAACTTTTCTAATATATATTTTTCTTTAATGTATATTTTTATACACATAAACTGTTGCAAATGCATATGGCAGAGTTAAAGATAATAATATTATAATGGAAATAGAAATACAAACATCTCTGAGACTAATAACAGTAAGTTTTCTTATACAGGGTATTCATTTGAAAACTTTCCAGCTAATTATCTCGAAAATTATGAAAGATTAAAAAAAGCTAAACATGTGTTCCATGATTTCGAAGGGGAAAGAGAATGGCATTATCAGTTTTTTATTTGGAAGGCATTTTCGAGGTCAGTTGAAGGTCAACTTAATTTTATAAAATAGAAAGCCCAATTTTTTATTTCTTCTTTTTCTACCAATTATTGGACTACCAATTGGGGACTTGAATAAATTCTCGCTGTTTCCCGACAGATTGTGTTATCTTAGCCTTTTTGCATCAGGCAATACTACAGCCAACTTCATCGTGAAGCTCCACCATTAGGCTCGAACTGACAGTATATGTTATTCCGCCGAAGCGTAAACAACATATTTTTTCATACCGTTGAACATGTCGAATTTCGTGCCAAAAAAAGAGTATTTGCGGGGAATTTTACTGCATTACTTTTTAAAAAGAAAATCTGCAGCTGAAGCACATAGAATTCTTATGGAGACTTACGGCGACCATGCTCTGTCGGAAACAACATGCAGAGATTGGTTTAGACGCTTTAAAAATAATGATTTTGATGTTGAAGATAAAGAAAAAGTTCGGCGCACCGAAAAAGTTTGAAAACGAAGAATTGGAAGCATTACTTGATGAAGACTCATGTCAGACGCAAAATGAACTTGCAGAATCATTGCAGAAGTTGATCACATAACAGTTGCCAAACGTTTAAAAGCAAGGAAAAACGGCCGCAATACGAAGATAGACACGATAAAAAGTAATTTTGCAACATGACAATTATTTTAAACATAAGGATTTATGGTAGTATTGCAATGCATAGGAAACAATGTACATATGTACAAAATGTTACTAAACGAGACCAACAAAATAAAACTATAGAAATATTCATGTTTGTGTAAGTGAAAAATTTAGATAACTTTTCAATACTTCTATTTTATCACATTTTGAGTTTTCCTCAAGGAAATACGGATTATCATCTAAATTAGATGAAGTGCTCCGCTTGACATTACATGGGTCTACCTATACCGCGTCTTACAAGCTTCTTACTTGCTGGAGTCTGTGAAGTATCCTGAATGCTTTTTGGATTCTTGACAGTCTCGTCAATAGACAAAATGAGACACGCAGCCTTCGTAGCGGCGGTCAATACATTGATCTTGATTGTCGTGGGCTCCCAAATGCAATCGTATATATTTGTTACGACAGTCTCCGAATTTATGTCGACACCGTACCAAGACATGCCCATAGCATGTTTCTGACGTAATTTATTTAAAATATTTGTCGCGTCGAATCCAGCGTTATCACAAAGTTGTCTGCAGAAATTGATATATCTCATTAATATTATATCAACTTAGTAGAAGAAAAATTCGTATATACTGACTATATGGAAAATATCTAATTCACATCTACTACTTGCACACACAGATTAACATAATAGTCTTAACATTCAGTTCAACAAGGTTACTAATATTTTTTAATCACACAAATTCCTTTTTAGACATTAATATAAAGCTACCACTGTGACAAATGTACTGCTTTGATAGAATTAGTCCTTCTACTTTGAATAATCAATCAATGATAAATCAATACCGCAATTAAGAAATCCCAATAATTTATTTGCACAAAATGTTAAAGCTATTATGCCGATCACTGTACATGATGCAATATTTTTTATAGAAATCTCAATCGAAATGTTGTGAAATGTTTATTCTTTTGCGCGAGGCTTAAAGCCTGATTCCTCGTCATAACGTTTAGAATTTTTGCAAATTGTATTCAAATAGAAAGATATGTCTGAGAAATGGCACGTAATGGATTAAGCATATTTACAGTATATTCTGGAAACTTTCTTTTTGTCCTAATAATTAATAGCTGTAAAATTATATTATCTGTGACATGTAGTTTATCTTTTAACTTTTAACATCGCTTTAATTACTTTAAATTGTCACATTAATTCTGACTATTTATTGATTATTGGAGCAAAGTTCATGGATTATTCTGCAAATTTGCTCAATCAATCGTGTCAGTAGTTTATGATCGTACATTTTTATTTTATATTTTGTAAGAATTTCTCGGACACATTTCTTCTCGCATTTAACGTCATTGATCTAAGTGATAACGGCAAAGGAATAAAAACCTCAGGTTTCACAGAAAAACAAGGGAATGACGTGTCAAATACCGAACTTAAATTAGTTTACACATTGTATACCTCGGAATAACCTCATAGGCTTTCGCTATCGCCATTATCAAGAACTGCTCCTTTCCCACGATGTTACGAGAATAATCGCGTAAAATCTTTGAGAGTTCCATTTCAATAGCACCACCTCCACCGACTACTGCATTATTTTTTATCATGCGTCTGACGACCATGATGGCATCGTGAAGGGATCTTTCTGTTTCGTCGAGAAATTGTTTGGTACCTCCGCGTAAAATGAATGTACAAGTTTTTGTTCCTGAACATTCGTACAAGATATTGAATCTGAAAAGACACATGAATGTCACAAAAAGAAAATTATTACATCTAATCCCAGTCAGCACAGATCTCCAAAAGACGTCCTAAGGATGTTTCCTGGATACCCGCAGGACGTCCTTTGGAGGTTTTGTGCTATCTAGGATCTAACACATTGGCTGTGCCATGCTGATCTTCATGGATATTTCAAAGGCTAACTGAAGTCTCTGAATAATCAAAGTTACGATGAATATACACATTTCCTGAGGCCATATTCTGTATTTAACATATAGCAAATGCTAAAGATGTCTTCCAGATTTTCAAGCTGAAACAATGTTGTACACGAGGCTTATATAACAAAAAAAAGTTATTTAGAATTAAAAGAACATACGTATTTGCTATGAGGCCATAATATATCAAGGCTTTAGCTCTTGATGCGTACATTTATTAGCTAATTTTATTAGCATTCTATCAACTGCGTACCTCGATCGCTAGGCGCAATTAATTACGTTTTACGCTTAAATTAATAAGACGCAATAAAGTTATGGTTACACTATAAATAAATATATAGATTATATCGGTGACTACCATGACAGTCAACGTGTTAATACATGTTGTCCAATTTTAAATCCTCCAGGCAAATATCTCAAAAAATATGGAAGATACGGAAAAATGTTTCAGACAAAAGTTGTATGGTTTCAAGGGGGACATAAAACAACTTAATCAATTTGTTTACAGATGGTGCCATTTTCCAGATATTCACTGATCATTACTTTTCTTAAATGAAAACCCCAATTTCTTATTACACCATCTTTTTCTATCAATTAATTTGAATAATTTTGTCTGAAACATTTTTCTATTTACTTAATATCTTTTGAAATATTTAAGGAAAACTTAGTAACTTTTTCAATATTTCACTTACGATATCTCGCTATTTGTCGGAAGAAAAAATAGTACTAGACTTTTTTTTCTATTTGATCTCAAGAATATATTGTTACAATAGTGCCCTAACTTTTGTTAACTTATCGACTTTTAGAAATTTCAAAATCATCAAATTAACAAAAATCAGGATGCTATTGTAACAATATATTCTTGAGACTAAATATAGTAAAAAAGTCTAGTACCATTTTTTTTCGACAATAAATTAGTAAGATATTGTTAAATTAAATATTGAAAAAGTTACCAAGTTTTCCTTAAATATCTCACAAAAATATTAGGCAAATAAAAAAATGTTTTAGACAAAAGTTATTCAAATTAATTGATAGAAAAAGATGATATAATAAAAAATTAGGATCCCATTTAAGAAAAGTAACGATCAGTGAATATCTCGAAAGTGGCGTTATCTGTAAACAAACTGATACAGTTGTTTTATGTCCTCCTTAAGGGGATTGGAGGGTCAGATTACTGAAAAACCGTGCTTGTTTTTGATAATATTTTGTGACGAACTGAATAAATGTGCAAGAATGAAAATTTTTGATACATTTATATAACATATGAAGAGTAGAACAATTTTGCTTATTAACAAATATTCATATAAATATACGTCCACTTAAATTTTAAAAGTGTTTTTCTCGAAATTTTATCGTTCAACTTTCTGCAGAAGTGATTTCTCCGAAACTGAGCTTCATATTGATTTGAAATTTTAAACCAATAATATTTGTTTATCTGGCTCTCAGGTGAATCATGGTCAACTCCGTCAAAATATTTCATTTCGAGATATTAATCTTTTTATTATAAAAGAACTGAAAAATTTGAGTTTTTTCCTAATAATAGCTGCCATTTTGTTAATTTGTTCAATTTTTTTTATAGTGCTTCACCGGATAGTGATAAGCCTTCTTAAGATTTCTAGCTAAAATTCGCTCTGATCGGACCACCGAGAGCTGAGATATTACTGCAAAAACGACAACTTGAAAAAAAAAGGAGAGTATATTTCAGCTATATATATCGTATATTTATGAGTATCTGTTAATAAACAAAATTTTTCTACTCTTTATATATTGTATAAATATACCTAAAATTTTCATTCTTGCACATTTATTCAGTTCATCGCAAAAACAAGCACAATTTTTCAGCAATCTGACCCTCCAGTCGCCTTAAAACCATGCAACTTTAATCTAAAATATTTTTCCATATCTTCCATATTTTTCGAGATATTTGCCTAGAGGATTTAAAATGGGACACCCTGTATAATTTCATTATTAATATCTAGTGCTCTAATATGTAGGCTAGACCATGCACAGCTTAATATTCTGAAAAATGTGCGATTAACTTCAATTCTCCGAGTCTCGAATTTTGTAAGTCCTAGTGGCCTTTAAATCTGTATTAGGATTTATTCTCGTTTACATATCTCGAAGGATAAAAAACAGTAGTAGATTGAATAGTAGATTGAAAATTTCAAATGGATGAATCTTAGTAGACATGAAGACATCGTTATTGATTTAACTTCTCTTTGTGCCACTTTTTGGGATAAAGACATGTACATACTCCATGATTCAGGAAATTTGCTTATATAAAAAATTGTTATACAAAATGTCTTATGACAGCATAAATTTCTCATGTATGTGTACATTAGATCAAACTGACTAAAAAATTTTTTCCACCATTTTGCAAGCCACATAAAATTTTGAGTTATTAGTTAATGATGATTAGCGGATGATCATGTGCAGTGATGTACCAGAGATGTCCTTTAATTAATAACTAAATCTGTGTAGTTATTTGCAAAATGGTATAGGATTTTCTTATTCAGTTTGACCTAATCTACCTGCACGAGAGATTTATATCACACCCTGTATATGTCAAGTAAAACTCTTAACATTCTCTAATCATGGTTCATTCACTTTGTTCAAGTGTCATCAACTGTTGAAAATTGCTGGATTTGTTCTTTTATAAGTTTCTTTACTATTCTGAATTATTTATTACCTCTCATTACCAATCTGCTTTTCTTCAAAGATCTTGCACATTCCAAGATCAGAATCCTTAATGTCATGTACTGTCACCAAAATAGCACCACCATAAGCCTTCAAAGTCCTTTTGAGATCTTCATCTTGAACTCTACCGGCGCAGAACATGTCTTTGTCTGCAAAATACTGCGTCGCGACATCGCCGATCGGCAACTGCGACAGCACGATCTTCGCACCACTTTTATAAATCCGGTCAAGTTTGTCGTAAAGTATCTTCCACTCCGCGTCGACGATTTTCTGATATTCTACTACATTATCCACGCGCACTTCCGCATTATTCTTCTCAGCCTTCAGTTCCAATTCAATGTTCAACAATGCGATCTTACACGAATAGTACCTCTTTGGTTGCATTTCGAATCCGGCATATGAGAAAGTCTTTTTGAAAGCGATTCCTTCTATTAGTTCTGAATTTTCTAATGCACCTCCGGAAACCTAGATTTGATGTTGTTCATATATCAAATCATTCGTAATATTTTATATTCTCGAAACATTCAATTTGGAGCTCGTATTATTACATACCTTCTTAATTCCTATCATGTTAAGAGGAAGCGAGTTGTCCAATGTTAGAACAGCTTTGACAACTAATTTACTGAAATAACTTTTCTGATGGTTTATTAGCTTTGAGCTCATTGATGTAGCTGCACACTTTTCCAGAAGCACAATCTGTTTGTTAAGATTGTTTTTATTTATTCGGACACTTAGTGCATTTATCTTGTCTATAGCAATTTGTAATGCGCGACGAAGAGCTTTAATAATTATATGCGAATGTACACCATCTTCTATAAATGGTTTCATTTGCTTCAAAAATTCTCCTGTTAACAATACAACAATGTGGTAACAATAAAACATGGTGGTACCATCTTCTGTCTATTGAATAGTAATATAAATTAAACTTCTGCATATAATATTAAATTATATCTATCCTATAACATTCCTTGTTTAATATTGATTTATTTTATTTTATATTGCAGTAGAGCATTTTTATATAATCTAATTAAATATCTTATAAAATTATCCTGTATATAGTATAGGTTTTAAATATATTGTCTTCTAAATTAAGCAATGATAAGTAATTTGTCACCTTGTTGAGTCTTCAGAAAAGATGTAACATAATGTTAAAAGCAAGGAATATAATATAATATAGTTACTCACTTCTGCATCTTGTGATTTTGCGATATCTACTAAAATCTTTGCAGCTGGATGAATAACATCTAACATCTTCAAGATAGTGGCACCGTCATTAGAGATTGTGCTTTTCTCATTTTCACAGACTATAAGTTTATCCATGCCATGAGGACCTAAAGTAGTCCTAATAGCATTCACAACAACTTGACATGCATTTATATTGGATATTAAATGTTCTTTTCCCTGGGATTTATCTGTGCCTTCTTTCAATAGAATTATGTGAGGTTGCTATGAAATTAACAGGAAGATTATGACAAAAAAAATATATATATATATATTTATTCTTAAGTAGTTATAAGAAAATTTGTAAAGCAAAATATACTTTTGCATATTTCCCCATTTATAAAGTCTGTGATATTTATATATAGTTGACGTTCAAATAATTATAAAACTGAGGTAAAACTGATGGGTATCTGGATTTCAAATAAATGAGAATCGAAATTAAAAGTCTACATCACTAAGTTCAAGATGAAGACGATGAAATTAAAGATTTTTTAAATATGCTATAAATACATTATAAGATTATCATGAAAAAGTCTAAATATTCGATTGTTTCTCGCTTTATTTTATTTGTTTGATGAAATCATTTGTATCAATATCGATATAATAACGTCTAAATACTGTTCACGCACGTTTACTGTGATATGACACAAAAACATGTACACAAAATATTATTCTTGAATAATATTGTCAAAATATAAGAAATACCAAATAAAACGTGTTAAATAAATAATTTATTGACAATTAGTTCTCTATATTTTAATATTTACCATTTTTAATTTCCTATTTGTAGAATATCCACGATTTCAAAAAATTCTGCTTCTCTTTCTTACATCAGGTCATTTGTACCGTTTGTACTTCTCACTAAAGGCTCGTCTACAATAGCTGTAAGAGTTAAGGCCTATCCAGACAAACTTGCATAAGCGCGTAACGCATATGCATAAGGAAATTGACCAATTATGATCCGTGTAGTAAAAAAATATTTTTTGTATTAAACATACGATTAGTCAATTTCCTTATGCATATGCGTTACGCGCTTATGCAAGTTTGTCTGGATAGGCCTTTAGGGCCAGAGCACAGACTTCTGCATAACGCATAATATACACGCATAAGAGAATCAACAAATCAGAGTTCTTCATTTCTGTCCTGAGGAAGGAAATGAAGAAAACTAATTGGTTTATTCTCTTATGCGTTATGTATTAGGAATACAAATAAGTTTCTGCCGTTTGACAAAAGATGGCCCCACCAGAAGGTTATGTTTGGTGCAAGCATTAGAATTTGAACTGCCAAGGCTCGTTCGAATTCACGACTTTTTCTTAAACATTCTATATGAACTTTTCGCAAACTATAATTATAGGTTCGACATGTATTCAGATATTTGAATTGTTGCAAAAGTCAGTTACTACATATTATATATTTACCTATTTGTAAGACCTTGCATTCTGGATATTGCTACACTAAATTGCTGCGTGTCTACTATATTATGCGTGACATTTTAAGGGGATACAATATATTTTGTACCATTGTTAAACCTTATTCTTATCATACAAACAAAATCGATACAAAATGAAATATTTTTGTTTGATATATTATATTCTAGTTTTCTATTATTATTACAGCACGTATTTGCCGCATAAACTACTCGAGGCAAGTTATATACTCTCGTTTATAGTTAATAAATTATATTTTATCACGTCGAAATTTTAAACATTTAAAATTAATATGTTATATATATGTGTGTGCATTTTTTGCTTTTGTATAAACATACTAAAAAGGAATTCTCTATTTAACAGATGACTAGCTCAAAAGAGTTATTTCCGGCACTTCCGATGGTCTTCCATATCGTGTCCTCGAGGGTAACTGTTGAGTTCAGCGTTGAAAATTTATATTAATGTAAGTTTTTACAATCGTATATCTATTAAATACATAATAAGGATATATATTTTTATAACTCTGGTTACTTCTCTCTAAAATATATATGTATATATATGTAACAATTTATATGGTAAAACTCTTTAGATTATATCACATTTACATCATTAGAGAGAGGTTATAATCTAGATCCATTTTTATTATAAAAGTTTTGTTACATATTTTGAAACATTCTTTTATAACTTCTTACTACCTTGGAAACACGATACTATTGATATTCATCAATTTTTCAATAAGTTATTTTTTATATTCTTAGTAACAATTTCTCAGCAATTTCTCAATCTGTTAATAGTCTAGATTCAATCAAGATATTGACTTTTTTTATAATGACGTAGAGTTATGACTAGAGAGTCGTGAATATATTTACAAAATATTTAACATTTATATATAAATAAATACTATATTTATGTATAAGTAAACAATGTTCTGGTGGGGATCTTTGAATCTGTTTGATAATTATCATGTAAAGTTTAATGAATACAAAATAAGACTGTTGATAACTATTGGTAATATTAATAGATATTGGATATCAACTATGGGGAAGCGCAATAATATGATCCCGAATGGTCATTTTCATAAGGATTGGCAACGTTTTGTCAAAACCTGGTTCAATCAACCTGCTAGAAAAATACGTCGCCATAAAAGTCGTATTAAAAAAGCAAGAGCTGTTGCTCCCAGGTATGTGAAATAATTTTAGTATGTTTATAATTCATATTTTCTTATAGATCTGTATCGTAAGTTCACTAACACGCTGACAATACATATATTTAAACTGTTTTACATATAAATATAAAATTCCTATATTTGTTTCTAATTAAATATTCTTAAACATATTTTAGGCCAGTAGGTCTTTTAAGACCCGTAGTTCATTGCCCGACATTCCGCTACCACACTAAAGTTCGTGCTGGTAGAGGATTTACTCTGGCTGAGCTGAAAGCTAGTGGTTTCAATAAAAGATTTGCCAGAACAGTCGGTATCGCGGTTGATCCACGTCGCCGTAATAAATCTGTTGAATCCCTTCAAACAAATGCACAACGTTTGAAAGAATATAGAGCCAAGTTGATCCTCTTTCCAACGAATGAAAAGAAAGTATGTCAATGATATTTATAAATTGCTTTCGTTTAATGTTTGTGATTATACTATATCTAGAATAGTGTTTAGCATAATTTGATGTTCTGTATGGTAGGTGTGTTTTTAAAGTTATTAATTATTTTTAATGTTTCAGCCTAAACCTGGTGATGCAACTGAAGAAGAAGGGAGATTGGCAACTCAGTTGAAAACAGACCCGATGCCAATAAGGCATCAAGCTCCTGCTAAAGCTAAAGCCCGTACTGTAACAGATGAAGAAACTAAATTCTCTGCATATGTGGCTCTTCGCAAAGCAAGGGCAGATGCACGTTTAATAGGGGTTCGTGCGAAGCGAGTTAAGGATGCTGCTGAAAACCCTGATGACTTGACTAGACTTGCTAAGGACAGAAAGCCTAAAAAATAATCTTCATGATCTGTTTTCTGTTCTGTTTTCAAATATAGAATATAGAAGTACTTACAAATATATTTAATGTGAGTTTATAATCCATATCGATATCTGGTCATTCCTGTTCCAATAAATCTTTATCCAAATTTACTTTTTTTTATCTATAAGATGATGCTTTGCGGAGCAGAAAATAGCCCACAATTCGGAGGCAAAGTGTGGAATGAAAGGTGCAAGCCAGTTGAAATTGGTCACGTTCAGTAGAACAAAGTGATCAGAGAGCGCTTAGTGATTATTGTCTGTGATTGGAGCATTCTTTTAGATTTTTCATAGACCCAGGAGTATTTACCATCACAATCAGGAGCGAGATTCAGTGGAAAATCTAGTAATGTTGTCTAACTGTTGAGTCTGCTGAATGCAGCCATTGGCTTTTTCTTAGAGGACGCAACGGAATTCGGCGGAAAAAGTGTCCCAGCGTAATCGGCCCAGCCGCTCTCAGGTTTCTCTCTGCTGAAACTAAAAGGATAAGTTTTTTAATCCAGCATAAATTCATTGCATTTTTATTGGACAAACGACAATATGGCGTCTTTGATGGATATTTGATAACATATTTTTAAAAACGGTTTGATGAATAGATTCAACTAAAGTAAATAATACATACATATACTTGATTGGTTAACATCAACAATTTAATATTTATATGTACATATAATTCTGAAACCTAGATTTTACGTCTTTTTACATATTTTTTCAACCTAATCTAACTTAATATGTAAATGACATATTTTTTAAGTTTCCCCGATGGATTATCACTATTAGAATCACAATAAAGATTTTTATCAAAAAAATTGCAAGAAAATATCAAAATTCGGAAAAAGTCTTATTCCAAATAATCGCCCATTTTTTAAATTAAATTATAATTTAGTAAAATTTCCATGTTATTAATCACGCACAACCATTATTATTTTTAGATTAAGAAATTACCTCCACCATGTTCAATTAGAAATTTCACAGGTTCATCGACAAAATGAGTCGGTGGATATATGATGGATTCAACGTTATAAATAAAAACACATTGATATGTACTTCATCAATAAATAAAAGAACGTTTCACTGCATTTGCGCTTCACACGATGGATCAATTGATGAATTAAGAAATTCACCGAATTCACATATTCACGTATACGTTACTGAATTTCGTCGCGCATGCGCGTGCAGCCGCTCCAACATCGCAACACACTGCGTCCGCCTGTGTCCGTCTTACAACGCTGGTATCATGGCGTATTTTCAGGCGTGATTTACCTGAAAAAGTCTAATCTTAGAGGTTTGATCTATTGAAACCGCAACGATTGAAAAATAAAAATAAAGGTAATAGGATGGACAAGGTGTAACCCAGCTTGAACGTAATATCCGTATAAATAAGAGGGAAGACTTATCCTCGTAAAGCGCCCTTGATTATTGTACAGCAAACGATTATCCTTTCAAGGATGACTCCGTCGAGTACAACTGACCTCTACTCGTGTGAATAGATTGTCATTCTAGTCGATGCACGTCATTGATTCCATCGTGGTGGAATAAGAGAGACGAGTTTAGACGGCTCAAGGCGGTGTTTAGGCAAACATCCCTCCGAAGTGAGTTTGATAATAGAATTTCTACCTCCTTAGAGAGTATTGTGAAGTAACTCGAGCGATTGCTTTGACGTTTCATTTCTGTCACATAATTATCGTTTTACTCTTTTTCATCGTAGCGTGCGATGTTAGAAACACTACTCGGTATTGCGAGTCACACGAGAAACGTTTCACTTTCAGCGCTCTCTCATGTCGCATCGCTTCTCTCGCTTTCTTCTCGGGCGGAATGCATTTTATTTTCAACGTAGAAAGCGCATGAGAGAGACCGCAAGCAACAAGTGTCGTTGAGACCATTAGACCATTACGTAACGTGTCATAATCACAATTGTCATGATACACAATGCAACCCAGCTAGAATACTGCCCGTTCACCAATGGTTTATTTTCGAGCGTTACTATATTCGTGTGGATCTGGCCAATGATATTGTGCAATACGTCGCTCTGTCATCGCCCGGGAGGCACGAGGGAGAGATCGGGCCGGGTGTATTTTAGTCGTTTCCGCGCTTTTGCGTGCTGCGCCCGCTCGTCCTCGCACTCTGTGCTTCGCATATCCGGCGTCCTCTCGGACGACATATTGGGCAGCCGTCACGAGCACTTCTGCCCGTTCTGAGAGAAAGAGAGGGTTCTCAGGTCTTTCTGAAATTTCTCGTCTGACAACGCGAGAGCCGTCGGTCGTGATTGATTCGCAGGCACCTGAAGCTCTCTCTACTTCACGTGGCATTCGGAGAAAGTTCAAGGTGACGAGATGCCGAGACGTCGATGAGTCGCGCTGAGCGGCGCGCGCAGGCGCCGTGGGCGCGCCTCGCCGTTTACGGGCGAGTGAGAAATCGATACGTTTGAAATTTCGCTCACGGTTTTCACGCATCATCCCCCGCCGCGTTCGATCCGGCCCGGCGGCGTTCGTCGCAGCTTCGAGGTTCTTGGAAGTTTCTTCTCCTTGATTCGCTTTGCCACCGCCGCGAGCCTCGTTGGTCTCTTTCGCTTGTCGCGACCGGGAGATGTGACTTACGTATTCTCCGTTGCCTCTCAAATCGTCGGGATCTCAAACTCACACCTCGCATCTCATGCGGAAGGCTAAGAGGAACTATGAACGGGCACGTTACGTCAAAATAGTCGAGCGCGAGGTTTGTTAAGAAATGTAAAATGCTGACTCGAGGGCTCTCGGAAACGACGCATGATACGTTCAGAGTGCAAAGGTTTCTCCTTCTCCCTCGGGAGCATCGATCTTGAATCTTTAAAGAATTTTAAACGACCGCCATTTTCAGTCTAACCAGCGGTGCGCCGAGGGGAGAGCCACGCGGGAAAGATGAAAACGATCTGGGTGATTGGCGGGCCAGGATGCGGCAAGGGCACGCAGTGCGATCGTATGATCGAGAAATACGGACTCCTTCACCTGAGCAGCGGCGACTTGCTGCGGGCAGAAGTCGCCAGTGGTAGCGAGAGAGGCACCTCGCTCCAGGAGCTCATGTCCAAAGGATTATTTGTACCAACGGTATACAGTCCTGAGGAAAAAAAGAAGATACGCGTGAATTTTGTCCATGTATAATACATAATCGCCCAATCAGCAGAAAATGCTTTTTAACATTTTTTAGATATTTATTTTATTTATTTTAGATTATTTTATTTTAGATATTTTAGTTTATTTTAGATATTTTAGATATTTATTTTATATATTTTTACATTTCTTCTTCATTCATTCATTGTACAAAAAAATATTTAACGTTTATTCGTTTATTTTACATTAATTTTTCATTTAAGGTAATGGTTAAGAAAAAATATTTAACGTTTATTTATATTAATTTACATTTATTTTATATTAATTCTTCATTTGAAATGATGATTAAGAAAAAATATTTAATTAACGTTTATTTAATATTTTGATATTAATAACTTATTTAAAATTATTTTTAACGTTTTGAAAATGTTATTTAAATATATATTTTTTTAATATTTTTAAAAATATTTTTTAAATATTTTTTAAATATCTTTTTTCCAATTAGGTAATTTTATAGGGTGTTTAAAAAAAGGGTTCAGGATTTCAAGGGCAGATAATATTTACAAAATGGAGGAGAAAAATCCTGATAAATATGATGATAAATATGAGAAATTAATGTTATCGGAGTTATAAATAATTGTTTATTTTAATTGAAGCAAGTAACCTACTCACTTATACTTCTGATGTTTCCATATTTTCTGATAACCTAATCCTTAATATTGTCAGAGTTATCAATTAAAAGAGCTTTTAGATATGGTCATTTTCAATCATTAATAACTTAATAACTATTGCGATTTTTGCAAAATGGTATTGGACTTTCTTCCCAGTTCGATTTGATCTTCACAATTTTTCGTTTCCAAAAGATCCCGGACATCTTGTATATAATCACATCTTTTTTCCGGATGTCTTTCCGACGTGTTACTCTCGTTTCGACCTCCTAAATTCGCTTGTTAAACGCGCTTTGATTGCGTCTTGCAAACAGAAGAGCATGAAAATCCGAAACTGATAAGATCGCGCGTTTTACACGGTAGAACTTCGTTTTTCTCAGTATGAAGATTATATGGTTTCGCTAGGATATAGTGCTGGAGCTTATAAAGGAGAAGATGGATAATGCTCGTGAGGAAGGTGTCACTAAAACTGGCTTCCTTATCGATGGATATCCTCGTGAGAAGGAGCAAGGCATTCTCTTCGAGGAAAAGGTAAAGTATTAAACTAATTATTGGAGACTGATTCTTGGACAGTGTAATCTCTGAAAGGTATCCTATCTTCAAATGTCTATTGGACATCTCTGAGACATTTTATTTTATTTTATAGAGATTTATGCCAGCTGAGTTGGGATTTGAGCTATTAGAGCAAAGAAAGCTAAGATTTTAATTAATTGATTCATCAAATCCTAATCTGTAATCTGCGATTCTCAGTCTTCAATATACAGTCTGATAGATTTAAAGTTCGCTTTCTGTCTTTGCTGCTGTTCGTTTTCTCTCCTTATTTTCGTATATCCAGAAACACTAACTTATCTCTGTGCAGGTTTGCCCCGTCGACTTGATTCTCTTCTTCGATGTAGCGAACGAAACCTTGAAGAAGAGGCTTCTTGGACGTGCAGCTGTTTCTCAAAGAGCAGATGACAATGAAGAGACAATCAAAAAGAGAATCGAAATATTTAACTCAAAGAATAATGAAATTGTTGAACATTATAAAGATAAAGTTGTCAGAGTAAGTCCAAGACGCAGTTTTCCTCTATTTATTTCAAATATCTCATATACTTTATTTTTGCTGATAAAAATTTCATTGATCCCGTTTCAGATTAACGCGGAAGGTACAGTGGACGAAATATTCACAAAAGTGACGAAAGCATTGGACACTTTATTAGCATAATTTGTTAGATTAATTTCACCAAAGAGGAACTTGCGTGGCAAACATCATCGTGAGTTCAATGCTGGATCCTCACTAGAGTTACTCTAGATGATATTAAGCATACTTCTTATGTATCTGAACGAAATATATATGCAGGCAAATTGAGTATCTTCAATTGTTGATTGTTGAATAAAACTATACTTACACGCAACCAATGTCTTGAAGTTTGATTTACAACGATTGAAGCAGGTTTTAAAAAAAGTACAGAAGACAAAAACTTAAAAAGAAACTAAAAAAATTGGCTTATGGATAATACATTCCATATCTGACACATCAATTATTTAAAGAGAACATTTGATTATTGGAGAATTAATATCAACATTTTATCTTTCATATCATTTTTTTTACTTAACTACAATTAAAATTAAGATACTCGTTCAAATATAAATAAAAATTCCGAATTTAAAAATCGTTACATATACAAAACGTATTATTCAACAATTAAAACAGTATTATCGGAGAATTAATATTAACAGTATTTTACAGTAAGGTGTTGATATCAGAAATGCGATGCAGAAAGAGTGAATCCCTCAGTTTCAAAGTTTTCCATTTTTATTACAATATATACTTGCATTGAATATAACTCAATATAATCGCTGTGGCGGTCCCATGGACGATTTGATGTGTAGTGAGCGGACGTTCTGCCAGTGTTTCTTCAACAAAGAAACGAGAAAGTTTATCGAGAGGTGCACATTCTGCACCAACTCATCGGGTGTCATCTCGACGTGTCCGACTGCCACCGACAGACACAACACCTGCAAAACAGAAAATAATGTTAGCAATAATCGCAATTTTGGTTAGGTAGAAAAATTGTAGGGAAACCATGCTGCTACCTTTTTCATCTGAAACTTGATGGTGGCCTTGACTTCATCAATTTTGCCAACCATTGATTCCTGGTGGGACAACAATCCAGGGAATTTACCAGCCTTGTTCAAACCAGGACCAAGCAGACGTGGGATCTGTTTGATCAATGACTCACTGGCCAGAAATGCGTCATATTTCTTTGCTGCAAAAAAGATATAATTATGCATCAAATAATTTCAGCTACAGTGTTTTATGCACACATAATTATATTATTTATTTTTCTATCAATCAGTGTTTGTTATACCGAAAGGATTCACAGTAACTCCCACAATATCCAATAATTATTCCCTTTTTCTTCTTCTTTCTTAATAATTTTTAAAACATTTACAAAATGCATTTCGATGCATGGAAAAGTAAATAAATATAAGTTATCAAATCTTTTTTAAATCAGGCAAGTGTATCAACACGGATTGAGGTGCAAATGTTACAAGACACATCACCCTCACCTAGTGAAGACTCTTTTACTATCCTTCTGTTTGACGGCCATCATTGTTCACAAAATACACAATGATGGTGCTTTTAAGAAGGAATCAATTAATATTAAACATTAAAATGAATAATCAACATACCAAGCTTCTTTACAAGTTTCTTATTTTTGTTTAATTTTTTGAGCGCTTCTGCATCCATATACGGAATATTATTAGCCTTAGCTTCATCACAATGCTGTTGATCTCCAAGAACACACACCTGCATTTTAGGCCTGGGGATGTTCTTCAACCTGATATAATAATTTAATGATGATTAAAAGTCTAAATAAATATGTGTCTTATCTCCCTTGACACATAATACTCAAATAATTCATTTAAGAAAGCCAAGTTTTTTTCTTACTATATCTAATATTTCAACATTCTCTCAATATTGTTATATAAAATATATATAATAAGTTATATAAAGTTATATAAAATATATTGTTATATAAAGTATTCAGATAATATATATAATAAATTAAACATCATAGAACATTAGATAGAATGGATCTGATATCATGTTTTACCAGTTTATCACATACATTAAAAAAAGTATCAGACAAAGAATTGGATATATATAATCAGGATTATAACACTCGTATATGCAAAGATGCATACAACTTACCAATAGGATCATGAGTCATGATCCTATGTAATTTAAATAACGGTATAAATACCTCCCCAATTTATTTAAGACCCTGGGTGCAGGTCCGCCAGGTGAAACCCAGCTCCCTGAATTATCATGAAGCATTTTTAACAGAATTTTCAGTGAGAGATATAATATTTGTAACATCCTCACTCTGAGAAACTGAGAAAAAGCTTCAAAATCAGGTGAAAACATACTTTACAGTTCCTGAGAAACGCTTGTCTTTCTGTGGGTCATAGTTCTTTAATCCGATTTGAAGCTCCACTGTCTCCAAAAACTTCTTTTTCTTGTCTTGAGAATGTTGTATCACTGCATTTACGCATTCATAAAGAGTATCGCGGGAAACCTTGGACCTGCAACCCGATCAACGTAAATTAGTACAAAATAGGCACACGTGGAAATTGCCTCTATAATTTTACAATTCACGTGAACAAGCATCTAATTTAACGAAATTTGGAAACGTTTAATCTTAAAAACATACCACAATTATGACCAACTTGTTAAACTTTACATCATAACGAGAGAATCTATCGTTAACAAACTTTGGTTTTGATACACGTAACTGTACACGTTGATCATCATGTCGCACTGAAAGTAACTTCTAGCTAAAAATAATATGTTCTCGTCAATAATAAAAGTTCAACAAGCTTGCTCGTGGCGAAATGATTGCATTTGCATGCAGGATCGCGAATATTCCACACGATGATATACTTACGTCATCTCGCAAGGTGAACCACAAGAACACGGCTAGAATTCTCGACGACCTACGTCAAAAAGAGAATGAAACTGCAATGAAAGTAGCGTGGTTTCCAGATGGAGAGACAAATCTCTTCGGCGGAACTCTACGGCGCATGCCTGAACGTCAGAACTTCACGTGATCATTTTAAGTTTGATCAAACTACCAATTGAAAGTAGACTCGACTTTTATCGTAAGAAATTGACCAATCATAGTCAAAGGTGAGGAGAATAGCCAACTATGATTGGTCAATTTTTTACTTTTAAGGTTTACTATACCCATTGTGAATCTGGAGTTAATGGGCCAATCACAGTGAGGTACCGGCTAGCGAGATCTTTCGAAGGATTTTCATGCTGAATTTAGTGAAATCTGGTGACATGTTAGAAATGCATCAATCAAAATCCCCCTAGCACACTCTGTGAGTGCTTCCGAAATGTCCAGGGTTGGGTCGAGTTGAGTTAGTTCCACTACAATATATGTGACGGATACTATAGTGAAACTAACTCAACTCGACCCAACTCTAGACATTTCGGAAGCACCTTGTAACACAGTATACACAGTAGCGACATTCTCCAAATTTCTCGTAGCCAAAAATGAACTGCACAAGCGCAGCCATGTTACCTAACCAATAGCGTTACAGACATATTTTTCTATTTCACTTTCTCGCAGAAAAAATATAACCATATGTCTCATTCTAACTTATTACACTTAGATCAGTAGTGCAGCTAAAAGGTGCAGACCATATTTCTCTCACAATTGTTAATTTCAATTTCTGCTCTCTCTCTTTCTCTCTTTTCCTCTTTCTATATATATATATATATTTATTTAAATTTTTATTAAATCATATAGAGTACGATTCATTAACTGTTGCAAATGTTTTGAATGCCGTATAATAGCCTTTCTTTTAGCCTTCGAAGCGTTTGTAGTCTCAAGTGGACCCTGCCTACTGTTGGTAAGTAACAAGGCTGCGCATGTATGCATTTATTTTTAACTACGCTAACATCAAAGTGCCGACAGAGTGTCGCTACTGTGTATATTGTGTTTAAGTTCATCTTCAGATGCTGTATAAATTATTTTATTGGCTACGGGGTATTTGAAAGTGAACTTAAGACTGTCTTAAAGACCTGACTATGAATACCGGCCTTAAAGCATTATTTTGGCGAGAGGGGTGTAAACTCAGGCATGTGTGGGGAATTGCTTTCTGCCATATTAGTTTCTACCAGTTCACACTAGTTCACACGTAGACATATGTCTGTGAAATGTTATGACTAAGAGGTTAGGTGCATATAAATTATGAAAATTAATATTTTATAGCAAAAAGGTTAAGTGTATAGTGCCAGAATATCCAGTAACGAATTATATAAGATAAAATATCTAAATATTTAAATAATTGCAAATTATAAATTCTAAAATATTTAGAAATGTTCAAAGATTCATTATATTGTCATTTTTTGTACTTTCATTTATTAAAATGTATTAAATAAAAATATTGAATGTAAAGCAATATATAATGTGATTTTTTATAATTTTATGAGTGATATTTTTATATAAGTTTCATATTTAAGATCGTCTTAAATTTATCCTCAGATACTTCCTAGCCAATAAAACAATCCGTACAACATCTAAAAATGAACTTAAGGTAATTATATTAAAATATAAGATCCGACTGTAAACACCGGTTTAAATTTTATCTTGAGGCTGCGGTCTATTTGATACTACAAATGCATTGATAAATGCATTTAAATGGACCGCAATAAAAGAAACAAATATGGCGGCTTTTTCCCGCCACAAAATATTAAGGGCCAGAGCACAGACTTCTGCATAACGCATAATACACAATGCATAAGAGAATAAACCAATTAGTTTTCTTCATTTCCTTCCTCAGGATAGAAATGAAGAACTCTGATTGGTTGATTCTCTTATGCGTTGTGTATTATGCGTTATGCAGAAATCTGTGCCCTAAGGCCATCACACACAAACGAATTTAAGCCTGGTCTACAATACGTGTCGTAAATTGTAATCTGTAAGAATTGGGGAATCACAGTCGATTATTACAAAAATAATCGACTATAATTGGTCAGTTCTTACGGCTTACAGCTCACAACACATATTGTAGACCAGGCTTTAAGCAGTAAGACGTAAACAGTAAGCAAATCGGCCAATCACAATCGAAACTTGAAGACGCCATTTTAAAACTTACGAGAATAATTGATTGTGATTGGTCAGTTTCTTTACTGCTTACGTTTACTGCTTATGTTCATTTGTGTGTTGATGGCCTTTACCCCGCTATAGCTTGTGCACCGCTCCCCTATTCCTTAGTTCATGGTGTATAAACAACGGTGTTCTACTCTAGTTAACCACGCAACGTATCTTACAATTGAATATATTGTTTACAATAGCTGAAATTAAGATAATTTAATAGAAAGTTTTTAATTGGTATGCGTATTAAACGATTGGTGTTGTAACTAGGCCGGTACTAAAAATCTATAGTTATATATAAACTATAGATTTTCAGTATTTGCAATGGATATCGGAACGCAGCTTGTATTTCCCTTGTGTAGTTTTTTGTTGTAACTCAAACATATGAAAATTTGCGAAATGAAAAATTAAAGTCGTAGCAGTTACAGAAATAGTTTACAATTGTCATTGTACATGTGTGACTGCAGTAAATATAATCGTTACATATAAAGTTAACGATTGGAAATAAATGTTTAACGTCAAATTTTTTATTTTAGGTTATGGGTAGACAGTGCTGTGTTTTGGGGTGTTCCTCAGGCGTACATTTACCCTTTCATTCATTCCCCAAAGATGCAACTCTGGCAAAGAGATGGAAAATGGCTATTTATTCAGAGAAGATTAAGCATCTTACCGACGATCAAATAAAAAAGTGTGTTGTGTGTTATAAACATTTTGCAGAAAGTGACTATGAATCAATATATAGGTTACGAAGATTAAAACCTGGTGTTGTACCATCATTATTTTTGCCAGATAACGGTAACAATAATGGCAATTCGAAGATAGATTCCATTATGAAAAATTCTAGAACAGAAATTTCATGTACTCGAACTACAACTCCTTCTATTGAAGGAATTAAAACAGAAAATGAACAATTTACATCAAAAGTATCAGAAATCACTAGTAATGGCGATTCATCTAAGGCAGGGCTCTCTTCACCAAAAAATTCAAAATGTTCGTATAATGAACATATGAGGTACTTCCAACACTTTACACCAAAAATGTGGAAGTTGTATAAAGTGGCTTGTATATTGAAAAAGAAGCAAGAATCCGTATCAAGAAAACATTTGTCATTTCATCAGCGTATAAGACAAGCCAAACAATATAGCAAAAGTCCTGCTATAGAAAAGCTGTTGTGCTCGCTAACACCTACTCAACGAACATTTATTGAGATGCAGATGAGAGCATTAAAATGTCAACCCAAGGTATGTACACAAAACATTTATTATACTACTATAAAAATAGAAATGTTTGATAAACCAATTTTATTCTGCTTATAGGACAGATATTTCACATTAGATGAAAAGATTGCAGCTTTGTCCATTATGAAACAATCCAGTAAATATTATGAATACTTGACACAAGTTTTTGATCTGCCTAGTACATACACGCTATGGCCTATACTCCAGAAAATTAACATTCATCCTGGTCCAATTAATTTTATAAACCAACGCTTGAAAGAAGAAGTAAGAATGATGAAACAGAAAGATAAACTGTGTATTTTAATGTGGGATGAAATGTTATTACAACCTCACTTAGATTATGATATGAAAAAAAAGCATATTATTGGTTTTGAAGATTTTGGGGGCAGGAGGAATGCACTATTTGTTGATCATGCATTGGTTTTTATGGTACGTGGCATACAAAGCGGATGGAAGTTACCATTGGCATATTATTTCTGCGATGGTGCTACAAAAACTGATCAACTTGTGAAATGGATCAAAACTGTTTCCACAATTATAATTGACAGCGGATTAAATCTAGTAGCTTTCGTATGTAAAGATGGAAAGAGAGATCTTGCGGCTGTGAATAAATTGAAATTGGAGGCGGCTAAACAGATGTTACGACTGGGAGAACGATATTGTAAGCACGTTTTGAAACAAGTTACTGTTATACTGGTGCAAAAATTACAGTCGTTTTTATCTTAAACACTTGCTGAATAAAAATGTTGAAACTAGAGGAAGATTCGCTAGTTGCTTTGTATCTTTCTAGGTGGTGATATAATAATAAAAAACCGCACTATAATTCCACTGTATAATCCGCCGTGTCTTATTAAAGGCATACGCAATAATTTATTGAACTATGATCTCGAGTTTGACTGTGCAGAAGAGCAGGAGCGAAAATTCGCGTCGTGGCAGATTATTGAGCAAGCCTATCATATGGATTTAACTCACAGCATGTATCGATTGATGCCAAAAATTACTACAGAGCATGTAATAAAAGATAAAGTGAGCATTAAGAAAGTTAAACATGCTGCGCAAGTTTTAAGCATGACGATGGGTGGTTTTATACATCACCATACCAAGCTGGAAGGTAAACGTTTGTACAAGTATAATATAAATATCCATAGATGGTTAGCACATTATGGACTGCTATTCTTTTTTGAAAAATTTCCTCTAGGACTCAGTAAAGTTTTGAAATAAATAAAAAAATCTTTTAAGAGTTCAAGAAAGCATAATATGAAGAGAAATTTAATATTTTTATTTGTAAGGAACAAACCAATAAAATTGCCATAATTATCAAAGGATATAAAAATATATCTTTTTGTATTTTCTTAAAGCAGTCAAATATGAAATAAACTAACGATAAAATTTTACAAAGTATGTTTCAAAAATCACAAAAAGTAATAATAATTAAAAAAGTAATAATTAATCAAATTAAGATAATAATAATTAAAAAGTAACTCACAAATATTAAAAGGAAATTTGCTGCTCGCGCACACGTGTGTATGTTAGACAGTATATGAATTAAAAAGCAAAATATAAATTTTCTTTGCGAAAAATTTGAATTGACAATGTAATTTTTTTTACAAAAAATATTAAATAGTCACGAATTCAATTGAGCTTGTAGTATGTTCTTTTTGTTAAAAGGACTCTGCACGAATCTTATGCAAAATTGGTTTACTTGAATTGACTAGATGTTTTATATGTTATAATTCTTAGATCTCTGAGACTTAGTCTGCTTCTTAGTCTCAATAAATACAAGTTCTAAAATTGGATAGATTAAACACTGTTATGTTTTAAAAGCTAAAATTCGTTATTGCTAATTTTAATACATTTGCTTAAAATTCACTATTAATTCTTCACATTTTTACATATGCACATTTCAAACCATGATGCTACAATTTTTATTAATATGCATACTTGTTATTTATTTTTTTCAATTCAGCTTTAATCTTTCTATTTCAATTATCGTTATTTGATTATTTCAATAACTTCTCCATTTTAATCTACTCTTATTTTTACCATCGATTTAATCAATTTAATCGATTTTTATTTTATTTTTTGCATTTTAATTAATTTTTCTCAATTGCATTTGTGATTGTTCCATTTTAATTCAGTGTAATATTTAAGCAGATATTTAAGTTAACTAACTGCAGCCTATTACCAGCATCAAGTACACTTTTCGATAAACTTGTACTTTGACATTCGATATATTTTGTTCATATCAAACGAAAGTAATTTGGATGAAGAAGAAAATGAAACAATCCAAGGTTATTGTTGTACATATGAATCGGGAGTCATACATTGGGAACATGTGACTATATTGCCAGTATTTTATGGTTTTTAGAATATGTCAGAATTTCATGAAATGTACAAGTTGTGCACCCAGTTTTTGTCTAAAGTTGGCTGAAATATGTACACATATTCCGTAATGTGTTGATATATTTATAAGTGGTCAACTCTAATTAAATTTGTCCCTCCACAGGACAAGTGAACACAATTCATGGACCATTAAGAATGCCGGAGAAGGAAGGACGCGATACGGCGGATATGATACTTTTTTTCGACCGTCTGTTTGATTCTGTGAATGGATACACCTTGAAACCGGAGAAATCACTAAGAGTCGTCGTTTCGCACGACAGTCCGCATTCATCATTTTGGGGAAGAGCGGCGAAGAGGCTACGCAGGATGCGCTTTGTCGATCCGACAGACAAGAAACCATTGAAAGAATCGGTCATCCTGAAGAACTGGATATCCACTATAGAGGGATTCCGCAGATTATGGAAAGTTTTGAGAATATATAAATTCAAATACTTCAAGCCGCGAATCTTAAATCAGGATTCGCTCGCGAATTTCTTTGGGCAGATCAGGTCCCTCGGCGAGAGGAACGTTAAACCCACGTGTTCGGAATTCGAGAGTTCTTTCAAGATGCTGTTGCTCGGTAATTTAGCATCAGGTTGCACCGAAAAAGATAACAGCGAGAACAAGACGGACGGGCCGTTATTGTTTACGTTAAAAGAATTCATCAGCTTCAAGGTGTCGTGCATGAACAATGACACCGTAACGGAGAATTTGATGTTAGACTTAGAGATGACGTCCTCAGACGCAACAGAAAATAATGATAGTATGTTTAGTTCTATCACGGAGAGAATCCTGAACAATTCACACGTCGGAGAATGCGAAGTATGTAAGAATCTCATTTCGGATTCGGCCAAATCTGAGTTAGCTCCCAGCAAATGTTTGCTGAAGGTTCTCGAGGACGCTGATAATATACTGGCACAGAGAATGAGTAGCGTATGTTATTTGCATCACACGGCGTTGATGTTGGAAACTGAATTATACATGTCGTTGGATTTACGTTGGCTGAACTGTCAGCAACACCGTAATGTGCTCAAAGAACTCGTAGTATCTTACACAGTCGTGTTTTATATCTCTAAATGGTGTAACGGCATAAATGAGATTTTGATGGGTAAGGAGGATATGTCATTATGAAACAATGAAACGACGTGCCTGTATAAAAACACAAAAATCGAAGAGTCGCAGAGGAACTTAATAAAACAGTTTATTTTATTTCACACATTGTTCTCAATTACTTTTTTACACTCCTTACGAGTAAAGCTTGCTTTATGAGGATACTTTTCAGTCCGATTTTATTTTTAACCTCCTGCAATCATAATTCTTAGGACATACAGTATAAGTTAAATTTATCAGGTCCGAACAACTTTTTGATTGTATTATTGAATATCAAGATCTTCTCAGACGGATTAGTGCTATTTTTAAAACTTCTGATCCCTCGGAACTCTTGATTGATGACATCAGTAAAGAGAGAATGCATGCCCAAAATTCTTGCGTCATTTGCAAGTAGATAATGTATGGAAAAATATTTCAGATTGTTATATATATAGAGCATACTCGTGAAGTATTCCAAAAATTTCTTTTGAACCGTAAGATGACTAATATGAGGCTTGGTGCGGAATGATTCCGTGTGACTGAGTTTCATATTAATAACTTTATGACGTTAATAAAAAAAGAAATATGAAATTCATTCTGGAATCAAATTCCGGAATCAAATAGCTAATCTTCGTGTGATTTTCCTCGTAAATGAGAAGATAAAAGAGCATTGAGCTTATTTCGCGCATACGCACCAATGATATATTTTATTAACCTGTTAAACGTCATTTTATTTATTTATTTATTTATTTTATTGATTTTATAAAATTAAAATACGCACGTACTTACTATCAATATAATTTAAGCAAGTGCGTAAGTATTTATATATATAGGGTGTTCTATAATTCGGCCCGAGGAATTCGTGAAGACATAAAGCGGATTAAAAGAAATATAAAACTCCCATGCCGTTTTGCGATATTCGCAATAATTATCGAGTTATTAATTATAGGAATCTGACGAATGCGAGCGCACGCTGAGATGGAATTGGAGGAGCAGTTCAGCCGCTCGGCTATAAAGCAGCCCAGTCGATCTTAAGGCTATTACACACATTTTAGATGTACAGATGTAAGATGTAACAGTAAAGTTCCAATTAATCGTGTTTATTCAATTAATCATGTTAATTGTTCGGTTACGAATACGAACGGCCGAATCGAGTAACGCGATTAGTTGAAATCGCTTATCGTTGTCTTATGGTAAATATGTATAATGGCCTTTACAACTGTTGCTGCAGCTGGATTCTGTAACTCTACGGCAAAAGCTGCGTAACGATAACGAAAGTGCCGTTAACTCCAATAACGAGTTAAAGAATCGCACCACAGTACCGCGATTCTGTAACTCGTTATTGGAGTTACAGAATCGCACCACTGGGGCTGCATTCCGTACTCGCGTACCGATATTTGTCGGTGTCGTTAGCAGTATTGCGCAGCTTTTTTGTTATATGAAAAACCTGCGCAATGCCGCTAACGACATCGACAACTATCGATATGCAGGTCCTCAGCTCATCATTATCCACCTTATTGGTCTCGGGTCATTTGGCTCATTTTCAAGATTAAGGGCCGGTTGTTCCAACTTCTTGGTAAGTTAACTGATAGTTAAATCCTATGTTTGTCTTCGATTTTCCTTCAACTTAGACAAAAACGGAGATACGATTTAGCTTAACTATCAGTTAACTTACCACCAAGTTGGAACAATTGGCCTTAAAATCGCCAAAATGAAACTTCTCAAACCATCGATGTACTATGCGTTCATTAGTCACATCTTCACCAAACACTTCGTTGATATTTCGAGTCTGCGCTACAATGGCCGCGTTCAGTAGAACAAAGTGATCAGAGAGCGCTTAGTGATCATTGTCTGTGATTGGAGCATTCTTTTAGATTCTTCATAGACCCAGAAATATTTACCAATCAGGAGCGAGATTCAGTGGTAAGTCTAGTAATGTTGTCCAATTGTTGAGTCTGCTGAACGTGGCCATTGGTTCCACGACGGAACTCATATTCGAAAATAACACGAATTTTTAACTTATCCATGGTTACACAAAGATTGCTGTAACAAAGACATTTCGAAAGATAATCACAAATCAAAACATGCGTTTGAAAGAGTGATGATGTACCTTCATAAAAAAAAAAAATCAAGAACTGTAAAGGTAAAATGTTAGATATGTCGAACTTAGACTGCGTTCCGAAATCCACTGCCAGTACTGAATATATATAGTTTATGTCACGTATACTATAAATTTCCAGTACTGGCAGTGAATTTCGGAACGCAGCCTTAGTACTTAAGTCCCTTGCACAATGCCAGGCAATAAGAATAAAAATAGACCAATCACAATAGATTATTCTTGTAATAGTCGATTGTGATTGGTCTATTTTTATTCTTATTGCTTGTTGCCTGGCATTGTGCAAGGAAATCGGACATTTCATATTTAACGACCTAATAGTAATATAGGTACAAGATAGTGACTGCGTTCTGATATTCACTGCCAGTACTGAAAATCTATAGTATATGTGACACATACTATGTATTTCCAGTACTGGCAGTGAATATTGAAAATACATCATTTATGTCACTATATTATACTATAGATTTTCAGCGCTGGCAATGAATATCGGAACGCAGTCTATATAGAAAAAAAAATGGAAAAAGATAAAAAATGGTTCGGGTTCTACAAAAACCCCTAATATCGCATTGCAGGCATGAATATGTTAAGCAGCTACACGCGTGACGTGTTGACGCATGCGCAGAATGTTGCGGAGGGAATAAATGCCCCCAACACGGTCCTGGCCAAGTAATTATCGCGAACTTCGCATTGGTCGGAAGTTGAACGTTCCACCAATGGCACGACGATTAACCTAATCGATCAGATCGTCCACGAACCAATCGAAGTCGAGCTCGGCTGACGAAAAACGTCGATGAAAACGTAGCGTGTTGTTGCGAATACGCAAATTCGCGCGAATGCATCTCAAGGCCCAATAACGCCTCGCGAGTTGTGACTCGTGCTGTCCTCTTAGCCAGTGTATCGGCGAACAAAGCTGTGAAAAATTGCTCAGCCGAACATGGCAGCGGTAGTATCGGGGTCTAATTTGTGTGACGGTCGCCCAAGGTTTTAGTGCCGATGACACGACAATATGAACGATAAACCGGTCCCGTTTCGGAAAAGGAATTCGGGCCCGACAGCGCGACACGGAAGGACGAGGACACTGGCGTTGCCGCGAATGAACTTCCTGCGGGTGAGCCGCTCTCTCACGACTTTTCCGACTCTCTCGTCGCTCTCTGTAAACCCCCGCACGCCAACAGAACATAAACTTGCGTCCGGTCTCTTTGGCTGAGGGCGCGAGATACTCGGCGAAGCGAGACCGGAGCGTGAAGGACGACAATACTCCGTCGCGCGACGGTAATTCTGCCCGGCCGGAACGTTCGGGACGCGAAAGGATCGCCAGTGAAAACACTCGCCGAAAGAAAGCATATCTATGACAGCCGCGGTATCTAGAGGGGGTTGACGATTGATTGTACGCTCAGCCCGTGAAATTTCACCGTCGTCCTCGACATTTATTCGCGGTGTCTCGGAGCCTGCTGCTCGCGAAAGAGCGACTCGCGATAGTATTTTGCCGGAGAGAAAGAGAGGAAGAAAAGGAGAGAGAGAGAGAGAGAGAGAGAGAGAAAGAAAGAAAGAAAGAGAGAGAGAAAGAGAGAGCGAGCGCGCGCGCGCGCGCGTGTTCAGGAGGGATGATACGCGCGATCACTTCCTGCTATTCCGATGCGCGTGTACCCTGTCGCGTGCGCTCTCTCGCACCGCAAACAATGGTCCTCGCGTCGCGTTCTTTCGAAATTGCCGAGCGATTCTCATGAGCGACGAGGACTGTCGCGCGAACACGCGTTACCGATCGTGAATGTGTGCGCGGTCTCTCCGATTCGACGACCATTTCATCGGACCGGCCTTCGCGGCGGATTCGGTCTGATCTCGATCGTGCTTCTTTCTCAGACACGGCCGGGTGAAACTAGATAGTTGAACTTGAGCCAATTTCTGTATTTCTCCGTCTATTTTTATTAAGGCCGACTGATGATTTTTTTACTTAGTGACGCACATGAGACACGTTAGCCCGCTGCTAACTGATGCATGTTCGTCGCTGCTCACTTTGCAATTTTACACGGTGTTTTGTGTGTCTCCGTGAAAACAGGCCATGACAATTTAATGAAAAACGAGGGATAATGGACGGCACACGAGCGGCAGAGGTATTGCCATTGTTGCAAGAACGTTTGGCAATACTACCGGGTGGACGAGACCGTAGGGGAGGTCCTGTGCTCCTGTTTCCCAGCACACCGAGACGTGAACGCGCAAAACCCGAGGATTATAGACGTCTCTTGCAGTATCTGTTTGCTATTCCGAACGATGAAGCCAGAGGCCTACGCTTTACTGTGATTGTGGATATGCGTGGTACTACGTGGGACTCTGTCAAACCTATCTTGAAGGTGACATCTTTTGCTAAGTGTGCAGTTTGCCCATAGATATTTCATCCGCTTCCTACATTGTGCTATTCATGGGATTGTGTGTATCTTGATTGTGATATTAATAGAGATGTATCGTCTCTAGGTATTGCATGAACATTTTCACCGTACAGTTCATGTTGCCTTTCTGATCAAACCGGAAAACTTTTGGCAGAAACAGAGAACCTCGTTGGCTAAGCAGAAGAAATATAATTTTGAGGTAAATATATGGGGATTAATTAATTATATGCTTTATTCATTTCTTGACAAAGAGAATTTCTTAGAATATTAAGTCCACAGAGATATTTTATTGTGAGTTAACTGACATTGAGACGCGTTAATATTTCAGATCAACACAATCAGTTTAGAAGCTCTTGTAAAGGTTATAGACCCTTCCCAACTCACTGCAGACTTGGACGGGTCCTTACAGTATGATCATGCTCAATGGATTGACACAAGATTAGTTGTAGAAGATTTTACGTGGCAAGCAGCCGATCTTCTCGACCGACTAGATGATCTGCAGGAGGATCTTAGTCGGAATGACTTTGCTGACGATGTTGCGGGAGCTAAACATGGCATTGATCTGCATAACGAAATGAAGAAGAAGATCATGAAGGTCCCAGTGGAGGACATTGAAGTTGTTGGTCAACGTCTGCTTCAGCGATTCAATAGTAGTCAGTAAAACCTATGTTTCATTCTCGCACAATGAACAATAATATAATGAATGTAAGAATTTTTATCGCAATATGTACGACAACGTGTAGATATTTTTAAGCGAAATTGGAGACGTTCAAATCTCTCTAGAGTCAAGAATCTAGAGTTAAGAATAAAAGTAGGAATAAAATGCTAGTGAACGTTTAACTAGATAAATTTAAATGTATTTTTAGATGTAACATCGACCGGCGGAGAGGGAGGAAGTATTGACAACGGCGCGGCAAGTTGCACGGATCCCGACGGCCGAGCCTTGGCGACACTCGTTATTCAGCACTTGGACTCGGTGCACGCCGCGCAGCAGCATCTCTTGCAGCTGTGGCACATCAAGAAGATGAAGTTGGACCAATGTTTTCAGCTGCGGCTATTCGAGCAGGATTGCGAGAAGATGTTCGATTGGATCTGCCATAATCGTGAAGTGTTTCTCGCAAGTTACGTGGAAATCGGTCGCTCGTATCAGCTGGCCAAGAACCTGCAGGAGGAGCATAAACACTTCACGATGAGTTCGATGAATGTTTACGTGAATATAAATAAAATCCTCACGATGGCTGGCAGATTGTTGGAGACGCAACACTACGCAGCCGGGCATGTACGGGCGGTGGCAGGTCGTCTGGATCGAGCCTGGAAGGAATTCGCCGCGGGTCTGGACGAGCGCACCGCGGTACTCAGTTTAAGTGTAGTGTTTCATCATAAAGCAGAACAGTACGTCGACAATGTGGCCGGCTGGAGTCAGGCGTGCGACACTAGCAATCTACCCAGCGAAATTCCAGTGCTCGAGTCTCACATCCGCCAGCATCAGACACTCTACGAAGCGATGTGTCAAGCGTATACGGAGGTAAATGTCCACTTCATATTTCTTTCTCTCTGTCTCTCTACGCACGCGCACAAAGAGCATACATCTGATACGACTATTACGATCGAACGACAACAAACGACTGTCGTGACTTGTGTTTTATTATATAAATCGAATCGATTCCTTTCTCATTGTATTTTTTTTTTCTTCGTTCTCTCTTCATGTGCACTGTATTTGTAAGTTCGTTTGATATTTAACAGGTTTACAATGCATATCAGGCATTATTGAGTGGCCTGGGTTCAATGCTGCAAGTATGTCATAATGTGAGCGCCCATGCCTCAGGCTCGGATACATTTCGTGTCGATTATGTACGAAAAAAATTGAGTTTTTAAAGCTTTTACATAGGCGATGGATATCCATTACTCGCTTGGTACTTGGGTGCTACTGGAAATGATATCTATCCGCAAATTTTCTGCAATGATTAACATACAATATAATTTACTCGTTATATAGCCCAGGTATCTCTCACGAGGAAAAAAGATCGAGCTGTCTCTGATTGATTTTTATAGGTTTTGGACATGTTGTGAAGCAGCAAAAGAAAATTTTTTTTTCTTTTTATGTGATTATTTCGTCATTTTAAGCATTGTAATAAAGAGAAATCTCGAAATCAAGAGGAGATTTCATTTTCAACGAATATTATGGAAACTATGAGATGTATGAAAAAATAGTTTCTAAGCTCTGGAATATTTTATATTCTTCACGAATGTGTATTCAGGTTTGTCAACAATGTCAAATTTTTTAAATTTATTCCCCATTTCTGTCTTCGTAAATTTGGAAATATCTCGACAACTGAAATCAAATAAAATTTTATCGTACATTTTTGCAATCGAATATTTGATAGATGGGATGCAAACATTGGGCTGTAGCCTCTATTACTATGAGATATATGTATTAAACTTAGCTGAGTTTTTATTTATTCACGGTATCTAACTGCGTGGTTTATTCCATATCATATCTGATACTACGAGGTAAACGAACGATAACAAATATCGAGTAACATGGGTTTACATTTTATTGAAAATATTTTTAAGTCTCTTCCTGAATTTACTGTGCGAACACACACACACACACACACACACACACACACACACACACACACATACAAATAGTCTTATAATCAACGAGCAGATGAGTATTTGTGACTGTTCCAAAATACATAAGACTTTGAAGAACCAACTGTTAAACCATAAGCACGTAAAACAAATATATAAAACATAAGAAGATTCTTAAATATTACTTTGAACGAAAAATTCACTACGACAAATAAAAATTTCAATATTATTTCAATAAATTATTCAATATTATTATTATTCAATATTATTGTTATTAGACTGTACTATATATTTCACTTTAATAGAAAGAGATATTAAATTTATATAGCAAGCACATTCATCATATACTGCTTTATCAATAATCATGTCACTATCGAGAGCACACGGAGGATTTATCCTTTGTGACACATCATTTCTTCCTCTTTATCTCTTCCGAAATAAATAAGATAGTACAGTCTAAAACAGGCTTTTAATTACTCAACGTTTCTCTTCTTTCTGAGTATGACGTATAAAAGATGCAACATTTCGGCAGTAAGGACAAATACAGTTGAGAAACAGTATAAAACATTCTGTGCAATGTTCAGTGTAACAATGTAGTGTGTAGTGGGACTTTTGTTCAAAGTGATATTTGATAATCTTATATATACTTACGATATTATATATGCTTACGATAATGATATTTTTCTTTTTTTTAACTGTGTATCGCAGAAAGAATAGAAGTGTAATATTGTGTCCGAGTGTATGAGTTTCGCAAGTACTTATTAGAGACTACTTACTTACATAATAAATTTAGAGAGAAATTTTGAAATGTTTCCTTTAGAGGACTCGAATCCATGGTACTAAGTTTAGTTGCTAAACTAAATTTTTTTTCGTTTATTTATCTTGCATATTATCAAATATGAGGCAAAATAAGCCGCAGTTAGGTACCGTGTGTAAGAATTTGGCTAAACGTAACGCGAGGTATATGACGCTGTATTTATACTATATTTGTTAAATATGCGACTTTGAAAACTAACATTGTTGTGTACAAGATGCCCCATTTTAAATGGGCCAAGCGAAAATGCCGAAAAATATGAAAGATACTAAGAAACGTTACAGACAAAAGTTGTATAGTTTCAAAGGGGATATAAAACAACTATATCATTTTATTTACAGGTGGCGTCACTTTCGCGCGAGATATTCACTAATCATTACTTTTCTTAAATGGAAACTCCAACTTTTTATTATATCATCTTTTTCTACCATTTAATTTGAACAACTCTTGTCTGAAACAACTTTTATTTGCCTAATATTTTTTAAGACATTTAAGGACAATTTGGTAACTTTTTAAACATTTAACTTATGATATCTCGCTAACTTATTTGTCGAAAGAAAAATAGTCTTTTTTACTTTATTTAATCTCAAGAATATATTGTTACGATAGTGCTCTGACTTTTGTTAGCTTATCGACTTTTGGAAATTTCAAAATCATCAAATTAACAAAAGTCAGGGCATTATTGTAACAATATATTCTTAAGACTAAACAGAGTAGAAAAATCTAGTACCACTTTTTCTTCCGACAAATAGTTGGTTAAATATCGTAAGTTAAATATTGAAAAAGTTTCCGAGTTTTCCTTAAATATCTCAAAAAATATTAGGCAAATAAAAAAATGTTTCAGACAAAAACATTTAGAATTAATTGGTAGAGAAAGGTGATATAATAAAAAATTAGGATTTCCATTTAAAAAAGGTAATGATCGATGAATATCTCGAAAGTGGCGCTATCTGTGATCAAAATAATATAATTGTTTTGTGTCTCCTTTGAAACACAACTTTTGTCTAAAATGTTTTTTAGCATCTTTTATATTTTTCGAGATTTTTGTCTGGCTCATTTAAAATGGGACACCCTGTATATAATCGAATTCAGCATAAAACTTTCTTTAATTCTGGTTGTTGTATGAACGTTTAAATTACATGAATAATCGAGAGAGGTGGGGATAAACAAGAATTGATATTATCGAAAAGTCTGAATATCTGGTTGAAAAGAGTAAAAAAATAAAATACTGTAGAATTTTTGTAGAAACTTTCTTTTTTTATATACAGGGTGCTAAATTTCAAACATAACAGGTAAAAAATTTTAAAAACTATAAAAGATATTAAAAAAAGCTAAAACACGTGTTCCATGATTTCGAAGGGGAAAAAGAATGGCATTATCAGTTTTTTATTTGAAGGGCATTTTCAAGGTCAGTTGAAGGACAACTTAATTTTTTAAAATAGAAAGCCCAATTTTTTTATTATATCTTCTTTTTCTACCAATTAATTTTAACAACTTTTTAACTCTACTTTAACTTTTTAATTCTAAAAGATTTTTTTTATTTACGTAATATTTTTTTGAAATATTTAAGGGAAACTTGGTAACTTTTCCAATATTTAACTTACGATATCTCGCTAACTATTCGTCGAAAGAAAAAATATTAGACTTTTTTACTTTATTTACTATCAAGAATATATTACTATAATAGTGTCCTAACTTTTGTTAACTTATCGATCTTTGGAAATTTCAAAATTATTAAATTAACAAAAGTTAGGGCACTATTATAGTAATATATTCTTGATAGTAAATAAAGTAAAAAAAGTCTAATACTATTTTTTTTTTACGAATAGTTAGCGAGATATCGTAAGTTAAATGTTGAAAAAGTTACCAAGTTTTCCTTAAATATCTCAAAAAATATTAAGCAAATAATGAAATGTTTTAGACAAAAGTTGTTAAAATTAATTGGTAGAAAAAGGAGATATAATAAAAAATTGGGCTTTCTATTTAAAAAAATTAAGTTGATCTTCAACTAACCTTGCAAATGCCCTCCAAATAAAAAACTGATAATGCCATTCTCTTTCCCCTTCGAAATCATGGAACACGTTTATCTTTTTTTAATCTTTCATAGTTTTCGAGAATTTTTACCTCTTACGTTTGAAATTTAAAACCCTGTATATATATATTTTACAATTTCCACAGTATCTGTTGAAAATGAAACTCTTCTTATTCTCGAGAGGTTTCAAATTTTTACATGTCGCGATAAACATATAAGAGATGTGTTTAATATTCTTACTTGATTATAACATATCAAAAGCCTATCAAAATTGGAGGACAGTTTAGTCCCTTTGCTCGTCAGTATTCTCGAGAAATTTTTTGCGTGTTGACGTACGTCCGTCCTCGTAATCGATATTTGTCTTTCTTTGTTTTGGTTTCTCGTCCTGTTCTTATTTTGGATTCTATTTTTAATTGAAAGTTGAAGTTACTTTATCATGTTTCACACACAATACTCCGTCACGTCGTAATTTAAATCTACATAAAAAATACGAAAAAAATGGATGTTGTATATGACTGTTTCTTAAGCGGGATTGGGTAAACTTCTTATTTAGGTGCATAGTACCAGTAAGAAGCTTCTTTATCAACTGGATCATCTTGTGCAAGTCTGTAATCAACCGCAAGGAATTGACCATGTCGCCAGAAAACATGTACGTTAATTCGTGTATACAGGAACAATTATTACCTTTTTTTTTTTCTTTTTCATTTTTACACGTTGTTGAGTGACACCCTGTGTGACCTCACTGCCCACTGTGTTTAATTTGCAAGAGTTCGGCGAATTCTTGCAATTGCAATTGCAATTCAGATAAATAATAGGAGCCTGATATCTCGCTAGAGAAACTACCTCCCGTAATCAATTGTACCTCTTCCACTTGAGCTCTATCTCTTGCATGGGACATAGAAAGAGACTTTACAATGGAGGCTGTATAAACCTCATTACTCGGCAGGACGATAACAAACATATGCGCTTGCTTACGCTGTAATCATACGTGTAGTTAAGTTATACCTGGTTTGTACAAAGCTGAAATTGGAACAGTAGTGTTCGTCGGGATACCGATCGGGATGCATGCAATATTGTTTGGTTGGCTCCTGACTGATTGATTCGCCAATTTGTACTGCAAAAAATGTATATCCTGATTTATACGCAGAGTCAAGATGGACACAACATTGACAGCCATAGCGGCACGAGCGGCAACCCGGCGGCTGATTACAGCGAAGGCGCATCTCACGTCTTAGCTGTTATCCATCAGATTCTTGGCCACCACAGGGCGCTAGAAGCTCGCTGGCACGCCCGGAAAGTCAAACTGCATCAACGGCTCGCGCTGAGGTATGTAGACGATGCATTTCCGTCCACACGGCGTCGTAGCGTCGCGTCGCTCAACGTGCAACGTGTTTATTTATAATTTCTAGGCTGTTCCAAGAGGACGTGAAGCAAGTTCTCGACTGGCTGACGAACCACGGCGAGGTCTTCATCAGGAAGAACACAGGCGTAGGTCGTAATCTGCAGAAGGCGCGGGTCTACCAGAAGAGTCACGAGCATTTCGAGAATGTCGCTCAGGTGATGTTGAGACCGCGATGTGTTTTGCCTCGCGCGTACATGTACACTTATTGCAAAACGTGCGTACGGCTCGGCTCTCGGCATGAGTCACAACAACGTACTCTCCGTTTGTAGAACACCTACACGAACGCAACGAAGCTGCTGACCGCTGCTGAGGAGCTCGCTCACACAGGAGAATGCGCGCCCGACGAGATCTACGCGGTGGCGCAAGAGTTGGAAGCTCACGTTAGCAGCTTCGCGGCGAGGGTCGAGCAGCGACGTCGCAGATTGGACCTGGCAGTGGTGTTTTACACTCACGAGAAGGAGGTATTTTTACACTCATTGATTGCGCCACGTAGGCTGTTTACGTCGGTCAGCCTGTTGTTGTTCACGCAACGCGTAGATACGCCGCGGCGAGTGCAGTTTTACACATAGTCTCTCACTCGGCTGCAGCTCACCGGATGGGTGGACGAGTTGCGGCAGGAGCTGCAGCAGGACGAGGTCGCGGAGAATCTGGAGACCGCGGAGAGGCTGTTGGAACAATGCGCGCAGCACAGGTCGTCTTGTCTGGACGCGTGCGCTTCGACGATAGCCCAGGGGGAGGCTTTGCTGCAGGAGCTTCGCGAGGCGACCGACGCCCCCGACACTACCGGCTCTATATCGGCGATAGAAACGGCCCTGGACCGATTAGCGGGACTGAGGCAGGAACTGGAGGATCTATGGGCCACCAGGAAGCTGAGACTCGAGCTATGCCTGCGACTACGCGTCTTCGAGCGAGACGCGTTGGAAGCGAGCGGTCAGCTGGAGATGTGGGCGCAGGAGCTGCAAGGCCCGCCTCGAGAAGGCTCGCCCGAGCAGCTGCTGCGCGTGCACAACGACGGGGTTGCTCACATGCAGAATACGGCGTTTCAAGTTCTACACCGCGGCCAGGAATTGGCGCAGGTGTTGGAGGAGGCGGGCGTGTGTATCATGGCGGACGGGCAGCATAGCGCCACGGCGCGGGTGCAGGTGTTGCTCGAGTTCTTGAACGAGAGGGAGTTGGACGCGGAGGATCTCGCGGAGATGCGGAGGGTACGGTTGGAGCAGGCGTCCCAGCTGGTGCAATTGCAGACGGACGCTTCCCACGTGGCCAAGTGGATACGGAACGGCGAGTCGATGTTGTTGGCCTCGTTGCGGGTGCCGGAGAATCTGCAAGACGCCGAGCAGTTGCGGTTGGAGCACGATCAGTTCCAAGTGGCGATAGAGAAGACTCACACTTCCGCCGTGCAGGTGAAGCACAGAGCGGACGCTCTGGTGAGTGCAAATCACTACGATCCGAAGAGCATCAGGGACGTGGCGGAGGACGTCACTAAACGGTGGCAGCAGTTAGTGACCTGTGCGGAGGAGCGGCATAAGTTGGTTACCGCCAGTATAAACTTTTACAAAACGGCGGAGCAGGTGCGCTCGGTGCTCGACAGTTTGGAGCGCGAGTACAAGAGGGACGAGGATTGGTGCGCGGGCGGTGAGAAAGGCGCCCAAGTGCCGACGCTACTCGGCAAGCATCAGGAACAGAAGGAAGCTTTCCTGAAGGCGTGCACGCTGGTGCGGCGCACAGCGGAGACGTTCTTAAAGTACACTAATCGTAGCCTGCAGTTTTATAGCTATCAGGCCAACAGCGTCGGTTCCGAGAATAAAGTTAAAAATATTTTAGAAGAGTTGCTCAGCAAGGAGAACAAAGTACTCGAGTATTGGACACAGCGTAAGAAGCGCTTGGATCATTGTCAACAGTACGTTCTGTTCGAACGTAGTGCGAAGCAGGCTCTCGAGTGGATAAGGGAGACCGGGGAGCTGTACCTCGCGACGCACACCAACGTCGGCAAGAACCGCATCGAAAACGAGCAGTTGCTGCAAGAGCATAACGAGTTCAAGGGCGCCGCGAGGGAGACGAGGGAGAAGGTGAAGTTGATCATCCAGCTAGCTGACAACCTGGTCGACAAGGGTCATGCTCATTCCGCGGCGATCAAGCAATTCGTCGCCGAGGTGGATCAGCGATACAAAGACTTTAGTGCACGAATGGACTGCTACAAGACGCAGATCGAAGGTGACCTGGGTATCCAGTCCGACGAGGGCCACAAAGACCTCTCTATCGACCGGAATTCCGACCCGTTGTTGGAGGAGAAAATCAAGGGTAAAGATCTGAAGGAGCTGAACGAGGAGAAGAGGAGATCAGCGCGCAGGAAGGAGTTCATCATGGCTGAACTCTTGCAAACCGAGCGCACTTACGTGAAGGATCTGGAGACGTGTATTCGTTGCTTCCTAGACGAGACGCGATGCGGCAAGGGAAACGTTCCGCCCGGTCTGCAGAGTCGGGAATCGATCATCTTTAGCAACATAGAAGAGATACATCAGTTTCACAGCAATGTGTTTTTACGCGAGTTGGAGAAGTACGAGACCATGCCGGAAGATGTGGGACATTGTTTCGTGACATGGGTGAGTATCGCATACCTGTGCCGATTTTGTGTGGCAGCGATGAGTATACTTTTCTGCCACCTCTTTCTGTTTTATCTTTACGATGTATTTTTTAATGAAAATAAGTACAATGAATAAGTTTAATGGAAATGAATATGATTTCACATTTTTCTAATATATTAATACTTGTTTCATTTCTTGTGATTTTTATATCCGATTATTTATTTTTAATTATAAGCAGAGTTGATAAAAGCGATTTTTTTTTTTTTTTTAAGTTAATTTCTTACAAAATATTTAAGATCAGAGATTGAAAATTTTACTGAATACTCTCTTCTCACATGTGTCAAAATATAATATATATTTTTTCCAGAATCTTTCGCATGCTAGATTTTTCTTATAAACGAATCACTCGAATAAATTTTGTATATTTGGTATGAAATCTGTAATTATCAGTAAATTATCTGTAAATTATCAGTTTTATATATACAGGGTAGGGGGTTATAAGTTTACAACCCGAAATGTGAAGGTAAATTGGGTTAAGATAAATATAAAAGTCCCATACCGTTTTGCGAGATTCGCAATAATTATCGAGTTATTAATGACAGAAATCCGAGGAATGGGAGCGCGCCGACATAGATGATTGGAGAAGCGTTGCAGCTACTCAGGCCACAGCGCGGCCCACTCGACCTAGCAACTGTTGGCGGCGTACGGCGAGACGTATAGGTCCGACGAGATAAAACAACGAATAGCAGCGCATTATCTTTCCCCTCGCCGCGCACCGGCAACAGTTGCTGGATCAACTGGGCCGCGCTGCGGCCTAAGCAGCTGCAACGCTTCTCCAATCATCTATGCCAGCGCGCCCCCACTCCTCAGATTTCTGTCATTAATAACTCGATAATTATTGCGAATCTCGCCAAACGGTATGGGACTTTTATGTTTGTCTTAACCCAATCTATCTTCACACTTCGGGTTGTAAACTTATAACCCCCCGCCCTGTATATATTGAAATCTGGCTTCAGATTTGTGATCAGCGACATAAAAAACATAAAAATGCAAGATTTCTAAAAAATTTTGATTTCTTTAAAAGTATTTAAGATTAAATTTTGCTGAAAATTTTACTGAACATTCTTCACATATGTCAAAATATTATATATTTCTTCAAAATTTTTTACACGTTAGATTTTGTTATAAACAACTTGGATGAATGTTAAATACGACATGAAGTTCGTAATTAACGATCTGGAAAATCTTTATGTCGTGTATCTGATTCACATTTATCCAGATTTGTATTATTTTATTGTCCTATATGGCAGCTATATTGAATTTTTGAATCTGACCTTAAGTTTATAATCAGCGATCCAAAAAAACATAGAGATGCAAAATTTCACAGAAATCCGTCAGATAGATAAAAAATATGCCACACGAAAGGTTGATGATATTTGACGGTACGGTAGAAACTATCCGCATAGATTGTTCTACGTCCTCGTTCGTTCCTACACCTAGATGTATCGATTTGTTTGTTTCAAGGCACCTAAATTCGACATGTACGTAATTTATTGTAAAAACAAGCCCGAGAGCAATCAACTGTTGGTGACGCACGGTGGAACGTGGTTTGAAGAATTGCAGAGAAAGCATAGAGTAGAACATCCTATCGCTGCATATCTGATCAAACCTGTACAAAGAATTACGAAATATCAGCTGCTACTTAAGGACTTACAGGTACGTGAAGCTCTAAACCAGGGTTCCCCAACCTTTTTTGTATTTTGCATTCCTAAAAATTTATTAACGAATCTTCGCGCTCCCTATAAAAAGAAACATTATTCGTATGTTTTATGGTAAAAATTAGTTATTAGAATTTTAAGGTAAGAAGTTAAAAATCAAAAAAAGATACTCAATTTTTCATTAAACCGAAGAGTTCAGTAATATATTGTAGAACAAAAGAAAAAATTTATAGAATTAGTGCATTTAATTTATAATCATTTATTATTATATCGTATTGTTTTATAGAAATTAATCATCATTTCGATATTATAAAATTATTATCCATGGTATCAGGCTTCGCACAGTAATGATACGTAATGAAATTTAATATATACATACACATATGTAAAAAGTATATAATTTTAATAACATTTTTTTATTGTATGGTAAAAATGCCGGATTATTCCAGAATTCATCTTAATCGTTATTAATTACAATCACTTCCTCACATACTCAAGATTGTTTTTTTGCAACCCCCGGTTGGGAACCTCTGTTCTGAACCTTTATTGTTTCTTCTATTGTGATTGTTGAGGGAATCTCTCTCCTGTTGCTTACGAATTGTGTTGAACATTTTCCGCTTCGTTTCCAGGCTTGTTGCCAAGAGGGGCAGGGCGAGATAAAGGACGGGTTAGAGGTGATGTTAAATGTGCCTAAAAAAGCTAACGATGCCTTACACTTAAGTCTACTGGAAGGTTGCGACGTTAGGATAGATACACTCGGCGACGTTGTACTGCAAGATTCCTTTACAGTATGGGACCCAAAACAACTGATCAGGAAGGGGAGAGATCGTCACATATTTCTTTTCGAATTGTACTTTCTCTTCAGCAAGGAAGTGAAGGATTCTGCCGGAAAGGTTCGTACGCACTCGTTTTGTTACTTCCTTTTTCCAAGGAACCTCAAGTTTAGATTACCGCACTTGATATCTCCTGCGAGCGGCTCTTATAGTTAGTTAACAGTCGGATAAACGCGTCGTATTTTCTGGAGGCACTTTTTCATTATACTTAATTTTCGACAGTAGTAAATTTTATGAGACGAGTGAGGCAGATTAGCTAATGAGAATCTACTGCAAGATATTGAATGTAATAATTTAAAAACAATAGCGCCACGGATAATTTATACAACTGATATTTTCGATTGTCGCTACTCAACGTATTTGTTTCAATTAATTTAACATAAATTGAGGGCGAGATAATATTATTATCTGACAAACTTATGGAAAAATAATATTCCACGTATGTTGAGAATTCAAGAACTTCCTGGCACGCATATTATTACATGTATTATTAATACATCGTTGAACAATTTTCGAAAACGCATGCTGAAAGTTCTTGCGTGCCATTTTCAAACAAAAAAATAAAATAGTCCTATAAAAAAATACTTCAGATCGCTAGAATATACTTATTTGCAAAATGCCTAAAAAAATTAGGCTTCTTCTTTAAAAGTCAATAAACAGTCGTAAGATGACTGTAATATGAGCAGGGTTGACATGTTTTAAATGTTTTGTTTAAAACAATAATTTTAAATATATTTTAAACATTTGATACTTTTACATTTTTTAAACATGTTTTTTTAAATATTTGATATAAATTTTGGATGTAAAATTATTGATGATATAAATCTAATTTTTTCACAAAATATATCTTTTTTCCGTATTCTTGAACATTACAATATTACACACAAATATATATATCTTATTATACGATTATTAAAAAACAATTATTATATATATATGTAGATGTAATAATTCATATTTTGTTTACATATATTTCATAGTTTAAATGAAATGATTTAAAAACTTTTTTTCGATGCAGTCCGGAAGGTAGTCGGTGATTCAATAAAATAAACTATTTTTTACAAATTCCCGGAAATAAAGTTTTTTTTTTATTAAACCATTGACATTCCAAATTGTATCAAAAGTCAAAAGTTCGAAATGTTCAAAATATACTAAAAATCAAATGCATGTATGTTTAAAACATGTTTTTTATGTTTTAAACAGGTATTTTGCTTTTTTTTAAACATGTTTAAAATGTAAAAAAATAGTTAAAAACATGATGTTTTCTTTTTTTTATTTATTTTAATTTATTTGTTTTTTAGCAACATTGAATATGATGCTTATTCATACAGAATGCACGACTAAGCTTCATATTATAAATCATTTTATGGTTGTTGATGACTATAAAGAGAAAAGCATAATATTCGGAGCATTTTGCAAGTACATTCTAACGATGTGACGTATTCTTTCGCACAAAGATCTTTTTATTTGGAAATGTCACTCGCAAGAATATTCAATGTGTCATTTCCCGCCTCGACATCACTATCCAGTATGGCCGCGACGAGCAGCCCAAGGAGCCTCAAGTTTAGATTACCGCACTTGATATCTCCTGCGAGCGGCTCTTATTGGTCCTTTTTTTATACTTCGACCGAATACCTACCTACCTACAGAGCGGATAAATATTTATATCATACGAATATTGATGTTATGCCGTAATTTATGCTTGGTAAAAGGTCAAGCGAGATTGATCATATTAATACACAGTCCTCCTCTCTATCCAGGTGAAATATATTTATAAAAATCGTCTGATGACTTCCGAGTTGGGTGTGACGGAGCACATTGAAGGCGACGAATGCAAATTCGCCGTGTGGACAGGACGAGCGCCGACCAACGACACTCGCGTGGTACTGCGTGCAAACTCGATGGACGCGAAGCAGTTATGGGTGAAGAGGTTGCGCGAGGTGATACAGGAGACGTACTTCAGCCTGAGTATGCCGAAGAGCCCAGCCAAGAAGAGCTCGAGTCAACGATCGAGCAGAGACTTGGAGGAATGCGCGTCTTTGGACGACAGTGTAGAGAATCTCGATAGGAATTCATTGGCTTCCTTCGGCTCGACCAACACCACAGATTCTGACAAGGTAAGATATCATTCCTTTCTTACTTTCTTCGCGCGAGAGAGCTCGAGTCCATCGGACACACGTTTACCCTTAAAAGCTACCATCGAGGGTAAAATTTCACCCCATGCGAATTTCATTTTCACCTTATTAAGTGTTAAATTATCCGCTGCAACTTGTTTACTTTTCATCTAATATTCAATAATAATAAAACATTTAATTGCATTTATTTGACTTCTTGACATCTAAAATAAAAAAAGAATATATAAAAAATACGTATATGTATACTGGGGTGAAATTCCATCGACTGTGATAGCGTTGATGATTTTCTTTGATGGTAACTTTTAATACTAGAAGGACCGTAGGAGCCAATTTGGCCCCAAGCATATCTTTTCGTAAATAACAAATAAAAAGAAACGAAATGTATAAGTGATTATAAAATTTAACGTTTTAACAATAATATCACTAATTTATTGAACAAAAAAATTGTTAGTTATATTGAATTTTTTTTAGTCTTTGGTGAAAGACTTAAACGTGAAATATAACACCGTTATGTACTACAGGAATGCATTTGTACATAATTTTCTTTGTATATTTACCGCACACAAATTTTTTACACGAATGATATTTTCCAACTTTGTGGTTTTTTTTTGCAGTTTTTTTTATTTGACAAAATGGTCGTTTGCCTGAAACATCGTCGGATTCAATTTCTTCTCTGTTTGAATTAAAATTTGGAGACTTTCGTCTTTAGGCAACATATAGGGCATTCAACTTTTCTGCAAGATTTTATAAAAGTTCTTCTTGATATTTTTTTACACGTAACTTCCTTGTATATAATCCATGTAGCAATTTATAGCAGCGAAATCCAAAATATTATAAACAGTATGAACTGGCCAACGGCGAAATGCTATATATGCATATCTATGTATACATATGTATGTATATAATGGTTTTTCAAGCGAACAAATAGATACACATAAAAATATTTATTTATCTATTTAAAGTCATAAAATTTGTAAATAAACCCGTAAGACATATGAAAATGCAATATCAGATATAAGAGAGCCAAATTGGCTCCAACGGTCCTTCTAGGTAAACAATTAAATAAAAATTCAACCATCTTATATTATTGAAAAATTTTTTTACCAAAATTAAGAACATGAAAAATGATGGAAAGTCATAAAAAGATATCATATGGCGGCAAAGTTGAAAAGAATTATAGTAGCAGTTTGAATTTTGCGAGGAGCTAAATTCGCTGCCTCGGTCTTCCTAGTGTTAAGGGTTAAAATTATCTTTTACACTCTTTGTGGGGTATATTCGCTTGGAAGCATGATAATTTTAGCTTAGAACTCTTAAGCCTGATGTACAATGTGCTCTCTGCTTCCTATTTCTTATTCTTTATCTTTTTCTGGCTTGAGATGTAAGGTTTAAGTCAAAAAGAGATAAAGAAAAAGAAGTAGAAGGCAAAGAGCATATTGTAGATAATACTTGAGACTTCTCTCTCTCACACGTGCGCTGTGTTGAAAACGAAGCTCGACGAGAATCGGATAATTCCTGTTTTTACGGAATAAAATAAATCTGATGAAATCTCGCGGATATTAAATTCTGCGATAAGACAAGTGTATCTTTATGTGTCTTTTTTTCGGTTATTTCGCTTGCCTGAGTTAGTGATTTTGTCGACAACTTCTGTCAAACCAGATTTTACCGATCGTGTAAAGATAGATTTGCTTGCGTTGAGATAACTTGTATCAAAATCTGATGAAATCATCAACGAACCGTCAGCGATTAAACAAGTAGTCGAAATAATCGATTAAACTAACAACGAAATCAGCATTTTTCGAATAATCGACTAAACTAGTAGATTAATTCTTTGCATGGCGATGGTAAATATATTCGCCACCTTTTTCTCTTTCACTTTTACGATGTATTATTTACAGTTTAATGAAAATAAGTATTACCTCACATTTTTCTGACATATTAATAATTTAAAAATTTAATTTTCTGAAGAGTGTTTAAGATTAGAGACTGAGAATTTCACTGAATATGTCAAAATATAACATATTTCTTCCAAAATTTTTTACATGCCAAGTTTTTTTATAAACAAATTATTTGTTTAAGAAATGGTCGACAATTCGTGGACAATTTCCCACACACAATTTCACAAACATGAAATTTGTAATTAACGATCTGAAAAACTTTCATATCGTGCGTATGATTTACATTTACTCAAATTTGTACTAATTTATTGCCCTATATAGCAGCCATGTTGAATTTTTGAAATCTGACTTCAAATCTGTAATCAGCGATCCAAAAACGTAGAGATGTAGATTTCACAGAAATCCGTCGGATAGGAAAAACATGCCACACAAAAGTGATATCAAAATATATTTTTTCAGAATTATTATTATTTTTCAGAACATATCCGATTGTGTGTGTTCATTTTTAATTATTTATAAACGGATAAAGCTGAAAAGACCGATTTAAAACAATTTATTTCTTGCAAAGTATTTAAGATTAGAGGCTGAGAATTTTACTGAATATTCTTCACGTGTCAAAATAGAAGATATATTTTTTTCACAATTTTGCACGCGCGAGATTTTTTTTATAAACAAATTACTTGAGTAAATTTTGTAAATCTGACATGAAATTCGTAATTAATGATTTGAAAAATCTTTACATTGCGTATCGCGATTTACATTTATTCAGACTTCACTAATTTACAGACTACACTAACTACTGCCCTATATGGCAGCCATGCTGAATCTGCTATATTGAATTTTTGAAATCTGGTTTTGGATTTGCAATCAGCGAGCCAAAAAATCTAAAAATGCGACGGAAATCTGTCACGTAGAAAATAATGTATCGCACAAAGGATCAAACAAGCGATTGATTAACCGGCGTAGTTGTCAACAATTGCTGACTTTTTAACTCGTCGCTCAACAATAACCAAAAGCTTGATAGTTCGACTGCCCGGCAGAATTTCTCCCTCGCCTCTCCGAGAAAAAGCCCTGAATCCCTCATACCATCCCTCCCATCGGGTGAGTTAATCGCCGGTAATAACATAGATTAGAATGCATCAGGACTCTAAAGCGAGCCTGAGACGAGAAATCCCTCGAGCCCTAAACTCACAAGCCGTTAGCGGCTTGACGCGTCCGGGGAGGAAAATCCAGAAAAACACCCCCTCCCCCCTTATAGAGAGCACCGCTCACGGTCGCCCCGGTTCCCTCCAGCCATTTCTCAATCTTAACACTCTCCTCCTCGAGATCCACTCGCGAGCACTTTCGGAGCGCGAAAGGGCTCATGAAGAAGCTTCTCCCTCCGGCCGGAACGATCTGTCCCCGAAAGCGCCCGCACTCGAGTGGAGTGCGCTGTCGTGCGCCCGACGACGTGCCGCTTCCTCGTCGCAAGCCCCACTGCTTTCGCCCTCTGCTCGACTGCCGGGGTGGTAGGAAGGGCACGGAGGCCGCGCTACGCGCAGGGTGGGGCGCGACGCGAGAGTTGGGTTGGGTTAGTTATAATCTCGTCACTCGGTCGCTCGGCGGACTACGGCGATCAGTACGGGTGCGACTCTCGGGTCGGCTGGGAGGTCCGTTGCTCTACTGGTGGTGTTGGTGGTGGTGGCCGAGCGAGCCGTCGAGCGGAGCTGTCGCCCTGACCTTCCTAACCGAGAGCGGCAGAGGGAGTACGCAAGGGACAGAAGGCATCAGCGCAATCGAGCACTGTCGAGCGATGGCAGGCACAGTGCGCGCTGCACCCTCGGGAATGTGCACCGTCGTCGGCCCGCTGTCGTCGTTCTCCGCGTTACGGTTGCTGCGTTCGTGCGTGTGAAATACGTAGCCGTTGCGCGGGGCCGAATTGTTATGACGTCACCGGCCGGGAAACCGGCGACGATCGCCCAGAAGGCGCGCCGCAAGATCTCGCTGCCCTGGTTCCGCCAGGGCTCCGCGACTCCGCCGCATGCGACCCTCTCCAGGCAGCACACCATCGATACGCCGAGCTCGTTCCAGGCACGACTTCTGCGCCGTCAACCCTCTCTCACCCAGGTAGTCCCACAGCGTGCCCCTAGAAACTCCCCCCTCCCTCCCCCCCATGCAGCCCCATTTCTCCAGCTGAGACTGGCTTGGTCCACACTCCCGTGATCCCGAAGAGCCACGGTCGAGCTGTCGAATCATCAGATAGGGTTATTGGAGGGACAAGATGATGAGAGCGACGAGCCAAGGTCGGGGGAGAAAGGGGTGCAGCTGCGGACGGATGGAATCGCGCGCGGGTCTAGTTTTGTCGCAACGATGAATCACGGACGCTCTTTTCTTTTTTTTCTTTTTTTCTTCTTTCTTGATCTTAGGGATCAGCACGTAAGTGAGGTCGACCTGGTTGATGCGACTTATCGCCCGTGCGCTCGCGAAAGAGTGCGAATCGCACGCGACGGCCGGGTCTCGACGGTATCATGATAGATAACGTAATCTGCTCACTCTTCTTTATCGCGTTTCCTCTGCGTGCGTTTTTTTCCCCGTTTCATCCAGTTCGCGCGGCCCGCGATGCCGACGAGCGTCTTTTGGCACATGGGAAATTCTATTTCGGGTCGTGGAATGCGCGAAAATCGAGCGAGAATAGGCGGGACCGACCACCAAATTACCGACCCATTCGCGACTAGCGTCGACAACAAACAATTGCGCGTTTACAGCTGCGAGGAACAGTGGCGGCAGCGACGGCGGTAGTGGAGGTGTGGTGGTGGTGGTGGTGGTGGTGGTGGTGGTGGTGGTGGTGGTTGTGGTGGTTGTGGCGGTGGAGGTGACGGTGGTGGTGGTGGTGATGGTGGTGGTGGTGGTGGTGGTGTTGGTGGTGGTATTGATGGTGGTAGTGGTAGAGGAGGAGGTGATGGTGGTGGTGGTATAAATACGCGCGGGAGCGTAATGACACGCACGCACATGCGAAGGTATTTTTAGTAACGTCAAAGTATCATCGCGCCGTGGCATTAGTTATTTTCAAAACGCCGGAATCTCCGTGCGCGCGCGCCAACGAGAGAGAGAGAGAGAGACGGAGAGAAAGAGAGAGATACGATGACGGTCAGCAGAGGATCGCTCGGACGTCAGTAATTCGCGCGCGGATCCTCGCTCCGTCGGGCTGCAAATTCAAAGACAATCGGTCGCGTGGACGAGAGAGAGGTTCTCGCTCTCGCGAAGCGAGAGGGAGCGACGAGAGGGGGGAGGGGCGCGATCGTATCGACCCATCTACGCTTGCGTAAGCATGAGAGAGGGCAGCTCGTCTCTTCCTCTTCGCTTTACTTCCCTGCTTTCGGTACATCTCATCCTCTTTCTCTCCTCCTCCTTTTTCGTATTCTTCTTCTTCGTCTTCATTTTGTTCTTCTTCTTCTTGTTTTCTCTCGTATTCTTCTTCTTCGTCTTCTTCTCCGTCTTCATCTTCTTCATCTTCTTCTTCGTCTTCTTCTTTTTCTTCTCCTGTTTCTTCACATTTTTTGTCTTCTTTTTCTCTCTTCGGCATTTTTCCTCATATCCTTCTTAATTTTTCTCGTATTCTTCTTTGTTTTCTTCGTCTTCTTTTCTCCCTCCTCTTTCGTCGTATTTTTCTTCATATTCTTTTTTCTTCTTCTTCGTCTTCTTTCGTATTCTTCGTTTTCTTCTCTTTCCCCCTTCCTTCATATTTTTCTTCATCTTCGTCGTCTTTCTTGTACTTCGTACAAGTACTCCTCCTTTTTCTTCGTCTTTTGCGCCTCCGCCGTCTTCTTCGTCTTATTCGTCTCCGCCTTCCATCCGTGCCTTTTACGTACGCGCGTTCACAGCGTGTCCGTCAATAATGATTTTTGCAATTGCGGCAGGTCGAATGCGAATCAGTCAGTCGTTGTCGATGCTGAACGAGAGACCTAAGCGGCCCGATGCATGTTTCTTTTTCAGACCGGAGTGGTCGAAATGACGTGGGTCGTCGCTGACCATTTGGCGGCGCCTGGCTCGAAGGAGCTTAGCGTGACGAAGGGCCAGCAGGTCGAGGTGCTGGAGAACGGCAGTACCAACACAGTTAGCGGCGTCTGCACCGGCGAATGGACTCTGGTGCGTTTGCCGCTCACGCCTGGACAGGCCGAGCCGCCCGCTGAGGGTCTGGTCCCCACAAGCGCGCTGAAGCAACCACCGACCGCCTCTTGCAAAACTTCACCGTCCAGAAAAGCGTCCACGCAGCAGCAGCAGCAACAGCAACAGCAACAGCAACAATCGCATCATCATCAGTCGCATCATCACCCGTATCATCATCAGCAGATCAATCAGGCGATCGTCCAAGCACAGCAGCAAACTGCCGTTCAAACATCCTCGGGCGCCGTCAACGCGTTACAAGCAACGAGCACCGCGGTCTCCACCGCGGCGCCGGTCACGCAGACGACTTCGTTAACCGCGCTGTCGTCCGCGGTGCTGTCGCCGACGTTGTCGGAGGACGCAGGTGAGTGCGGCGATGCTTCTCCCTGGGAGATCCGAGCCTCTCACGCTCGCTATTTTGTCGCTCGTCGCGAAAGAATCGCGCGGTACACGCAATATCGGGATGTTGACGAGCGGCCGAGGCAGGAAGTCGGTAAACCGCGAGTCGCGATCGCGATGACGCGACCTTCGCTCACGCGCGTTCTTGTTCTTGTTATCGCTCTCGGCCTCCATATACTACTGTGATCAAACAGTACCCGAATTTTATTTTTAAAAATCAAAGTTACAATTCAATCATTCTTATAGTCTCCTTCAAAATAGTCCCCATTGTTTGCAACGCACATATGCCAGCGTTTGATCCAGTCTTGGAAACATCGCTCATACGCAGCAGACGGTATTTCACCGTCCTTCAATTCACGCAGCGATTTTTTTTTATGTCCTTAATCGATTCGAAACGCTGTCCGCGAAGTGGTTTTTTCAGTAGGGGGAACAGGAAAAAGTTGCAGGGGACCATGTCTGGTGAATACGGTGTTTGCGGAGCGACATTCGTTGAGTTTTTGTCAGAAATTCACGCATAAGTGTCGAGGTACGCGATGGTGCATTGTCGTGATGCAAAATCCACGAGTTGTTTTCCAACAATTCCGGTCGTTTCTTACGGATTGTGTGCTGGCATGATCCAAATGATATTCCAACTTCATCTGCTATCTCTCGCACAGTCAATCGACGATTTTGGAGCACCAATTCTTTCACTTTCTCAATATGAGCGTCATCCGTTGACGTTGATGGTCTTCCAGAGCGTGGGTCGTCTTCAACGGGTTCTCGTCCTTCTTGAAACTTCTTAAACCACTCAAACGTACTTATTTTCGATAAACAATCATCGCCATAAGCTTCTTGCAACATTTTGAATGCGTTTGTGAACGAAATTTCGTTCGCAACAGAAAATTTTAAACAAATTCTTTGCTGCATATTTTTCGACATCGTAAAAATCGCCGTGCATAGCAATCTTCACTGACATAAACAACTGCCACTTTCAAACGGCTTGAAGGAACGCCATGATTTTTTCACCAAATGAAGGACATACCTGTATACCAGCTTAAGAAAGCAAACGGATTTGATTTACAGTTTACCCGTAATTTTTAAAAAATAAAGTTCGAATATTTTTTGATCACAGTAGTGATCAAGAGCTGTGCTAATTGCTAGATAGGCTAAGGTAATAATGGCGTTTTTCATTGACGCACACAGAAGCAGCCGGAAGTGATGGCAGCGGATCGGCCAGTACAAATTCACCCGGCAACAAGAGGCGAGGTTTCAGCGGGTGAGCACTTTAGAGAGAGAGAGAGAGAGAGAGAGAGAGAGAGAGAGAGAGAGAGAGAGAGAGAGAGGAGAGGAGTGTAGCAGGGCTTATCTTGAAAATGTCATACGTGCAACGATAATCGCAACACACCGTGACTGCGTTGTTTCTCTTTATAGACGGAAGTGGCTCCCACCGCCTTTACGTAAACTTAGCCAAGGTAAAGTTGAGAAAACCAATACAACTATGCCGGCGTCGTCGTCTCCTTTGACCGGGTCGTCTCTGAAGAAGAGCAGCTCGGACAAGCGCTTTAAATTACCGAGCGGCGTCGAGCACAACCGGCCGGGCAAGGTGGCCTACGAGGCCGAGGCTCAAGAGGGCGAAGAGGCCGACAAGGAGGAGGAGGGCGAAGAGCAGCAGGAGATTGAGGTGGAGGTGGACGTGGACATAACGGAGAGCGAGGACACGGCAACGGTGAGCTTGCAGGAGCAGAATGGCGGCGAGGACGCCGACGACGACCTGGAACTACCGCCACCGATGAAGCCCATCACCGAGCCGATTCTCGTGACCACCGCCAACGGCCCGTCGGGCTCCACGATACCGAACGAGTTGTCCGGCAAGCGAGTGAGCACCTGAACGTCCCGTTGAACTTCGGTTTTATTTGCTCGCCCGCAACGACCGTAACGACTGCTTTCTTCCCATAGACCGCCGAGCGCTCCACGAAGATCCTCGATGGCGCCAGCACGGCCGACCTCTCGGAGATCGAGCAGATCGTCAAGGAGAGGATGGTAAGTTCGCAGTCGTTCGCACGCGATACGCACCGCACTACGCGTATCTCTCGTCTGTCCGAGCAGGAGCAACACACGGAGAACCAGGAGAGGCACAGTCTCATGCGAACGCCCAACGGGAAGTCGTTGAGCAGCGAGGAGGACTACTGCAACACGACTAACCCGGCCGTTCTCGAGGAGTCCGACCCGGAGAGCAGCGCGATCGCCAAGCGGCAGTTCGTTATCCGCGAGCTGGTTGACACCGAGAAGGACTACGTCAACGACTTGAAGCAGATAGTCGAGGGTTACATGGCGCTGGTGCGGAATCCCGACTGCGAGATCCCCTTGCCGGAAAACCTGCGCGGTGGGAAAGACAAGATGGTTTTCGGCAACATAGAAGCCATCTACGAGTGGCACAGAGAGTGAGTCACGTGTGTCGCCGTCTAATCTCGCCGTCGCCGAGTCGCGCTCTGCGTCATGACGCGTTTCCTGTTCGCAGCTTTTTCCTCAAAGCGTTGGAACGTTGCTTGGAACGTCCCGAGGAGCTTGGACCTCTCTTCAAGCGTTACGAGCGAAAGCTGCACATGTACGTGGTTTATTGTCAAAATAAGCCCGTCTCGGAATACATCGTGTCCGAGTACATAGATACTTACTTCGAGGTAATCGGCGGAATCGATAAGCGACTGTGCGTCAAACGGAACTATCTAAATACACACACACATACACACACACACACACATGACCCCGCGTATGTGCGTATGTTGTAGGAGCTGCGGCAAAAACTCGGCCACCGTCTCCAACTCTGCGACTTGCTGATCAAGCCTGTACAAAGGATTACAAAATATCAACTTCTTCTACGGGAGGCATTGCGCCTCACTGAACGAACTCAAAGGTTATCGGAAATCGAAGGCCTCAGAGCGGCGGCTCATGTCATGCGAGTTATTCCTAAAGCTGCAAACGATATGATGGACGTTGGCAGATTACAAGGTTTTGACGTGAGTGCTGCTATCCTTCTTTCTTCCCTCCGCGTGTGCCTTTTTCGCTCTACAAAGGGAACAACGCGACGCATTTCCACGGCCGAATTTCTAATGTTTCATCTTTCAGGGCAAAATAACGGCACAAGGCAAACTGTTGCTGCATGGTCCGCTTATGGTGTCGGAGCTGTCGAATGTCTCCACCAGAGGGAGGGAGTGGCAAGTGTTTCTTTTCGAGCAAAACATTATCTTCAGTGAAGCTGTCGGCAAGAAGACTCTGTTCACCAATCCTGCCTACATATATAAAGCACACATACAGGTACGGCATTGAACTATAGAACCAACTGGAAGGAGTACTGCCTTTGTTTTTGCCTGATGATCGCGAACCGAGAGAGATGGTATGTAAATTGAATCTCCGTCTTTGTCCACCATATACTGGGTGAACTAAAAGTTTAAGCTTACAAAAGTAAAGCAGTAAAGTGTATATAGATACGAGGTGCGTTAAACGTAGTAGAAGAGTTTGATGGATGCTAATTATTGTGTATGGGTGTAACAGCAACATACAGATCAGTATGAGGGTGTTGCTTGCTCCTATTCGGATGATAATACAGAAAAAGTTGCTGAAAAAGTCATTCGTTGACTTTATTGATAATGATATTTGCAGTGTTACCAGGTATGACAAATGCACCTAACTTTGCACTATGATTGTGACAGTTTATCGACAGGAGTCGAGCCTCATTGAATTAGAAAAGATGTTTAAAAAATGAAACTGAGAAATAAATATTACGGAATAAAGCAGAAGTAAGAGTAATACTTAAAGAGATAAATAATATAACATATTTCCTGGTTTTGCATAATTTCTTAATTGTTTTCTCACATTGAAAAATTTGATAGAAATTGAAGATTAGAAAGGACGATACAAAAATATTTAAAAGTCTTTCATACTGTATTTCATCTATGTTTCTACGAAAGATCGTTTCTGAAAAAGTATAAGTGGACTAGAAACGCGGTGTAAATATTGGTTGCAATTTAATCAACCGCAACTATCAAGCGACATTTTCGATACATTATAGTGTTGTATCTTGGCATTGAAAATAGGACCTTTTATAATCTATAGGGCCATTATAGTCTTGTATCTTTTATCGAAAATAGGGCCTGTTTTTCGAAATTTTTTGCAGCTTGATAGCTGCGGTCGATTAAATTGTAACCAATATGTATATTGCGTTTGTAGTCTATTCATACTTTTGCAGAAGCGAGTTTTTGCAGAAATATAGATGAAATACAGTATATAAGACTTTTAAATATTTCTATATCGTTCTTCCTAATCTCCTATTTCTATCGAACTTTCCAACGTGAGAAAACAATTAAGGAATTACGCGAAACCAGGAAATATGTTGTATTATTTATCTCTTTAAATATTACTTTTACTTATTTTGCTTTATTCCGTAATATTTATTTCTCAGTTTCATTTTTTAAACATCTAATTCAATGAGGCTCGATTCCTGTCGGTAAACGGTTGATAAACTGTCATAACGAATACGGTGCAAAGTTGGTTGCATTTGTCATTACTGGGAATACGGCAAATATCATTATCAACAAAGTCAACGGTGACTTTTTTCGGAAACCTCTGCATTATCATCCGAATAGGGGCAAGCATCCCGTTATGCTGACGTGTATGTTGCTGTTACACCCTGTACAAAATGTTCATACATAGAATGTTACTATAAAAGTATCATTTCATAAAAACGACTGGCAAAATAAAACATTACGTTATTTCGCTTTATGATTATTGTTTTCTCAAACAATACATTTTTATAATAAAAGATTTTAATTATATATTCATTATTCAAGAGTAATTGCCGTGATTAAAGTATGACTGAAGATAGTACGCGCGAAATTTCGTTTCTCTCATCTTTTGAAAAGATTTGATAATATTTCCAGACCCACATTATATACTGTGAGAATTTAGGAGAAATAGACTGTAGTACGTCAGTAAGACAGAGTGCGAGATTCAACTTGGTCATAGCCTTTATCTTGCATGCTGATTCGGCACGTATAAAGGCAGTATCCCTTCCAGTTAGTTCTATAGTCTAATGAGGTACGGTCATTGCCGTTTCTGTCGCATCACCGTTGCACGCTGTAGTCGCCCCCGGTGATGCAATGATTTATGATGACGTAAATATATCTACAGTCAAACATTTTTATGATATATATTTACACTCTTCACATAATTACAATCTGTAATTTTATAGCGTGTTTACATTTTATTATTCGAGGGGAGAAGGAAAAGTATCGCGCGTGCGCTCGTATACGCGCAGAAAAAGAAAAAGAAATACAGACCGCACCGGATATGTATCGTAGGTAAACAAGATGAGTCTTGAAGAATCGAACGATGACCAGGAGAAATTTGTCATCCGATCGACGGATCCTCGAAAGCCGGGGCTAGGATTCTCTTGTAGCGCAGCTGAAGAAAGTGGACCGCGCAGGCAGGAGTGGGTAGACACGATCACTGCCATCCTGCAGACACAGCGCGACTTCCTAAAGGCGATACAGTCACCGATTGCCTACCAGAAGGAACTTACCAAAGATCCACTGTAAGCGTCTCTAACTTAACATTGAATTATACTGACTCTCTTTTAATATTCGATCTGTGAATATTCGTTCCGACATATTTTTGTATATTTTATATAAAAAAGAGATACAATCGCCATAATAAGCTAGATAACCGTAGTCGTCTCCTAAAGAACCATCGCCTGCTTTCCTCTGCGCCGCCTCTCAGCTCCATTTTCACCTTTGTCGGCAATTAAGTGACTACTTACACTGTTTGGATATATTTCTTAGCGCCTGTATTGTTATTAATATCATGCTAAAGGTGTGCACGTATCCAGTCATTTCTCTGTCTCTCTCTCTCTCTCACACACACACACACACACACACACACACACACACACACACACACACACACACACACACACACACACACACACACACACACACACACACACACACACACACACACACATTCCTTTTTCTGAATTACCTTACGGTGATGTATCTTGCTTTCGTAGTACAGAGGAAAATGGTAAACAATTCAGTATTCTACTATATTTCCGCGCAGAAGCTTGAAAATGGCTGAGACACAAAAACGAAACGAAGAAAAAAAAAGAAAAAGGCAAACCTACACCTTTATCGGCTAATAAAAAGTACTGTTTATACAGAAGAATATATGCAGAGTGTCTCAAAAGTGCTGCATTACTTTTTAATGGCCGAGCATCTTACGGCACGGATCTGAATGCGGTGTATTTCTCTTGTTAATGAGGTGCGAGCGAAGGTTGTATGCGGCTTCTTGGCCGCTGCGCGACGTGAAATTTTTAACTTGAGAATATCCACACGTGACTAAGTGTCCGGGCAGGAGAATAGTTGTTAAGGAAGCCCACCACCACCTTCGGATCTAGGTCGACTTGCTCGATCGTTAAGAAACAATGCGTTCGTTTTGATACATATATAAGTAAATATAAATATATATCTTTTCATATTCGATAACGTTTCGAACCGATCGTAGAATTCAACTATCGCTCTGTATCAGATACGGAAGTATATACTTTAGTGTTCTAGATCGCCGCAGGCATGCGAGAGTTAATACTCTTTTTATCGTTTAATGGATCAAAATCTACTCACCTGTTCCTTAACGTCTACTACTCTCTAGAATTTCAACTATCGGTCCCAGAGCCTATAACGTGTATTAATCCGTTCCAACGCGTGCATGCATACACGCGTGCATGTTTGTATGCATATACACATTTATATGTACATGCATATATATATATATATATAAATATACAGAGTGTCCCATTTTAAATGGACCAGGCAAAAATCTCGAAAAATATGAAAGGTACTAAGGAATGTTTCAGACAAAAATTGTGTGGTTCCAAAGGGGATATAAAACAATTATATCATTTTGTTTACAGATGATGCCACCTTCGAGATATTCACTAATCATTACTTTTTTTAAATGGAAACTCCAATTTTTTATTGTATCATCTTTTTCCATCAATTAATTTGAACAACTCTTGTCATTTTTTTATGTGCCTAATAATTTTTAAGATATTTAAAGAAATTTATTATAGGTGACTTTTTCAACATTTAACTTACGATCATCACTAACTTACGATATCACTAACTGTTTGTGGAAAGAAAAGATAGTATTGAACTTTTTACTCTTTCAACTTAGTTTCAAGAATGTATTGTTAAAATAATGCCCTAACTTTTGTCAACTTATCGACCTTTGGAAATTTCAAAATCAACAAATTAACAAAAGTCAGGGCGCTGTTGTAACAATATAACTTCCTTGAGATTAAATAAAATAAAAAAGTCTAATATCACTTTTTCTTCCGACGAGTAATTAGCGAGATATCACAAGTTAAATATTGAAAGAATTATAAAGTTTTCTTTTAATAAGAATATTAGGCAAATAAAAAAGTGTTTCAAACGAAAGTTGTCCAAATTAATTGATAGAATTAAAGGTGATATAATAAATAATTGAGATTTCCCATAAAATAATAATAAAAAATTGAGATTTATGAAAAGTAATGCTCAGTGAATATCTCGAAAATGGCGCCATCTGTAAACAAAGTGATATAGTCATTTTATGCATCCCTTGAAAGTACACAACTTTTATCTGAAACGTTTCTTAGTATTTTTCATGTTTTTCGAGATCTTTGCCTGGCTCATTTAAAATGGGACACCCTGTACATATATATGCATACGCATATATATGTATGTGCTGTGGTTGGGTGTGTGGGTGTCTGTGTGTGTGCGTGGGTGGGTGTGTGTGTGTATGTGTGTGGTGTGTGTACACGGGGACGTATTTTGTTGTTTACGTGCGTTTACGTCTACACTTGCGATTAAACAATAATACAAAAAGACGCGCTCCGAGTGCGATGTATTAATAACATATAATATTAAAGATATGCGATATATATATATATTTATAATAATTTTAATAACGTTTACAAACGCGCGCGCGCGAGTCTGGACAAACTGGCGTGAGACAGTAATACTGTATATATATAATAATAATGCGCGGCACACACACACATTGTGGAGGATAGTCCAAAGCAAAGCTATAATTGACCCGCGAATCGTAAGGATTTTGTCTAGAATAAAATTGTAAATTGAGATCAAGATCAGTGGATTGTGATGATGTGCGTTCCTTTGGTCCTCTGCCTGTCACCTAATATATACGCCCACCCCGACCGACTAACAAGCTTCTTTTCTTATCATTTTATCAAGAACACAGTACTGCGGGAAGCAAGTCGAAGTGTATCCACCGCGATCACAACCAACCAACCAACCAACCAACCAACCAACCAACCAACCACTCACCCACTCGCCCTTGCCGCGCGTCGCTATTAAGCACCCACTCATCTAGTTCTTCGACACGTCTGAAAGATCCAAGTTGCTGCGACGTCGACTCCGCACTCCGGCTTGACGTCGAGACCCGTTCCTTCCGATCGCTGCGGGATTTCTTCCGCAATGTCGACGTTATTCGAGAGTCGTTGACGAAACCCTGGGGCTATTCTTTTCGGCTGCACTGCTGAACTGATGCGATAAATTAGACTGAGGAAAGATGTAGTTGTCTTATCCTAACTTGTCGCGCCGGTTCAACAGAAGTGCAGTTGAAAAGGACACTTGCCTACTTGCCTTGCCGTTTACTCCTCCGGTGCGAATCTCCAAGTGATGGCGGGAGCGCGCGGGTCTCGACACGTAGTACTGTGTTTTGGATTTCATTTATGATTTGCTGGCGTACAGCCGTGCCAGTACGTCCGAACCGGCGACTCGGGCGACCGTATCGGTTCCTCCCACGCTGACAGTCCCGGGATTGGCGAGCAAAGACAAGAGTCACGAGCACAGGACGTCGAGCCAGCCGCAGCTGCAGCGTTCGCACACCGGGGGATTGGACTACGCTCAGCCACGTACACCCAGCCCGACCAAGAGTAGGCTGAACTTCTTGGAGGGATTTAAAAATACTCTACGCACGCGTTCGCCGGTGCGCAACAATTCCATACCGGTGAGCCCACCTTGCCTGCTACAAAAACGTCACTCGCTACTCGGCCGGAATGACACTCTCGTTATCCACCTGTATCAATTAGAATTCTTGATTGCAGCAAAGGAGCTCTTCCTCTTCCTCTTGATGCCTGTCACTATCTGCTATCTATTGCATCTATTGCATTGCCTTGTGTCGGTGCGACGAGTATAAGTCATACTTCTGTTATTAAAACGCAAAAAAAGCCAAAAAAAAATGAAAGAAAGAAACTCTCCGGCCGACCACGCCATGAAAAAGACCGTCGTGTGCCAACTTCACGCCACGCCACGCGTGACTTGTCGTGTTTTCTTAACTTGTAATGATAAGAACTTACAGGCGTACGTCGTAGAAGAAGCAAATACATTACATTACGTAGGAAGAAAAAAAAGTAATCGCTGCGAGACTGAAAGGCAACTCAACTCCAGCGTCTCTAGTGGACTTCTGATACTACAGACTCTGTTACCGCTTCTAACATCTCTTATATCCGCTGTGTACCGTTTCGTATTATACTATGCTGCTACACTGCTTTCTCACCACCGCCGTCGACGCACACTCGCTATCGCTCCGAAACGGTCCTGATGACCGTTACTACTGCCTACCTCTGTAACCACACCGCAGCTATACTCTGTACTACTACAACCGCTCCACTCTGTCGAGTAGCAACTACCGTCGTGTTACCTTCTCCGCATTTCCGGGATCTGTTGTACGGCTGCTACTACTATCGCTACCGCCGCTACTATTGCCAACCGCCTCTGAATGATGCACTGCGGTCGATCGATGCTGGGAGCACTTCCCGGGGCCCTGGGGACCCATTGAATTCTTGCTGAACCTGACGATACAGGGCGTGTGTATGCGATGATATGCAAGTTGTATAAGAATTATATTGGCATACCGAACGTGCTTGGGGAGAAGGAGGAAGGAAAAAAGGTCTGTAACGGGAGATCTCCTTAGGTCGTTCCAGGTGCCCGCGTAAGATTAGCCGCGGACTGGGGAAAGTTGCACGCCGGGGACGAGCTGGTGGTCTCCCATCTGGACGGTCCAGGTCTAGTGGTGTCTCCTGTGAACACCAAGGACGAGCTGTGGATCCCAGCGAGTCTGATCCCGAACTCGGCAAACAGTAAAGTGTGGTCGTTTCGTTCGCGAAAGGCCGATCTGATGAAGAATCACGCCACGACCGAGTCCTCGAGAGCGATGACGACGACAACGACGACAATGACGACGACGACGACGACGACGGCGACGACGACGACGACGACGATGACGACGACGATGTCGACATCGACGACGGTGTCTGAGGAGAAAACGCCGGTTATCTTGAGCAGTCCGATGTCGATTCGTGCGGTCGCCGGAGAAGTCATCAGGCTGGCTGTCGAGACGCAGAACGCGCACGGCGCGGTCATCACCTGGAGGAGAGAAGGCGAAGATCGGTGCTTAAGGGAGAGCGACCGATACCAATTCCAACAGAGCGCAGGCTTCATGTACTTACAAATCACCGGTTGCCAGGCTTCGGACTCTGGGACGTATTATTGTCACGTCAAGTGCGACACGGGCTTCTGCTCCGCCAAGATTTCACTTTCCGTCATAGGTATGCACTTAGAGGACTCGATATAGCATGGATGTGCCAGTTTGCGCTGATTGTTTGATATACAGGGCGTATAAAAAGCACCGGGACGGTGAAATATCACAAAAACTAAGCATTTTAGAAAAAAATGTTTCAAATAAAAATTGTAGGGTTTCAAAAGATCTATTTACTGACATTATGAGTTTGACCTGGGGTGGCGTCGCCAAGGTCAGGACAAGGTCACCTTGATATTTTTTAAATAGGATCCCTATTTTTTATTGCATATTCTTGTAGCTCTTCTTCGGACTTTTTCAAAGCACTATAATTTTGTCCACTTTGAGTAAATCGTTTCGAAGTTATCGAGCTTTTTATAATAAGATGTCCAGCCAGCGGCTGGAGCAATTTCGTGACTTGTATTTCAGACACATGTAATATTAAAGTAATACTAATGTACTAAATTTATAACAGCACTAAAATTCACCTTCGAATCACTTCAAATCAATTGCAACGAATTTGACTTGAAGTAGAACACATTACTTGTTTATGATACGCATTGTTTCATACGGAAAAGACAAATTATTTTTTTTATTGACTTTTCTTTCTTTAATTGAATTATCGATTTTGTCATCTAATTAATATAAATTTCTGTTTATTGGATAAATTTTTTTGTTTCCTTATTTGCTAGCTATTTTGTTCCCTTATTTGCTAGCTACTGCTAGCTTATTTGTTAGACACAACACACACACACACACTTTACTTTTTCTTTTAGAGATTAACATTATTCTCAAACGCTTTTGTAAGGATCTTGCCTTGGCTGACTGGATATTTCTTTGATCTATTTTGGTTGGCTGGACATCTTATCATAAGAAACTCGATAACTTTGAAACGGCTTACTCAAAGTAGAAAAAATTATAGTGCTTTGAAAAGGTCTGAAGAAGAGCTACAAGAATATGCAATAAAAAATAGGGGGTCCTATTTAAAAAATTCAAGGTGACCTTGTCCTGACCTCGGCGACGCCACCCAAGGTCAAACTTATAATGTCAGTAAATAGATTTTTTGAAATCCTATAATTTTTATTTGAAACATTTTTTTTCTAAAATGCTTAGTTTTTATGATATTTCACCGTCCCGGTACTTTTTATACACCCTGTATATACCTAGTATATACTAACCTGTATATACTAAGCAGTAACTTTCCCCAGTCAGAACCATAACATTGATTCGACATTGATCTGACCTTGAAATGGTCGATAAACTGTGGAATCAACGTTGATCTAACTTTCATCGACGTCGAATCAACATTGTGGCTCTGAGTTCTATTTATGAAATTCAGTACAAGGTGTATCCCTGCCGATAAATTTACAGCATAAATGTTGAAAAATGTTGAAAAATAAGCAACAAAATTTTGGTCAAAATATATGACCAAGCAAGAGCTTGGTTTTTAATAAGATCCCGGGGAAAAGGATCATGTATAATCCATCTTGTCCATGTATGGCTATATACAGAGTGTTTTAAGAAAAGGCTTCAGAGCTTCAAGGACAAATAGTATTCGAAAAATGGAGAACAAAAGTTCTAAAATAAACATGGGGCTAAAAATCAATCTTTTATTTTAATTAAAGCGAGTGACCTGTTCGTTCCTGGTTTCAAAGCTTGTAGAAGATTTTCTACATGTTTTAATATTTCCACGCACGCGTCACATCTTTGTACCATAGAATTGCGAACTCTCAGAAATTCCCGGCTTTGTTCTAGCTATTTGACAAGCATTTTGTATTCTCTGATGTAATTTGTCTGATGTTATTTATCGGTGAAGAGTACACTATATACTATACTCTTCAGAAATCCCCATAAAAAAAGTTCAAGTGATTTAAATTAGGAGAGCGAGGGGGCTATGAGACTGGTTCACCTTGTCCAATCCATCTTTCACCGAAGGACTAGAGATGTGCGAACTATTCGAATTCGAATCGAATCGAATCTAGTGTAATTCGATTTGATTTGAATCCGGATCCCTATGATTCGAATCCGAATAATTCGAAAATTTCCTATCGCGAAGATTCGAATATGAATCAAATAATTAGCGTTTGCGCGCATCAGCTACAGAACGGGCCATCTGGGCCTCTATGAATCTATGGGCCTATTTGAATCTTTAACTTGTAATTAACTTAATATATAATTAATAATTACTTAATTATAAATTACTTTAAATATTTAAATTAAATATATATTTTATTTTAAGATGATATTACAATATTAATATTCCCTTTCATATTAAAATCTCCCATCATTATTTATATGTTTAATAATCACGTTAAATTTTTTAATGATTCCATTCGATTTCATTCGATTCGATTCGAATTCAAGTAAAATTTCATAGATTCGATTCGATTTAAATTCGAATTTAAAAAATGAGATTCGATTCGACATAAAAATTCTTGATTCGTACATCTCTACGAAGGATTTGTTAGAATATTAGACGAATTGCATCAAAAAATGTAAAAAGCCTGTTAGACAGAACAAAGTTGAGAATTTTTGAAAGATTTTGCAATCTTGTGATACGAAGATGCGACGCGTATAGAAATAGGAAGATGTGTAGAAAATCTTCTGTAAACTTTATAAGTATCAGAAGCGAGTAGGTCATTTGCTTTAATTAAAATAAAGCGTTATTCATAATTCCGACAATATTAATTTTTCGACTCATGTTTATCAGGACTTTTTTCCTCCGTTTTATGAGTACTATCTGCTCTTAAAGTTTTGAGCCTTTTGTTTTAAATATTTTATATAATCATGCATAATTATATATGTTCATAATCGCAAAAATTGTACAAATATAATCGAAGTAAACGCTTAAAGTAAATGCTGCCGGCAGCATACGGATGTCTCGACCTTTATTTGCATAAAAATATTTCTTTCTTTTCTCATTTAATGTCATTTTTTTCTGTGTGGAATTTATATACGTGAACATATTTAGACAAAAATTATATATATAATTATATATATAATTTATATATAATCACATCATTTGAAGTAATTATATATAATCATATAACTTTCTATTATTTTATAATTATATGTAAGGTATATAATTTAACTTTATAATTATATGCAAGGTGTCCTTTCGGGATTTTTTGGAAATGAAAAATTGTGAAGATTAATCGGATAAAATTGAGGAGAAAAGTTACGTACCAAATACTAAGCGAATAAAAATTAATAATATATAGTTATTAATAATATATAGTTATTATTTTAGTTATAATCGATAGATATGAGTATATTGAATTTTGAACCTTGAATCCTGAAACTATTGCTGGCACAATAGCCGTCATATAATTGTAGATTAGGTCATTCTGAATAAAAAAGTCTTTTACTATTTTACAAACAAGTACGTAAATTTTTAAGTTATCAATTAAAAGAGCCTTTAGATGTGTCATTTTCAATCATTAATAACTTAATAACTATTGCGATTTTCACAAAACAGTACTTGACTTTTCTTCTCAATTTGGTCTTCATAATTTTCCATTTCCAAAAAATTCCGGACATCCTGTATATATACATATAGGTTGTACAAAAAGTACCGGGACGGCAAGATGTCTCGAAAATTAAACATTTTAGAAAAATATGTTTCAGACAAAAGTTGTACAGCTTCAAGGGGGACATAAAACACCTATATCATTTTGTTTACTTGATGGCGATTTCGAGATATTCATTAATCATTATTTTACTTGAATGGAAATCCCAATTTTTTATCATATCATCTTTTTCTACCAATTAATTTGGACAACTTTTATCCGAAACATTTTTTTATTTGCCTGATATTTTTTATTTATTTAAGAGATATTTAAAGAAAATTTGATAACTTTTTCATGATTCAGTTTTCAATATCTCGGTAACTATTTGTCAGAAGAGAAAATGATACTAGATTTTTTACTTTATTTGATTTCAAGAATATACTGTCACAATGGCCCAACTTTTGTTAACTTGATGATTTTGAAATTTCCAAAAATTAACAAGTTAACAAAAGTTACGATACTATTGTAACAGTATAAATCTTGAGATGAAATAGAATAAAAAATAGTCACTTTTTTTCGACAAACATTTAGCGAAATATCGTAAGTTAAATATTGAAAAAGTTATAAAGTTTTCCTTTACCCTTTAACTGCTGAGATATTAAATGACCAGTATGACCCTCTTTGCTGAGTTATTTTTACAATTATAAAATATTTTATAATGATATAAGAGATGGCACTATATGCCTGCTCAATTCAATTTTACAAACGAAATTAAATGGGTATTACACATTGAAAGTCCAAATCGAGTAAACTCGATCGTAGCAATCTTTTTCCACACTCGAGTTATCTTGACCGTAGCAGTTAAAGGGTTAAATATCTCAAAAAATATTAGGCGAATAAAAAAGATCAGACAAAAATTGTTCAAATTAATTGGTAGAAAAAAAATGATATGATAAACAAAATGATACAGTTGTTTTATGTCCCTTTTGAAACCATACAACTTTTGTCTGAAACATTTGTTTCTGTATATAAAACGCTTTGTCTTCGAGATATTCCGCCGTGCCGGTATTTTTTATACATCATATATAGAAGGTGGGGCATTTTAATTTATCCAAATTGATATTTTCGAAGATTATGGAAATATCAAAAAATGTCCAAGAGAAAAGTTATAGGGTTCGTAGGGGGTCAACTGATGATGACCTTAACCTGGACCTTGAAGGGCATTTTCAAGGTCAGTTGAAGATCAACTTAATTTTTTAAAATAGAAAGCTTAATTTTTTATTGTATCCTTTTTTTCTACCAATTAATTTGAACAACTTTTGTCTGAAATATTTTATTATTTGCCTAATATTTTTTGAGATATTTAAGGAAAATATAACTTTTTCAATATTTAACTTACGATATTTTGCTAATTATTTGTCGAAAGAAAAAATAGTACTAGACTTTTTTACTCTATTTAATCTCAAGAATAGAATTGCTATAAGAGAGAGTGCCTTTACTTTTGTTAATTTAGTTAATTTAGACAAAAGTTGTTAAAATTAATTGGTAGAAAAAGAAGATATAATAAAAAATTGGGCTTTCTACTTAAAAAAATTAAGTTGACCTTTAACTGACCTTGAAAATGCCATTCAAAGGTCAAAATCAAGGTCAAATCACCATCAGTTGACCCTCTACAAACCCTATAACTTTTCTTTTAGACATTTTTCGATATTTCCATAATCTTCGAAGTTATCAGTGTGGATAAATTAAAATGGCCCATCCTATATAGGGTGTTTCAGAAATAGTTGGCCAAACTTTAAGAGTATATTCCACTTATTGTAAGGATGAAAAAACGTCATATAAACATGGGTTCGGAAACGCTTCCTTTCCAAGTTATAAACATTTCTTACTTACTTTACTTATAGACTTTAACAACATTTGAACTGCAAGAACATTTCATTAAATTGCTGGAAATGATTTCCTTTCACATTGATGCATGCTTCGCATCGACGTCGCATGGAATGTCGAAAACATTCAAAAATTCCCGGAGTATTTCGTATTTTGTCATACGAAGTGATAATACGATTTCGGAGTACTTGCACTTGAGTAGTAGCAACAGGAGTATCATAAACGAGAGTCTTAAGATGTCCCCATAAACAAAAATCCATAAGATTCAAATCGGGAGAACGTGTAGGCCAAGCGATAGATCCTCTTCTACCAATCTGTCTATTGATATAATTATTATTCAGGAACTCTAGAGCAGTGCGGCTGAAATAAAGGAATGAATGTTTATAACTTGGAAAGGAAGCATTTCCGAATCCATGTTTGTATATGACTTTCTTTCATCCTTACAATGAGTGGAATATATGCTCTTAAAGTTTGACCAACTATTTCTGAAGTACCCTGTATATGCATGAATTATTAATATAAAATTGTGTTTTAGGCAGGAGCAATACGAGGGTACGTGTTTTGGGCTCCTCGCGAGTAGAGATCGACTGGGAAAAACGGGAAATCGGTAGCGCGTCGTGCAGCATAGAGTGTAGAATTTTACCGTCGCAACAATGGGTGTCAGTGCTAAAGCAGGCCAACGAGCCACCCTCTGTACTGGACATGCCGCCTGATGCTTCGTATAGCTTCCGGGTGGTGGGAGACGGTGGGAGGATGACCTCGCCGTCGAACGTGGTGACGCTGTCAAGATTGGACGCCGACAGTGGTGCGGAATGGGAGGCCAAGCAGTTCATCGGCAGGTACTTGGAGTTGGACGAACTGGGTAACGGCAGGTTCGGCACGGTCCGTCGCGCCAAGGACCGTGGTACCGGTCAGGAAGTCGCCCTCAAGCAAACCCCGCGGCACAAACAGTCAAGGTCGCTGACGCGCGCAGAGTACGACCTCCTGGCCGCTGCTCATCACACCAACATCGTCCGGGCGTTCGCCCTGTTCGAGAATGCGCCTCGACCCGGCGTGGACACCATCGTTTTGGAACTGTAAGACTCGCACCGATCAAGAGTGAACGTCGCTGACGTCTCGCTCATCGTTTCTCATCGAGTTCTTGTTCTTCAGGGTTAAAGGTCCGACGCTATTCGCGTATTTGAGCGAGAAGATGGAATATACCGAGGCGACAGCGGCGCGATACACCGGCCAGCTATTGTCGGCGCTGCATTGGCTGCATTGTCGCGACAGAGCGCACTTGGACGTGAAGCCGGAGAACATTCTCGTCGACCAGGAGACAGACGTCGTGAAGGTGATTGATCTGGGAGAAGCGGTGAGGGCTCCTGTCGACGAGGTCGTGCCGCCTGCTGATCTTGAATTCGCGGCGCCGGAATCGGTATTGGGTAGACCGACCGGTCCTTACACAGACATGTGGGCCATCGGGGTTTTTATTTATGTTCTGCTAAGGTATTGCTTAGACTACTCTCGCTCTTATCTTAAAACGTTTTTATTCTATTTTTTTGTTTTTAATTGTTTCTATCGTCAATTTGACTTCATTATTTTTATTAGTTTGGGGCTATTTTTCTTGGTTTCGGGATAATTATTCAGTAAACAGGAAACGTTGAATTAATATGTTTGTAAATGGTCATGGTCATGTGTGTCTCGTAAACATCTCCATGCAACATTTTACATTTCGAAAATGCAAACAGAGATGGAGTATTATCTTCCCACTGCTGCAAAAGTGTCTTAGAAATATTCAAATGTTAAAGTTGTTTCTGACGATGTTGATACAATGTTAAGGGGGGAATTACATGTGGAAGGCCTTTCAAGGCTACGAATTTTATAAATTTTTTTAATAGAAACTGTAAGATCAATGGACTTGAAATTTCCACAGTGTATTCATTAATGTTCGAAGTATAAAATAAATTTTATTGAATTACAAGAACCGATTGTGATCCAACTTGTAATTATAGATAAAAATGCAGTCATCCGTTTGCGAGCTCTATATTTGCTATCATAATATTTGTTTTTGACATAATTCCGGGTCTTTTCCTACTCTGAAAGCAAAAAATGAGAAAAATTTTTTAAATATACGGTTGCCATTTTAGCTCGTATCAAAAGGCGGTGAAGTCAAGTTTGGAAAAATAATGACTGTACAAAAAAAGTATCGAAAATGAAATTTTTTTTAACCTATAATCATGTTTAAAAAAAATGAATATAACTATGTGAAAATAAAATATAACCATGTTCGATATAGGGGCGAAAACTACAAGTCTATTGTATATTGTATAAAAATTTCAAACTATTCGGTTCAGTAGTTTAAGAAAATAATGTTTCCAGATAAACGATTTAAAGTTTTGTGTGTACTTTCCATATAAATAGTAACAAATTTATTTTATACTTTGAACATTAATGGATACCACTGTGAAAATTTGAAGTCTATTGATCTTACCGTTTCTGTTAAAAAAATTTGTAAAAATAATCATGAAAACGGTCTGCTTCGCATATAATTCCCCCTTTAAACGTTATGTATTAGAAATTGTTATATTTTATTAAATATCGTTACGCAATAACATTCTACCAATGATATATTTACGGACCACGTAGTTACATTTTACTTGTAACTAAATTTTATGTAATATCAAAAATGGTTTTGATTAATTTTAATTATTTTAATCGTGGTTTTCTCTCATTTATATAACTATATTTCTTTAATTATATATCTTTAATTCTTTATTATTAATATTCTTTAATTATATATTAAATTTTTCATATACTTTTCTTAAGAATTTGAATATTTCAGTGGGTTATCACCTTTCCTGGACGATTCCATAGAGGAAACTACCGCTAATATACTTAAATGTGACTTCTGTTTCCCCGATGAATACTTCGAGACAATATCCAGTGACGCGAAGAATCTCCTCAAGAGATTATTGTGTCTGCATAGTGAGGACCGAATAAACGCGGAACTTTGTCTCGCCTCAACGTGGTTAAAGGTACATTTTCTATTGAATATTTTAATAATTCCAGTTATTTTTTCTCAAATATTAGTGACTTATTCTTATATTAATATTAGTGGTTCAAAGAGAGAAAAAGAAAATATTTCTTACCTTGTTGAATTCTCGCTTATCTTTCTGATAACGCAAACAATTTTATATAAAACCTACTTATGCAACATTGTTCTTTCTTTTATCAGGTATCGACTGGCGCTATCATACCGTCCACTAGAATGGCCGCATTTATAGAACGTCGAGCGCACTGTCTTAAACTGCGTCAAGATCATAATGATAGTTTTTATTCTTAAGACTCTATATATATATGTATATATGTGTGTGTGTGTGTGTGTGTGTGTGTGTGTGTGTGTGTGTGTGTGTGTGTGTGTGTGTGTGCATATATGTGTGTGGGTGTGTGTACACATATAGAATGTATAAAAAGTATGGGATGGCGAAATATCTCGAAAACTAAGCATTTTAGAAAAAAATGTTTCAGACAAGAATTGTATTCAAGGGGGACATAAAACAAAATTATATCATTTTGTTTACAGATGGTGCCACTTTCGAGATATTCACTGATCATTACTTTTCTTAAATGAAAATTCCAATTTTTTATTGTGTCATCTTTTTCTATCAATTAATTTTAACAACTTTTCTTTGGAACATTTTTTTATCTATTATTTTATTTGTCTAATATTTTCTGAGATATTTGAGGAAAATTTGATAACTTTTTCTAGATTCAGCTTCCAATATCTTGGTAACTATTTGTCAAATAATTATTTATAAAAATAATACTAGATTTTTTTACTCTATTTGGTCTCAAGAAAATATTGTTATAATAGTGTCCTTAATTTTTGTTAACTTATCGACCCTGGGAAATTTCAAAATCATCAAATTAACAAACGTTAGGGCATTATTGTAACAACATATTCTTGAGACCAAATAGAGTAAAAAAGTCTAGTCTAGTACTACTTTTTTCCGACAAATATTTAGCGAGATATCGTAAGTTAAATATTGAAAAAGTTACCAAATTTTCCTTAAATATCTCAAAAAATATTAGGCAAATAAAAAAATGTTTCAGACAAAAGTTGTTCAAATTAGTGATAGAAACAGATATAATGAAAAATTAGGATTTCCATTCAAGAAAACTAATGATCAGCGATTATCTCGAAACTGGCGGCATCTGTAAATAAAATGACAAAATGATAAAAATGATAGCTTTATGTCTCTCTTGAAACCATACAACTCTTGTCTGAAACATTTTTTTCTAAAATGCTTAGTTTTCGAGATATTTCGCCGTCTCGATATTTTTAAAGAACTCGTCTCATCGTCTTACGCGAATTCGTTCTCCAATTTCCTTCAATTAATAATCTGAAATTTTATAGTTGTTTATAAAATAGTAAAGGACCTTTTACCCAGTTGGATAAGTTCTACTTGTACAAGAGCAGACGTGTGCATGAGTCAGACATCTTACACACGCTCACACATACATATGTAGTAAACATGTTACTTAAAATACATGACAAATTCATATGTAAATAATGGAATATATACTTGAATGTCTAACTGTCCAGTATGTTGATTTAAAGGACTGTGGAAACCTTTCGCGAAGGTCCACGAAATAAGCAAAGATATATTTTGTTTTTTGAGCAAAATACAGAAAGATACATCTTGTAATTGTGATATTTGTAATCAGGAGAATCGTCTACAGGCGGCTAAAGAACATTTTGTGGAAAATAGGGTCAAAATAAAAATCGAGTAAGAAATTAGAATTAGCCACTTGTAGCACAAATTAATATTTTCATTTGTTATGTTATTCCATATATATATATATATATGGAAATAATATTATATTATTTCCAAAGGCCTAATTAAAGTCAGCCATTTTAGTCTCTTTATAAGTGGGACAAGGAAGACATCAAAAAAGTTTCAAGAAGAAATGTAGCATTAAAGGAGTAAAATATACCAAATTGCACAATTTTCGTTCACACGGGAGCACCATCATAGTGCAAAAGCTAGTTCCAAAACGTGGCAGTTTTTGACAAAAAATAACATGGCGGTTGTCCTTGGCAAAAGAATAACATGGCGGTCGTCTTTGGCAAAAGATAATATGACAGTCGTTCTTGACAAAAAATGACATGGCCACATCTTTCTTACTCGCCGGATTTAGCCCCTTGTGATTTCTTTTTGTTCCCCAAAATGTAGTTGAAACTCAAGGGGCGGGTTTTAGCACGGTCGAGGGGATCTAGTCCGAATCGCAAGAGAGAGAACTTAATGCTGCTCAGGAAAAGATTTCCACGAAGCGTTTGAGGCATGGCGGAAGCGATGGGATCGCTGTATATATACATACATAAGGGAATTACTTTGAAGGAGATGTAGATCAAATTTAGGTTAAAAAAAATATACTTTTTATAGGCTTAGTCCGGTTTCATTCCGATAGCACCTTGCATGTGATATATTTGCTTATCTTATAGCCGGGCGTGTATTTTTCACTCACAACTGAGATCAAGCGATCGTTCAAAAATTATGACTCATAACCCTTTTTAGGACTAAATTTACGTCATTAGCATATATTCATAACATGAGTCACATCTATCGTACTGCGAGACGTAGAAATGTGTATAAAATTGGATTTTATATACGAATTATTAGTCGCAAAGAGAGGGGAGACCGAACAGTTCGGAAGAGAAATGACAAAATAGTTAACGCCAAAATAAGTCAATATTTAGTCGAATAAAATTTTCATCGCATCGAGCATGACATAACTTTACCTACCTATATAAACTAATCTAAATCAAACTCAATACGTTATGGTAAGTTTAAATTACTATTTCTACAATCTAACAATTTAGAAGTAGTGGTGATAATTTGTATATTATTAATATATATGTTCTCTCTTTCCTTCCTCACATATTTCTTCAAGTACAAAATAATAGACATTGCAATAGAAATATCAACTATTCATGTTTATACCCTACATACTATATGTTATTGCTCTTGAACTCAAAAGGCATTTGATACATATAAAGATATAAATATCTATATTACATATCAAATATATGTGTAGAATATTACAAATAGAAGTATTTGTAACATGTACATTATATATTGGTATGTACTTATGCTATGCACAAATATTTATATATGATAATATAAAAATTTATTTATAAATATTCTGTCAGCTAACACATTACAGCAAAATTATATATCTTGTTGCCAACCATTATCATCAGATAAATATCTTCGTTTGTGGCTAGTATTCATGTACGGCCTCAAGGCCCATTCTGTATCAGCAGTTGCTGCAATGTCTAAAGTACCCAGTTTAATTTCATACAGCTTCATTTGAAAACGTGGCCCTACTTCTGACAACTCAACATCTTTGCTTTGTGTTTTCTTATATATGTGATGTCTGAAACATATGTAGTCATCATGATTGGCAAAGGTGATTACTCTCTTGCTGTCTTCCTTTGGTACAGGAAACAGGTACTTCAGGATATTCATCGTTCGCTGCCCTAGTGTAGTCTTAAAGTTGTGAAAGATTAAGTGTGGGTATTGTTCCGACATTGTGCCAATATTAGGTATATCATGCCTCATTATGACATCGGACAATGTGAAATAGGCTGTAGGTCCATATGGTAAGTGGCATATCACCAGGCTGTCAGGCATACCACGGTGCTCATGTACAACAATGAAGTCGGTGACGTCGTTCGCTCTGCAAGCTTCGATTAGCTCCTTCATATCATAACCACCACGGTTCATTCGTTGTGAATTGGGAAAAATTAGACGTAATTCTTTGAGAAACATCTTCAACCTGGAGCTGGGGTCGCGCGACGTTGTGATGACGATCTTGGGGTCCTCCACACCAGCCCAGCGATACTCGTCGTCCTCGTGGTTAGCTACAGCACCACCCATCTCTGTTCCCGTGGCTGCTGCCATTTCCGGCCCCGCATCTTCCCATTCTATCTTCCTCTGCACATACAAGGCATTTTTACGCAGATCTGGATGAATGGGTATGTTCTCGTCCAGACAACGTTTCAGCTTGTCTTTTTTCTCCTGGATTCCCTTCAACTTCTCCTGCACAGACTTCCTGTAGAGGTATTCTCTACGTAATCGCGCTTGTCGCCGCAACATCTCCGTCGTTTATGATTACGTTCTACCTAAGCCTTTTATGTAGTCAATGTTAATTGTTGCAGAGAGAGTATTCTTATCGAGATTATTATAATTATTATAATATGCACTCAAAATTTCTTGTGCCTCAACATTATATTCACAATAATAGATTATCGATTATAGGTTGTGTTTGGTCACACGTGCCTGCTTCATTCACCGCGGCTGGGTTCGAATATTCACTGCCAGTACTGAAATTCTATAGTATATGTGACACAAACTATGTATTTTCAGTACTGGCAGTGAATTTCGGAACGCAGTCATAGGGCTTGCCCTATTGCTTGCTGGATGAAAATACTGCGTTCTGATTGGTGCATTTCCATCCATCTTCGGAAATGTACCAATCACAACGCAATATTTTCATCCAGCAAGCAATCTAGCACGAAACAAGCACCGTGTGCCGCTTTAACACATAATACATAAAGCCAGCGGCACACGGTACTGTTTTCGTGGAGCTGGATTGCTTGCTGGATGAAAATACTGGGTAATTATCCAATTTAGGGGCTCCGCCTTAGAATTCGATAAAAATAGACTCAATCAACGCGTTTTTTAATAAGAAGCAACTTTTTCCTCTGCGAAAATTGTCGCTCTTCACTGCGAAACAAAAAAAAAAATAGTTAAAGTTGACTATAATAGGTTAGGAAACCTGTCATACAGACTAAAGATAGCGACATGAGTACACTCTGTGGTTACGTGCGCATGCTCAGTGGTTGCGTGCGCATGTAAAAAGTGCACTAATTTAAAATCAAAACTTCTCTGTACTTATGTGTAATTTAGAGTTCACACACAAATATATAAACATATGTACACACACACACACACACATACGGGGGGTGCGAGGGGGGGCCTTCGGCCCCCCCTCCCGCACCCATCCCGTCCTCGTTGCGCGTGAAAAGTTGCAAACCCATCCGGAATCTTGACAGATTTCCTAACCTATTATACCAGTCAACTTTAACTATTTTTATTTCGTTTCGCAGTGGAGAGCGACAATTTTCGCAGAGGAAAAAGTTGCTCCTTATTAAAAAACGCGTTGATTGAGTCTATTTTTATCGAATTCTAAGGCGGAGCCCCTAAACTGGATAATTACCAAATACTGCGTTCTGATTGGTATATTTTCGAAGATGGGTGGAAATGCACTAATCAGAATGCAATATTTTCATCCAGCAAGCAATCCAGCACGAAAACAAGCACCATATGCCGCTGGCTTAACACATAAGAGAATAAGCCAATTAGTTTTCTTCATTTCTCTCCTCAGGACAGAAATAAAGAACTCAGATTGTTTTATTCTCTTATGTGTTATGTATTATGTATTATGCAAAAGCCTGTGCTCTTGCCCATAAAGTTAAAGCCAGCGGCATATGGTCTGTTCTTTTTAGCTACACTATTGAACTGGTACAATAAGTTAAAGTGAGAAAAAAATATAGTTGCCTCATTCTAACTTATTGCACTAGTTCCTCAGTGTCGCTAAAAAGAACAGATCAACACGAAGATGGATGGAAATGCACCAATCAGAACGCAGTATTTTCATCCAGCAAGCAATCCAGCACGAAAACAAGCACCGTGTGCCGCTGGCTTTAGATCTCTCTTGTCCCTCCAGCTCCCATCACAGGTAACCTGTAGTTTTTATTAGTGTTTATTAATATAATGTAACAAACTTATTTTTTGTCAGAAAATGGAGCATGGAAATCCATCGACAAGTAAAATCGAAGGATCATATAAAAAGCGTAAAATTAAGGCATTTAAACAATCATGGTTAGAAAATGAGAAATTTAAAGATTGGTTAATATTACACTCTGACGGTACGAGGGCTTATTGTACTGCGTGTGGTAAAATTCTTGCGTGTGGTAAATCCGAATTGATTAAACATGCAGTTCGAAAGATTCATATATCTAATATTAGTAGACAAAAATTAGATAAAATTAGTAATAACACGTCCGGTAATTTATTCAATAAACTTGTAAATGATAAACCTGTCTCATCGTTTACTACAGAAAGTGTGGACTATGTAGAGAAAGTAAAACTAGCCGAAAACAAATTAGCAACATTTTACGCGGAATATGATGTAGCTCTGGATTCGTTGAATCATATGGTCTTTTTGTTGCAAGATCTTTGCATACAACCACAAATAATAAATGATCTTACATTGTCACGAAGGAAATGCACGCAAATTATAAAAAATGTGATTGGTAAATACGAAAATGAAAATATAATTGAAAATTTAAAACAACAAAGATTTTCTGTCTTGATTGACAGCAGTTTTATTATTACAAATGAGAAAATCCTTTCTATATTTGTTAAATATATTGATAGAAAAAGTAAAAAAGCTATTACAGAGTTATTACAATTAATGAAATTGGATATGAAAGATTGTTCTGCTAATGAAATTTATTTAACATTTAAAAATTGTTTAGAAAGTAAAGGAATTCTATTAAATAATATTGTAGGAGTGATTTGCAACAACACATCTGTGATGATAGAAAATCATGATTCTTTCATTAATAGATTAAAAGACCAAGTACCGACTCTTATATCGCTTAAATGTATATGCCATTCTTCTACTTTTGCTGCTAACAAAGCTTGCTCAGAATTACCAGAATCTTGTGAATATGTATTACATGCAATTGCTAAGTTTGTTATCAAACGTGAAAAGGAATCTGTTATTTTATGCGAATATCAACAATTTTTCAGCATAGAATCCTGTAAAATATTAAAGTTATCAAGTACAAAATGGCTAGTCCTACAAAAATCTGTTGTTAGGCTTCTTGATAACTGGGAAGACTTAAAACAATATTTCTACCAGGAAGCTTTAGAAGATAATAATAAATCTGCTCACGATATTTATAATATTTTGAATGCTAATAGCATTAAAGCTTATATGTTGTTTCTAAAATACTCTTTGAATTTTTTTAATAAATTTAATGCACTATTCCAATCTAAAAAAATATTAATTCATAAACTGGCTGAAAGTAGTGAACAATTAATAAAGCAAATAGGACAAAATTTTTTATTGCCTACAAGTTTGCAAAATATTTCGTTAGATATTATCCACTCACGGAATTTTTTACCTTTAAATGAATTATATGTTGGTCCTGAATGTGAAATATTCTTACAAAATCAAACATCAAAATTTGCAAAGGAAATAAAATTGAAATGTTTGGATTTTTACGTATCAGCTATGGAAAATATGATAAAATTGTTACCGTTTAATGACATATTTCTTTGCAATTTAAAATTTTTAGATCCTAAATTAGCTCTGAGTTATGAAGGAAGGAGTGTGATTAAAGACTTGACTGATATTGCCACATATTTTGGTACTTTTGACATCACAATTTTAGCTTTTGAGTGGAGAATATTACCAACTGTATTTAGTGATGTGGATAAGAATATATTAATCACCTTAGATATTGATGACATGTGGAAGAAAATTTTTGAAACAAAAAATTTTAATAATCAACCAATGTTCCCAAATTTGGAAAAATTAGTACAAGCAGCACTTTCACTTCCATATTCAAATGCTGAAGCTGAGAGAATATATTCTATAATCACAGATGTAAAGGATAAAAAGAGGAATCGAGTAAAAATTGACAATATTGATGCTATATGCAAATTTCGATTATCTTTTCAAGAGAAAAATATAGATTGTCATACTTTTCATGTAGATGTGAGACACTTAGAGCTGCATAATTCTCAAAATTTATACTTCAATGACAGAAATGATAATTTGACTAAAGATTTCATACAATCGGACTGAAGATTTATATGTTATTAATTATAGTTTTATTTTTTTTAACGGTATATAGCACTTAATAATTAATTGGAGCAATTGTTTTATTAATAAGTATTTTTACTAATAACTTCATTAACAATCTTTTAGTTTAACTTTTATTAATTTTATTAATTTTATTAATTTAAGTCTTAATAATGAATTTTACTCTTATAATTTTGCTAATATTTTTACTATGAAATATTGTTATATTCCCTCACATGAATTGAATTCATAGAATTGCTCAAAAAACATTAAGTCACAATAATATAATATCAATGTTGTAACTTCCCATATAATAATGTAGATATTATGTATATAGCGAGCGACGGCATTGAATACGAGGTTGGTCAATGCGAGTAACCATCTGATTTGTATCCGGCTACAAGATAAACCCGTAATGGATTTGATGTCGACTTCCCCGAAGGTAACCGACTTAGTGACGGACTGGAAAGTCGTCCAGGGAATTGAAACCCTGTCAGACCACCTAGACATAGCCTGCAGAATCGGCAGCTCACCAGCGCGATATTTGAGATTTAAGAAACCCAAATATCCTAGATGGGATATGCATGCTATGGACTACACGTTACTAGTGGAATGGATGCTCTGGCACGACACTGCAATGATCCCGAATATGATATCGGCTGAGAAGTTTGTGACCTGGATTTCGAGCGTAATAACCAACGCATGTAATCTTGCTGCCCCTAGAATTAACAGCAAACAATCCTGCTGGTGGAGTGCTGAAATTGACACGTTGAGGGCTGAATCTAACTATACCCGTCGGGTTTGGAAAAGAGCAAACAGGAGTGCGAATCAGGCCAGGAGAGAGCACACAGAGGAGCTTTATAGAACAGCTAAGAAGAAATATAAGGAAGCAATCTATCAAACCAAGGAAGCGACATGGCAAAACCTACTAAACACTGTGAAAACGGACCCCTGGGATCTTCCTTATGAAAAAAAATTATATGTGAGCTGCTACCTACGAAGAGGATGTATGGATATTACTGAGAGCTTAGACAAGAACGTTCTCGATTCTCTTTTGAGGTCTTTCTTTCCTACCAAGGTCTCACATGTCCCTTCCAAAGAGACACATAATGTCGGAACATGGGATAATGCTTGGGATGTGCAACCCTCTGAAGTTAAAATGGCCATTGCCAAAAGTAGCGGAAATTCCGCTCCGGGTCCTGACGGAATCCACGCCTCCGTACGGAAAAAGATGCCGGAGATGACGGTGCTGCAATTTACTAGTTGTATAAACACTTGTCTGAAGGAAGGTGTTTTTCCGAAGCGCTGGAAGAGAGCATTCTTGATCTTGATTCTTGAAGAAACCCCTCTCGACCGGAGTGGGCCGAGGATTTGGCCCATATGTTTACTCAACGAGGCCGGTAAAATTTTCGAGAGAGTCCTGGCTGTACGGATCAAGAACTGGATAGACGAACACGCTGCAGCCACTCTTAGCTCGAACCAATTTGGCTTTCGTGAAGATAGATCCACATGCGACGCTGTATTGCAAGTAAAAGACTATATTCAAAAGGCCTGGCAGGAAGGGAATGTTGTAGTTTTGGTAAATCTTGATATTACAAATGCTTTCAACTCGCTCCCTTGGCCTATGATCAGTAAGGCCTTGGAAGTTCAGGGATTCCCTATATATATACGCTAAATTATAGATAGTTATCTGTCTTCACGATCCATCGAATGTCAAACCAGAGATGGTTCAATCTGGAAAAGGAAAATCACAGCAGGGATTCCGCAAGGTTCTATATTGGGGCCTCTACTTTGGAATATCACTTTCGACGAAATCCTTAGGATTCAAAGGAACAGGGGGTGCCGTGTCATTGGCTACGCAGATGACATCATAATCATTGCACAAATCAATCATATAGCAGGAGCAATCCAAAAGGCCCGCTCTCAGGCCAGACGAATTATCACACGTATTCGTGAGTTAGGTTTGGAAGTGGCAATCCATAAGACCAAAGCTGCCCTCTTCCCCGGGAAACATACATGGCCTAGTACGGAGCCTACTATTTTAATTGAGGACTGTGAAATAAAGGTCGAAAAAGCAATCAAATATTTGGGTATTTACCTAGACTATAGATTGACATTTGAATCTCATATGGAATATGTCGAAAAGAAGGTGTTTGAACTGACACAAACTTTGGACGGTTTGATGTCCAACCTTCAAAGTCCAAGTGAAACAAAACGCAAGCTATATGTTGATATTCTAATAAGTACGGCTCTTTATGGGGCCCCAGTTTGGAATTCTGCGCGGACGTCGTCAGTAATATTACAGCCTTTTAGAAGACTGCAAAGACCGATTGCTCACAGAATAATTGACGCATATAAAACGGTTTCGTTCGAAGCGGCGACATTATTGGCACAGATCCCGCCACTCTTCTTATTAGCGGCGAAGCAAAAGAGGGTGTTCTTTGGAATACGTAAATTATGGGAGAACGGAAGCTTCTCGGTTAAAGCCGTAGAGGACATTTGGAGGACGGAAGAGACTTTCCTCCGCCAACAATGGATAGCATATTTGAGCGATTCGGATTTAGCAGGGAATATTACTAGAGAGGCTTTACTCCCTATTTTTGACGACTGGATGGACCAGAAACACGGAATAATGACCTCCAGGCTCACCCAAATGTTCACGGGTCACGGATGTTTTAACTTCTTCCTCTATCGTATCGGAAAGACGGACGAAATGATGTGTTCTCATTGCGGATTATCAATTGACACTTCCATCCATATATTACGGCACTGCATGGCTTGGAATCGAGAGCGTGCTCTCTTAATTCAGGAAACTCAACTAACGGACCTAACTCTGACCACGTTGGCTTCAGTAATGGTTAAATCTCAACACGGATGGTCCGTAGCTTCCCGCTTTGTAGAGAACATCCTAGGGGCTAAAGAAAAAGCGGAAATGCGGTGGCAATCGCGGAGGCTGTTAAGTTCTTCCTCTTCAAGTAATAACCTTGACGATTAAAAAAAAACAAACATTGAGGGTCGCCGAGGAAAACGAACAGCCTCGGATTTCTTTCTGTATACGCATAAACGGTTCCGAGGGGCGAGGGAGGAGGATCCATTTTGGCGGAGATGGAAATTAAAAAAGAAAGATATGTACACATGTCATATTACATTTATGTTGTTGAATGGAAAGTTATAATATAATGTTGTGACTTAATGTTTACTGGGTATAAATTCAATATGAGAGAGCGAAAAGGAATATATGAGGAAATGTAACAAAATATTTCATAGTAAAAATTTATTAAAGTCATCAGAGGAAAAATAATTGTTAATAAAAAAGATTTAATTAATAGAATTATTAATTTTTTATTTTTATTTTTTATTTTGTTTTTCCTTTTTTAATTAAACAGTTATATTATTTTTTGTTAATTAAAAAAATATTAGTAAAATCAATTAACTTAACATTTAGTTAATTTAAACATGAGAAAATAATTCGTTCATTTGCTCAAAATTTGCTTTAAAGCGGAATATTTTGATATGATGTCACTGTTATTCAATATTTATTAAATTGTGTTGAATTTTTTTAAGTTCAAAATAGTTAATTTCATGAAAGAAAAGGACTAATTCTAACATTAAAAATAATGTGTGTATGTATGTGTATATAGCAAGTAATTAGTAATAAGCAGGTTAGGTAAAGTTAAGATTAGGATAAATTACGTGGATTAAATTAAGTTAAGATAGAATAAGTAGAGTAAAATATATATAGAAATGTATATGTGTCTGTATGTACCTATTAAATCCTTTCAAATTTATATTTTATTTATTTCATCTATACTACTCTTGCACTAGTAGCTTTCTGAAACATTAATCAATATTTAAATTTTCTGTTGCTTATGATAAGTTTATAAAAACTATAATCAGAATATATTTAATAAAAATTGAGTAAAAATTCTAACAAAAACTTATTACTATCTTTCCCCGTTTCTTATAAGAAGCCCAACAAAAATCTCATAAAAAACAGTATAAAAAATAATCATTTTCAGAATGAAAATTTTAAAAGAAATTAAAAAAAGGAAACATTTAAGTATTTTGAAAATGATGTCGAAATATCTCTAATAATCATAATTTACCAGAGGCATCTATTACGAAAAATATCATTTGAGAGAGATTTCTTAAAAATGTTATTTTTATTGTATCATTCTAGATTATATCTGTTTGATTTTTCATGAAAAATGAATAACAATGTTACCTGTTTTTTGAGCCGTCCATATATGTGCATGTGTCGCTACATCATTTGATATAGACACAGCATTATATCTTCAATGACAAACCAAAAGGATTAGAATCATATCGTAAAGATAATAGAAAGAAATTTAAAGAAACTAATAAAACTTTAAGAAACTGATAAAAAATGTTATTGGTGCTAGGATAAAAAATAAAATACATATTTGGAGAAAAAGTTAAATCAGTCAAATATTGTCAAAGTGCCATATGTGCTGATTTGTACATTTATGTATGAACAAGATGTGTATCTCTGATAATTAAAACATCAAACAAAGGAAAGCAGGAACGTAAAAGATAACGGTCGTCCGATAACCGAGACTTTGTGCGGTAACTGTAAGCATTATCGGCACATTTATAGTTGACATCGAATTCTTTATTAAAGCATTAGTTGTTATAGTACTTTATAGTACTTTATTAAAGCATTAGTTGTTCACACGTAGTTATTCATAAGATCTGCTGTTTTATATATCTGCTTTATAACCGAAACCGTATTGGACACGCCGAAAAATTAATCGGTCAGTCTTAGATATCCTCTGCCTCACTGCTCTAGTTCAGACCTCACACTGGTACTGATGTGGTACCACGGTGATAATGCAGAACAACAAAGTTAAAGAGGAATAAAATGAGAAATATATATACATTTTGCAATAAGTAAAACATTAATCGGCGTATTATTCAGTAAACATCCAACCATCAGTAACATAACGTCAATTTTATAATTTCTCACTCAAGAATGCAGTGTAACACGTGTACCATGTAACAGTTACATCGTTGAATGGGAAATTATGACGTTGATCTTATAGTTGGTGTTTATTGGGTATGTAACTACAGCTAATTTTACAGCTATTGGTAAGCGCTTCTTAGATGTTACTGGGTGCGTTCACGACACTCAATATTTGCAACTGTTGAGTGATTTCGTCTTGAACTACATGTTACTGAACGACATGTTGAGTGAGCGGTCGCCATTTTTCTCATCATAAATATTCGTCGCTACTTTTACTGATCAATCTCCAATCCAACATGACGCAGCCGATGAATGAAGAAAATAACAAAGAAAATAGTCATATAAATCCAAATATACAGGATGAGGAAAATAAATGGAAACCCTTAAAAATCTCGAAAGATATAAGTTTTACAGAAAAATATTTCAGACAAAAGTTCAGACAAAAGGCTCAAAACGATGTATTTACTAATCTTATCAGTTTGGCCTTGAGTGTCGTTGCCAAGGTCAGGTCAAGGTCAACTTATTCTTTTTATAGAAACCCCCATTTTTTATCATCTTTTTCTACCAATTAATTTTAATAACTTTTGTTTGAAACATTTTTATGTATTTATATATATATATAAAACACTTTTTCTCCCGACAAATAGTTAGCGAGATATCGTGAATTAAATATTGAAAGAATTATCAAGTTTTCCTTAAATATCTAAAAAAATATTAGGCAAATAGAAAAATGTTTCAGATAAAAGTTGTTTAAATTAATTGGTAGGAAAGATGGTGTAATAAAAAATTAGAGTTTCCATTTAAGAAAAGTAATGATCAGTGAATATTTTGAAAGTGATGTCATTTGTAAACAAAATAGTATAGTTGTTTTATGTCCTCCTTGAAATCATACAACTTTTGTCCGAAACATTTTTGTTAAAAATGCTTCGTTGAAGAATTATCGAGGTGCGTTTTTTAAAATAGGACACCCTGTATATAAGGATATATGGTTTTATTAGTATAATAATATTTTCATTGACATCCTTCGTCATTAGCTATGGATGACGAAAACATGATGTTATTTCTCTATACAATACAAATAGTCAACCTCATCATTGTACACTGCAATTTATAAATTTAACCTAATAATCCGAACGCTGTGATTGGTTGGCAATAGGCAATAGAAATAGAATAAGAATAGAATTTCCAACGTGACGGAAATTCTATGTCTGTTGCTTGTATCATGGTTCATTCTGCATTAATATACGGTTTCTAATATGTTGGAATTCTTTGTTACTATTCCTTATTTTTATTGTCTGTTCTTTATTGCCTGATATTGTGCAAGGACCTTCAAATCTACGGCTAGCGGGCGTGCGGGTGCAATAAAATGAAGTAAGTGAGAGGAAACTCCCAAAAATCGCCTGAAGAGTGAAAGTAATTCCGAGCACTGGTCTAGGATACAACATATTTCAAGCTTATCAGAATGAGAGGGAGATACTTCCACGTGTTTCCTACCGTTGCGTACTAGTTGCTTCTGCATGATAGTTTTTTACCGTCAATTTCTTCTTTATTTTCTTTAAAATATATAAAGAAGATAAAACAATATCAGCAACGAAGATAAAATAACATCAATATAATATTTTGATATCAGTATCGGATGTTAGTATGAATTCTTTATTAAACGAGACAACATTGATCTTCTTCTTTTATTGTATATGGATCAATCTTGCTGATTAGGCGAAGCCATTTTTAATCTTATTCAAATAACATCGATGAATAAATATATTAACGGATCGCGGAAATCAATTCTCCATCGAAAGGGCCGATTTGTTCGACAAAAATTGAACAAAAAAAAATCGATTTAAGAACATTGATCTTCGGAGGAGGAAGATCGGTTTTCTGAGAATCGAATCGAGATCGCGTCGGCCGCTACATATTCGTGATGAATTACGAGATCACTTCATGAAATAGCAAATACAGCTTGAAACCAAAAAGATTCTGTACTAAAAAGAGTCAAAAGAAAGAAAGCGATAGAACTTGATGGGATTTACGGAGAATTTCGTCGTTTTCTGTCGCATTCTATTGTTTCTTGTTAGGAGCCTTTTCAATTGGAGTACACTAGAATTAAAGAAAAAAAAGCTTATCATGTCCTATCGTTTTATTCAAGTCTACAAAGAGAAAGGTAAAAATTTGGTTGAATAAGCCGATTTTCTGGTGAAGTATGAATGATGAATCAACTTTGATTGGAAATATCAGTATTCTGTTTAAGTTAATTGGAAATCTTGATAATTTAGACAGTTCTGATGATCTCAACTGGATCATAAAAAAAATTGTAAAGCGAAAGATTAACGATTCGATAATTATTCCCAGTGTCGTAAAACGGTGTAGTGGAATTTTTTTGTTTATCTCAATCCATTTCTTTATGAATGGTGGCACAATTGTTTTGGAACATCCTGTACAAAAGAATGTTAGCATAACTGGCGACGCTGTCGGTATTCCAAATATTCCGAAACGTGTCACCTGTTCTGCTACGTGTTCCGCGTGTCCTTGTGTATATTTTGAAAATAAGAAAGATGTAATGTATGCACATGTAGAGACATCACATGTGTTGTGATCTTAATTACATCAGGATAAAGGAACATCAGTCAAGATTACGAATATGTCAATAAATGTGACGCACCAAACGAGTGAAAAATTATGTATTATGTATAGTATCTGCAGTATGTATAGTATCTGCAAATTGTTGTAGACGATATATAGTTAACAATTTATATTCATGAGTGTTTTCGTTGCTATAGGCTCTCATCAGTATGTGAACATATACAAATTTATACAAAAGGATGCAAATGAGAAACAAAAAATTATGTTTGATGCGTCCTTAGAACCACGTTTAGAAATACATTCCTCGGCGTGTTTGCGTAAGGTTTTCGTTATATTCAATTCGAGATATCGAAAGTTAAATATTGAAAAAGTTACTAAGTTTTTCTTAAATAAATATTTCAAAAAATATTAGGCAAATAAAAAAATGTTTCAAATAAAATTTTAATAATAATATATTAATAATATTTTAATAATAATTATTATTATTAAAATTAATTGGTAGAAAAAGAGGATATAAGGTTTTGACAGCAATTACATTCTTTTATCTTATTTTGTCACAATTATGTCAACAAGATTATCATCATATGACGCATTTATGTGAATATCTAGGGTTAATATCTAGAGTTCATTACTATACTACAATACTATACTATAATATATATAATATGCATGTATCGGGTTGGCAGTTTTTTACTAGTAATAAATAAAAATTATTTGTTTATAAAAGATAATAAATTTCTGATCAATAATGTATTGGCCTTTGTAATTTACTGTTACCATCTTTCACGAGCAACTCTATAATTCTTAGAGACATCTTGTTTTCCTCGGTAAAAAATTGTCCCATTTGTTTCAATATATATAATAAAAAAAAATAAGAATTTACTGCCCGCGCGTGTAAATTCGTTTTACGATAATTTATATAACCATTCAATTCCATTATATTATGTTAGTCAATTTTGTCTCGATGAAACTCGAGTATGATGAAGAGTGATAAATCATGTGTGAGATTTATTCTATTATATAACACCGATTTTCCAAAAACATATGAAGATAATTGCAGAGTATAACTAAATACAAAAAAGGATCGAAGTAGGAATTCCGCATTCCATTTCTATCCACTATTATTTGTTCATCTTTTATTTTTGATACCAGATATTCTTATAAAATTTTTTCAATATACATTGCTGACCAATGTGAGAGATTTCTCCATTTCATCACTTAGCAGCGATTTGCATTTTATAGCTACGCATGTGTCAATTTTTATCGTTTTATTTTTACGCAACTAAATATCACGGGTTCGGATCGGTTTTTCTTGATCGTTCGATTTCATAAAAACTAGTATAGTTAGGCAAAATTTTCGCGGTCAGCAGTGATATGCTCGATATCATAAAAATTGGGATAAGGAAGAAACGTAATCTCAAAGTTCTTTTAATAGAACAAGTAAATTAGAATAAATCGTCTGCAAGGTCACAAAGACCTCCCGCCTCTCAAGTCTACGCAATTCTTCTGTAAATTTGTAATATTTAAATAGAATTTTTTTTATAAACAAAGCTCTCTTCCTTTCTTGTTGTTCTTTTGATTGATACTTTTTGTGTCTCATTAATATTTATCTTTAATTTTATATACAGTGCTGGCAAAAAGTTCCGCAACGGTTGAAAATCTTGGAAAATATTGATTTCTTAGAAAAATGTTTCCAACAAAAAGAATAGGGCTTTAAAAAATCTATTAGATGATGATATCTATCTGACCTTGGTGTGATGTTGAAAAGCTCAGTTATGATCAACATAAAAATCTTAAACGAAAACTATTTTTTTATTACACCCTCTTTTTCTACCAATTAATTTGAACAACTTTTGTCTGGAACATTTTTTATTTGCTTGATATTTTCTTAGATATTTAAGGAAAATTTGATAACTTTTTCAATATTTAACTTACGATATCTCGCTAACTATTTGTCGGAAGAAAAAGTGGTTCAAGATCATACCAAGGTCAGATAGATATCATCATCTAATAGATTTTTTAAGCCCTATTCCTTTTGTTTGAAACATTTTTCCAAGAAATCAATATTTTGCAAGATTTTCAACTATTGTGGAATTTTTTGCCAGCATTGTATAATTAAACAGTTGGATTATCGTACAACGTTCTCATCGAATATTATGTTTCATTTAATGGAACCTTTTTCTGTTCATTGTTATGTATTCTTTTTTCTCTTCTTTTTGTGCTTTCGTCGTATTTTTCTGCCCGATTACTGATTATAATATTTTTTATTACACTATATTTATTATATCTACACTTGCTATAATTGAATGTTATTCTAAAATATGATGAGCCAATTCCTGTCTTACATCATTCTTAAATCTTAATTTTCATTTCTCAAGAGATGTTAGAGTCATCATTTTTAAATCATAAATCATTTATCATGAGATCATCATGCTTTATCACTCTTAAATTATCCTTAAATAATTTCAAAATTATTCTTAAATCTTAATTTATATTTCTTAAGGGATCTTAATTAGAATAAAAAAATTGATAGCGATTTAAAATTTTGCGATATCTCAAGTGACTGTCCAGGTAAATCTTCGTTTATGCAAGGCTTCTTGAGCATCTGAATTTTTATTTGTATTATTTTTTTGTACTATTTTTTGTACTATTTTATTTTGTAATATTTTATACTATTTTTGTACTATTTTGTCAACTAGTGCATAAACAGATAACATGTTACCAGATTTATACTTATACTGCTTTATATTTGGCATATTTTGTTGACTTTATTCTGAATTACTCTTACTTATTGATTTACGTTTTAAATAGAAGAAACGAAGAGTAGGAGTGGTGGTAGACCGTATTTTATGTAAACGCATCACTAGAAGAGGGAGGTTATATAAGTATCACGAGTCAACCTGTTCATTCGAGTTCCCGTTCCAGTTCTTTGTAAATCGACGCGATCTGTACAAGGTAATTCCCAAATTTCTTTTTAGATTCAGTACTCACGTTTAATACTATATTCTTTTATTGAAATGCACCTGTCTAAACATGCAATGAATTACTTAATTAATCAAATCACGATCATGTGAACGATTAGATAATATCATGATGACATCAAAATGACGTCAAGATGACGAGAAAAATTCATTTCTCATCATGATTCGGTCATTTTTTCAACATTTTAATGTCATTTTGATGTCATCGTGATTTTCTGTGTGTAATCAATGTGGTATAATGTGGAGCATTATGGAGCAATGTGGCAATGTGGAGTAATTAATCGCTGCTTGAGATATTGACGGCTTTTCTCAAGTAATTTGTTTCTTCATTGTTTTCATTTTTCCAAATTGCACTTACGTAGAGATGAACAGTCGTTTGAGCGAAGTAAGCATCGCAATTTTTAATGCCGATCATCGCGAGACGGGCGAAGGATGCCCGTCTGTAACAAATAATCTTTATTTTTACAGATGCACTATTTAATACGTATGTTGGTCATCGTCAATAATATTATATATGTAACGCTAGTTCAGATATTTTCGTTTATTCGGTGCAAGAAACCATCGAGTATACCGCCGATAAAAGATTCCTTATTAATGATAAGTGCTACTGAGCTTGCTGAGAAAATTAGGGAGAGAAAGGTAATTATATACGAAAGAGACGAGGACGATCTTTCTTTTTTCGACAGATATTCAGATAGATAAAGATAAAAATTAAATAATTAATATAAATATTATACAATATTATACAGGGTGGACCATTTAAATTGATAATGCAAAATATCTCAAAAACGGAGCATTGGAGAAAGAAATGTTTTAAATAAAAGTTGCATGGTTTAAAGGGGGACGTACAATGGTGCTCATGGTTTGACCTTGAAATGTGTATTTAAAGTTAGATGAAGGTCAACTTAATTTTTTCAGACAGAAATCCCAATTTTTTATTACATCATCTTTTTCTACTACTACTTAATTTGAACAACTCTTGTCTGAAACAACTTTTATTTATTGTCTAATATTTTCTGAGATATTTAAAGAAAATTTGGTAACTTTTTCAATATTTAACTTTCGATATCTCGTTAACTGTCTGTCGGAAGAAAAAGTAGTACTAGACTTTTTTACTCTACTTGATCTCAAAAATATATTGTTACAATAGTGTCCTAACTTTTATTAACTTATCGATTTTTGGAAATTTCAAAATCATCAAATTAACAAAAGTCGCAGGGCGCTATTGTAATAATATATTTTTGAAACCAAATGGAGTAAAAAAATCTAGTACCACTTTTTCTTCCGACGAGTAGTTAGCGAGATATCGAAAGTTAAATATTGAAAAAGTTACTAAGTTTTTCTTAAATAAATATTTCAAAAAATATTAGGCAAATAAAAAAATGTTTCAAATAAAATTTTAATAATAATATATTAATAATATTTTAATAATAATAATTATTATTAAAATTAATTGGTAGAAAAAGAGGATATAATAAAAAATTGGGGTATCTATCTGAAAAAATTAAGTTGATCTTTACCTGACCTTAAATGCACGTTTCAAGGTCAAATTAAAGACACTATTGTATACCCCCCTTTAAACCATACAACTTTTATTTAAAACATTTCTTTCTTCAACGCTTCGTTTCTGAGATATTTCACATTATCAACTTAAATGATCACTCTATATAATAATTATATATTGATAAATTAAACTATGACAAATAATAGAAATATAAATAATTGACGAATAAAAAAATTCTAGTGCACGAGCTATAATGTGGTGCGCGCATACATTGAACGAATCAAGGAAGTAAATCCTTATGTCAATGCCGTCGTCGACGATCGATACAAGGAAGCTTTGGCCGAGGCAAAAAATTGTGACGCGTTGTTAAGATCCAGTAATATTGACATCGCAACGTTGAAGAAAGAAAAGCCGCTCCACGGCGTGCCGTTTACCGTTAAAGAATCTTGCCCCGTTGAAGGTAAGAAATCATACTTCCTTCCTTTTTCTTCGTTACATTTCTATTATCATTGTTTGACGATAACTTTGGGATTGTTGTGTTACTAACAAAGACATCGAACATGACTGACACCTCTCTCTCTTTCTTTCTCTCGTAACGTGACGTCGATCAGACATTGATTTGACGTTAGAATGATCGATGGGTCGTTAAATCAATGTTAATTCGACTCTCATCGATGGCCGAATCAACCTTGAGTCAACGTTGTAGCTCTGACTGGGCTCTCCCAGGCAGAACAGGACGATTAGATAACATCATGATGACATCAAAATGACGTCAAGATGACGAGAAAAATTCATTTCTCATCATGATTCGGTCATTTTTTTAACATTTTGATGTCATTTTGATGTCATCGTGATTTTCTGTTCTGCCTGGGCTCCCTCTGAGGAATGTTTTAATTTAAACGATGAGTCTCTCGAGATTAAATGAAAGGACAGAAGTCGTTTGAGAGAATAGAGTGGATAGAATGTTTTTTTATAGTATGCGACGATATTTGTAGGTCTCAGCCATACGGGATGCACCTTGACTCTCAAAGGAAGGAAAGCGAGCAGCGATGGCGAGGTCGTTAAGATATTACGAGACGCCGGTGCAATTCCGCTATGCGTCACCAATACCGCGGAATTTTGCGGCGGTTACGACAGCTATAATTTCCTGTATGGCCGTTCGTATAACCCCTACGATACGAGATATACAAGTGGCGGCTCGTCCGGCGGTGAGGTGAGCCGATTTTATATTAACGCGATATTTCAGATGGATGTTTTCTGACCTCTTAATTGATTCTTGTACCTTTCGATAGTACTTATTTGTGGACGACTAGTATTTATCTTTTCAATAGAGATTCGCCGGTAATTCTCGCGATATTGTTATTAAACTATTTTTTTTCTCTTTTCCCACATGCCCGAGAGTGAAAATACATTGTCAGTTTTTAGCACAGAGCGCTGTGAGTACCGGAAGTAATTATAATCTGTATGAATGATTATATGTGCGTAATTTTCGAGAAGAACAACTTTCTTATAATATCATGTCATATTTAACACAAATTTATCTTTTATATGTATTTACATTTATATTAAGTGGTTTTTTTTAAATAAAGGCTATTTTCAATTTTCGCTCGAAGAACGCTCCAAACTTCAATGTCGTGTAATAGCAGTGAATTTCGAAATGTAGCGTTGGATATACATATATCATAAATAGAACATTGTGTTACGTATCTTAAATAGATCATGAAAGTATTTTTGTTATTGACATTTAGTGGCACATGTAACACACATGTATATTATTTCATAACTGGTTACTTCATGATCTCTACTGTTACATATTTAAGACATATGGGGTATCCCATTTTAAATGAATCAAACAAAAATCTCGAAAAATGTGAAAGGTATTAAGAAACGTTTCAAATAAAAGTTGTATGGTTTCAAAGGGGATGTGACAACTATACCATTTTTTTTACAGATGGCGCCACTTTCGTCTTTGATCGATTCACTGATCGTTACTTTTCTTAAATGGAAATTTCAATTTTTTATTATATCATCTTTTTCTACCAATTAATTGTAACAACTTTTGTCTGAAATGTTTTTTTATTTGACTAATATTTTTTGAAATATTTAAGAAAAACTTTATAACTTTCCAAGATTGAACTTACGATATCTCGCTAACTATTTGTCGAAAGAAAAAACAGTACTAGATTTTTTTGTTCTATTTAGTTTTGGGAATGTATTATTACAATAGTGTCCTGACTTTTGTTAACTTATCGACCTCTAGAAATTTCGGAATCATCAAATTAACAAAAAGCAAGGCGCTGTTGTAACAATATATTCTTGAGACCAAATAGAACAAAGAAGTCTTGTACTATTTTTTCTCCCGACAAATAGTTAACGATATCGTAAGTCAAATATTGAAAAAATTATCAAGTTCTCCTTAAATATCTCAAAAAATATTAGGCAAATGAAAAAGGTTTCAGATAAAAATTGTTAAAATTAATTGGCTGAGAAAGATGATATAATAAAATTAAAATGTCTGTTTAAGAAAAGCAATGATCAGTGAATATCTCGAAAATGTTCCATCTGTAAACAAAATGATATAGTTGTTTTATGTTTCCTTTCAAACTATACAACTTTTGTCTGAAACATTTTTTCTTTAAATGCTTTGTTTTCGAGATGTTCGCCGTCCCAGTACTTTTTATACACTCTATATGTCACATTACTGTGTTGCTGGATGCATTCTAACAAGGAAAAATATGTTCTTTCTTCGATCGTGATGACCTTGAAATATGTTGAAATCTAGACTAAAATAGGGGATTTGTAGGAATTCTAGGGGAAAATAGGGATATTTTTTTATATGTGCCCGTACGCACTTGTAGGGGGTTAAGACACCTTTTTGAAAAATCGGTTTTCTTCTTTCATCGAAATTATGAAATGTAAGAAAAATTGTTTGAAACGAAAGTTGTACGATATAAGATATGCTTTGTAACGATACGAAATTTCTTTTATCTATTATATTTTGCAATATTCCCCCACCACTTACATATTTCTTCAAGATATTGCAACTAAAAGATTATTTTATTTTCAACCCAACCATGTGTAATAATATTATATTCCGAAATATGGATTTGCCGAAAATTGAGAGGAAATATCTCTGTACGCGCGTTGTCTGCAACCGTTTACTGCTTTGTAACGCCGACATTCTCGACGTCGTAGCAACGTAACGACGCGTTTCCGACGTAGCAACGTAACGACAGCGTACATATACTTTTTGCATAATGACTAGAACACTACAAGCGCGCGCCATCTTAGCTTATTCATATTAAAGTTCAGAACAAATATTATAAATTAAAAATAATCCCTGGGGTATAATATAAGTTCGATAATATCCGACTCCAACATACGATGTATTAGGCGCATGCAGTTTGATATTCCATGACATATATTTTCTGGATAGTAACGCGTAACCGTATAACCAATCAAAATTTCGATGTTCAACATTTCTATTCAAGCCCATCCTAAGCTCTATCTCTTCCCCCCTCACTCTCTCTCTCTCTTTCCCTCTCTGTCTTTCTCAGTCTCTCTCTCTTTTACCCTCTCTCACTCACTCTCCTTCTCTCACACTCTCACACACTCTCTCTCTCTCTCTCTCTCTCTCTCTCTCTCTCTCTCTCTCTCTCTCTCTCGCTCTCTCTCTCTCTCACATTCTTTTTCTCACATTCTCTCTCACACTCCTCCTGTATCCCTCCCTCTCTCTATCTTTCCCTCTCTTTCACTCTTCCTCCCTCTCTCTCTCTCTCTCTCCCTCTCTCAAAGAATCTCTCTTTCATACTCTCTCTCCCACACACACATTCTCCCTCCCTCTCACACTCTCTCCTCCCCCACTCCCCCCTCTCTGTCAATTTCTTCCTCTCTCGTTCGTACATCCTCTCTCTAATACTCCCTCTCTCACACCCTCACTCTCCAACATTCCTACTGTCACACACTCTCCTCTCCCTCACATTCTCCTCTTTCCTACACTATCACTCACACTCTCCCTCTCTCACACTCTCTATCTCTCACATTCTCTCTCTCTCTCTCTCTCTCTCTCTCTCTCTCTCTCTCTCTCTCACTCTCACTCACACACACAACACACTCTCCCCCCCTTCTCTCACTTACATAATCTCTCTCTCTCATATACTGTCTCCTCTCTCACATACACACACACACTTCCTCTCTCTCTCCCCCACACACTGTCTTCTCTCCCTCTCTCCCCCTCATCTCCCTCTCCCACCCTGCCCTCTCTGTCTTCCTCTCTTTTTCGCACACACACTCTCTCTCTCTCACACTCTCACTCTCCCAAATTCAAATTGTCTCTCATTCTCTCTCTCTCTCTCTCTCTCTCTCACTTTCTCTCTTTCTCTCCCACACTCTCTCTCTCCCTCTCTCGCCCCCTCTGTCTTTCTCTCCCACTCTCTCTCTCTCTTCCTCTCTCTCACTCCCCTCCCTCGCACTCTGTTTCACACACTGTCTCTTTCTCCCATCCTCTCTCTCACACATTCTCTCACACTCTCACACAATGTCTCTGCCACAATCTCTCTCTCATACTCTCTTCCTCACACACACCCTCTCTCTCTCACACTTTCCCTCCATCACTCTCTCTCTCCTTCATACACTCTCCCTCTCATACTCCCTCTCTCACATTCTCTCTCTCACACTCTCCCTCACTCTCTCACTCTCTCTCTCTCTCCATCTCATTCTTTCTGTCTCACATTGTCTCTCTCACACTGGCTCTCATGCGCACTTTCTCTTTCTCACTTTCTCTCTTTGTCTCCCACACTCTCTCTCTCTCCATGTCATTCTCTCTCTCACATTCTCTCTCTCTCTCACACTGGCTCTCGTGTGCACTCTCTCTCTCTCTCTCTCTCTCTCTCTCAATTTCTCTCTATGTCTCCCACACCCTCTCTCGTCCTCTCTGGCCCCTGCCTTTCTCTCCCACTTTCTCTCTCACTCCCTCTCTCTGTCCCTCTCTCCTTCTCTCTCACTCTTCTTCCCTCGCACTCACTCTCTCTCTCTCTCACACACACACTCTCTCTCTCTCTCTCTCTCACTCTCTCTCACACACTCTCACACAATCGTTCTCCCACACTCCCTCTCTCATACTCTCATACACACTCTCTCTCTCCTCCCCCCTCTCTCTTTCTCTTTCTCTCTCTCCCTCTCACATTCTCTCTCTCATTCTTTCTCTCACACTCTCTCTTTCTCTCCCACACTCTCTCTCTCTCCCTCTCTTTTTCTTTCTCATTCTCTCTTTCACACAATCTCTCACATTCCCTCCACCTCTCATCCCCTCTCTCTCGCACTCCCTCTCTCTCACCCCATTCTCTCACACTCTCTCTCTCGCACTCTCCTCTCTCACACTCTCCTCTTTCTTACACTGTCCCACTCACTCCCTCTCTCACACTTTCTCACACAATCTTTCTCTCATATCCTTTCTCTCTCTCACACAATCTCTCTCTCTCTCTCTCTCTCTCTCTCTCTCTCTCTCTCTCTCTCTCTCTCTCTCTCTCTCTCTCTCTCTCTCTCTCTCTCTCTCTCTCTCTCTTCTACGCTCTTTCCCACTTTCATTCTTTCTCTCACACTTTTTCCCTCTCTCATTCTCTCTCTCACATTCTCTCACACACACTCTTTTTCTCGGATTCTCTCTCTCTCCCATCCTTTCTCTCACACTTTCTCCCCCTCACTCCCTCACTCTCCCCCTCTCTCTCTCTCTCTCTCTGTCCTTCATACACTCTCCCTCTCACACTCCCTCTGTAACACACTCCCTCTCTCACATTCTCTCTCACACTCTCCCTCACTCTCTCACTCTCTCTCTCCATCTCATTCTCTCTCTCTCACATTCTCTCTCTCTCACACTCTCTCCACTCTCTCTCTCTCTCTCTCTCTCTCTCTCTCTCTCTCTCTCTCTCTCTCTCACACACCTTCTCTCTTTCTCTCCCATACACTCTCTCTCCCTCTCTCACCCTCTCTGCCTTTCTCTCTCACTCTCTCTCACTCCCACTCTCTCTCTCTCTCTCTCTCTCTCCCTCTCTCTCACTCTCCCTCCCTCGCACTCTCTCTCACACACTGTTTCTCTCTCACATTCTTTCTCTCTCACATACTCTCCCACACTCTCACACAATGTCTCTCCCACAATCTCTCTCTCATACTCTCTTTCTCACGCACACCCTCTCTCTTACACTTTCCCTCCCTCACTCTCTCTCTCTTTCTCTTACTCTCTCTCACACACACACACTCTCTCTCACTCACTCTCTCTCTTTCTCTCTCACACTCGCACAACCTCTCTCTTACACTCTCCTCTCTCTCTCTCTCTCTCTCTCTCTCTGGTTATATTTATTACCATTACCCGATAAAGAAGAAAAAATATATTATACCTTATTATTTTATGTTATAAAATTGTTAACCTGATGTAACCCCATTATAACTCCTTTCGTACAAACTGTCATTCAGCTGTCATTCGCTGCGATGACAGCTGCGAGCGACACGAATGCAGCCGTGACCGATCGAGACGATCGAGACAGTCGAGACGGCCAATCAACATCGCGGAAAAGAGGCTTCAACGCTTCGATAAGAAATACATTCACGATAACACGCACTTTTTTCGATAGGAGGAATATGCTAGCTATTCTTATATAAAGAATAATAATAATAAAATAATAATAACAAATAATGTATTACGTCTAAACGTGTTAAGTAGGATTACATATCCTACATATCTGTATTAATCGTCACCTCTTATTGCAAGAAAGAAGAGAACGCGTCGTGTATTGAAATATTGAGCTGGTAACGCGCGCGTAGAATTTCCTCTTAATTTTCGACAAGTTCGTGTGTATATTTCGGTATATAATATTATTATATATGGTTAGATTCAGAATAAAATAATTTTATCTTGTTATAAAAAATTGCAACATTTTGGAAAAAATAATGTAAGTGGTGGAGTATGTTGCAAGATATAATAGATGGAAAGATTTATATTCCTATTGGATATTTCCGTCGCGTGTCGCCAGTCCTTAGTCGTTAACATTACCTGTGTTTAGCGTGAAGTACACTGCGTGGTTCTAGTCATTTAAAAATTGAAGCAATGGATAAGGCGTCGCAATCATTAGAAAAATATTTTAAAATGCCATGACCAGCATATGCGGAAATATTCAAAGTATTATTCATTATTCAATATATTTATAATAAAGTAACATTGTAATGTATAACATTTTATATTCATAATAAAGTATAATTAATTAAGGTATAATATAAATTTGAAATTTACACAATTACGAAATTTAAAATAATAGCACATTTATTATAGAAAACTAACTGAAATGTAATGACTCGTCACTTTTTAAGTAACTGTAACATGTTACTTTTGAAAGTCAGTAACTTGTAACTGTAACTAGTTACTTTCTCAGTGAAGAAAACTGTAACTATAACTAGTTACTTTTACGAAGTAACTTTTCCAACCCTGCTTATAACTAATCTTGCAGAGCTCGTGAAGACATAAAGCGGATTAAGACAAACATAAAAGTCCCATACTGTTTTGTGAGATTCGCAATAATTAACGAATTATTAATGACAGAAATCTGGGGAATGAGCGCACACTGAGACATTATGGGAGGAGCATCAAGCCGCTCAAGGCTACAACGCTTCCCAGTCGACCAAGGAACTGTTGCCGACGCGCGGTGGAAGAGAGGATAAAGCGCTGATGCTCACGTTCTTATCTCGCCACTCCTACGTCCCGCCGCACCGCGTCTAAGTCTAAGCTCGCGCCGATATGGCCGCTAAATATTCGCGATTACAATTACGAGATTATTTTATGAGGTACTACAGATAACTTATATTGAACTGTAAAGTTTAAGGTTCAAGAGTTCTTTGATCAAGGAAAACATCGAAAAAGAGAAAGCGATAGAAAGCTACAAATGAGATCTATAGAGATTCTTATTGTTTTCTATCGCAATCTATCGTTTCGCTGCATCGGATCCGAAAGAAATGATATCGTTAGGAGAATATTTAATTGTTAGAGTATGATAGAATTCGCGTAGAGACTCATCGTATCCTATCGTTTTATTCAAGTCTAGAACACGAAGAAAAATGTTTGGTTGAATAAACTATAATTTTCTGGTGAAATGAGGGAGAGAGAGAGAGACAGAGAGAGAGAGAGAGAGAGAGAGAGAGAGAGAACGATTAAGAAATGTTGACTGAAAATATCACAATTTTGTTTAAATTAACCATAAACCTTGATGAATTGAGTGTTAATATTATCAGTCGGTATTTCTCTGTATCGTTCATATAGTTCATTTGCAAGTTGTATCATGAACTAACATTTTTACTATGTATCATGAAGAAATTGTTGTCGTAATCAGTGGTGTATTAACCCCTTGACATACAAATAAAATGGAACTTGATGCGTCCGAAAAATATTATTTAATTTCGCTCAACTGAACAGTGATGTGGAAGGTGAGAAAGAGTACATTTTATTTATCGACGCACGAGTGAAGCAACATAGTTTATTGATATACTGCACGGCGTCCGCTGAAAATAACTTTTGACGAGTCAGACTCGTCAAAGTCTACAGTGGCACATGAAATGAATAGACGACCCTAACTCGTCATTGTATGTCAAGGGGTTAACAACAGAAGAAACTCAAAGTTCTCTATCGTATAATTGCGAAAGGAGGATCATCGTTGTCAATGGTCACCAACGATACTTGGCATAGAATTGATTTCTAGGTATAATCGCGATAGGATGCAAATTCGAGTATGTTATTTTGACACGTATAAGTATGTGATTGATTGAAGCTTTCTTTACACGCTTCTTGCCGTTTCTTGCTCGTCATTTGATACGTTAAATGATGTCTACATAAATCAAATGACACGATTCAACGAGCATCGGCGCGTTGTCTTTCCTCTCGCCGCGCGCCGGCAACAGTTCCTAGGCCGATTGAGCAGGCCGATTCTAGCCTTGAGCGGCTTGATGGCTGATGTTCCTCCCATAACGTTTCGGCGCGTGCTCATTCCCGAGATTTCTGTCATTAATAACTCGATAATTATTGTGAATCTCACAAAACGGTATGGAACTTTCATATTTGTCTTAACCCGCTCTATGTCTCCACGGGCTCTGCATTAGTTATAACATTAGTTATAAGACACTCTGTATTGTTAAGTGAAGAATATTATAATATTATTGTTATTTGCTGTTTATGGAAAAATGTTTGTTTCAGGCCGCGTTACTTGGAGCAGGAGCTTCTGTGATCGGAATTGGTTCAGACTTAGCCGGTTCTGTCAGACTGCCGGCATTCTTCTGCGGAGTCTTCGGACTAAAACCCACGCCGAGTATATTGAATTTTCTTCTTGTTCAAATTGAATATCTGAATTGAATATCTTTTATTTGTTCAAGATTTCCTTCACCAAACTCTCCGTTGAGATTTTAGTTTAACCACTACCCAGACAGCACATATGTCCCAGTTTTGGACATTGTGTTGTCTGGGTAGTAGCATCCCTTACCACGGGCGAACCGATATTTCGCGTACAGTGATTCGATCGAATTTGCAGGATTAACGTGAAACCAAAATCTCGGCTCTAAAACGAACGCTAAAAGCCTAGATGTAAAAAACGTCAGAATATCCCGTACCCCTGATTACTAACGAATCATAAAGTTAAAATTCTGTCATTAAAATTGTAATGAGATGAAATTGAATCAAAAGAATTGGCAGACTATCGTATTAAGTCTCGGACTAATCATCATGTTTTTATCCCCATATTTCAGATGTCATTCCGAATAGAGATCATTTTCCATCGAACGATGACGAAGGTTTTCGAAATTGTCTGACCTTCGGCCCGATGACTAGATACGTAGACGATCTCAGCTTATTTATGGAATTGGTATCGACAAAGACCAATTGTAATTTGCGCTTGGATGAGCTGGTTGACTGGAAGCAAACAAAAGTGTATTACCGGCAAAATCTAGGTAAATCGTTTGGCATTTTGTCGATATCGCCGGAACTCGAGCAATGCGTTTTGAAAGCTGCTGATTATTTCTCCAAACGCGATGTTCACACGGAGAAGGCATGTATTTCATGGCAGGCATTATTTCATTCAATACATATCTATACTGGATGAGGTGTTTAACATTAATTGATTTCACAGATACCGATAGAATGGCCAGCCTCATTACTTGAAATGATAATGTCGCCATTCATGCACATGAAGAAGATTGATGCACTTATAGATATTAAAAATCCAAAGGTACCCCAGTGTATTAACGGAATTTTTGAAGATATTTTATTTGCTTTCGTGCAAACGTAATTTGCAAAAACGATAATTTGACCTCATATTCTTTTCAGCTCAAGAAGAATCCAATGTTGGAAATGATAAAAGCTGTGTTCGGGCTATCAAATCATACAATATCTCTGCTATATTTTATGTTGCTGCAGGAATTTTTTCAATTTGCAAGAGGAAGGACGTTTGATTATTTGCAGGAGTTTAAGGAGTTTCAACAAAAGCTGCAGAAGGTGTTGGGGACAGATGGATTATTGATTTATCCAACTGTCCGAGTTACTGTACCTTTTCCAGAATTAATCCTTGGTGAAGTAGCAAATAACACACCATACCTTATTTTGGCTAATGTTCTTGGTTTTCCTGCGGTGCAAGTACCAATGGGACTCAACAAGAAAGGAATGCCCATAGGTGTTCAGGTAAATTAACCATAAGTGTAGAATTTAAGGAAATTTAAAACATCTTAAATATTCCCTTTCTGAATGAGCTTTTCATCTTTATTTAATAAATAAAAATGATGAATAGATTTCATTACAGAGAGTCCTTTATTTGACAATTTTAATTATTTCTCGATAACTTGGAGTTAAAAGAAAATATAGTTTATAATACTGAAAATATATATTTCATTTAAAGATTTGATAATTAAAGAATGTCAGAAGAAATACAAACAATTTTCAAACGTTTGTTTGATAATAATATATGTCAGGAAAGTTATTTGAAAAATAATAGAAAATAAAAGATTTACTGAATAATATATTAAATATTTCAGATAATTGCTGCACCACATCAAGACCGTCTTTGTTTAGCAGCTGCAAAGGAGTTGGAGACAGCCTTTGGTGGTTGGGTGCCACCTTCAATATCAATAAATCAATGAAGCGAATATTGATATTTTTTAATTTGTCTTGTGAAGATTTATGAAGGAAATATCTCTGCATCGAATTGCTTGTACATTGGTATTTGTAAATATCTTATTTTATTTAGAGAGAAAGAATATAAAATAATATTTTATATTATTTTTTGTTATGTGTTATATATAGTATGTTATTTATATCTTAAAAGATCTAAAGAATAAAATAAATTAATAAATAGAATAAATTAAAGTTTTAAACTAAAGTGACACTATTTAATAATAGAACATTCTTCTGTCTTGCTACTGATAGATATAATTTGAAAAAATTTAATAGCGAATCAATGAATAATAATTTTTTTTCCCGGGGGAAATTCTCACGGATACCACCGCCTCCTTGGGGGAACGAGGGTTATGCCGAATTGTTACTGACTAAAATTCCCTGGGATGTTTACCAACTGGACTGGAGTGGGGGAGTTGGGGGAACCGATACCATATTCTCTCCCCAACAACTAATAAACAGTACTTTCATAGGACACAAAATCTTTTGACTTACTGTTGAGTCATAAAATAATTGATGTTTGATATTTAACTCGTCATTAAATTGCATTACTTTCAACAAACAAGCTCTTTGATTTAATATTCAGTTGTAAAACTTGAAACTAAAAAAAAGTTGCTTTGTGATTCAATTGCTTTCTCTCTTTATCTTAGAGCGACAGTCAAGAAGCAAAAGATCTCTCCTTATTAGTTGAAATATATATAGCTATATATGAATATATATATATATATATATAGAAATATATATGTCATATATGCACGGTGTACCAAAAGTCTGGAAACGGTCGAATATTTCATAAACTATGCATTTTAGAAAGAAATATTTCAGACAAAAGTTATTTGGTTCGAGGGGGGACATAAGATGGTGTCATTGGATTGACCTTGAGTGAACGTTCCAAGGTCATAGGGAGAACTTTGTTTTTTTAAATGGAACCCTCTATTTTTCATTGCATATTCTTGTAACTCATCTTGGGAGCTTTCTAAAACACTATAAATAAGTTATATTTTATTAAGTATTTTCCGAGTTATAGGGTTTGAAAGCTAACGCTCTCCCCGAACGCATCTTTAGTAGACACCACATAGATACGCCTTAGGATCTCAACGGTCCTGAGGTCGCGAGCCGCGACCGTCAGTTGCTGGATCCGCTGCGCGGTAAGAGGAGATAAAAGGCGTAGCTTCCGAAAATGGGCCGAAAGTTGTAAACTTTGCCGAGCTCTGAAGTAGAGGGATAAGCCTTGCACAACTTGTTTGATTATATGCAGAGTCTGCATATTGTCAATTGAAGGTTACACCCAAATGAGGGTTAACGCTCAACGAAAATCCTCAAAATAACACCCAAGAAAACTCTCAAAATAACACCCAAATATTCACATTCACATTTTTTAACCTATATTTCTTATCTATATATACACAAATACATGTATAAATACATACACAAATACATACCATATACATGTCCAAAAAACATTTAAGAAATATGATATCTCTAAAATGTTTTTCGGACATTGTATATGTATGGGTATAAGCTATATTATCATTTAAACAAAAAATCACAATGACTTCAAAATGAGTAACAAAAGACTATAAAAATTCATTTTGTAATCATGATTAGATCATTTTCTTGTCATTTTGACGTCAATTTGATGTTATTATGACTTTCTATTTTAATGTACAGTTCTAAAAGTCACCATAATATTATTTCAATATCAAAAAAACATCACTAAACCATTACGAAAATTATCGAATGACATGATGTCGAATGACATCATCCTGATTTGTCTTAAAATGACTTCTTTTATATCATAATTATATTATTATGATTTTTTGTTTGTTGTTTTCTACCTGGGAAGGCCTTTCCCGAATTTTGATATTTTTCTGCAGTTTTCTTGGTAAAAATCTTCGTTCTGATTTTAATAGTGATAATCAATCGGGAAAGCCTGAAATATATGTCATCTATATATTTTTTTAACTATTTCTTTCCAACATGGCTTTTTAGATCTGCTGAGGTTAAAAATAAGATAAGATGGCTCTTAAAAGGGCCGATTTTGTATTTGTTTATGCTTGAAAAAACTATAAACAAAGCTACAAATAAGACAAGGCTACTAAAAAAGATTAGCAAGATAATTCCAAGGTCACGTGATCATATTAAAACTTTTGAATATAAATCCCTATTTTTTATTGTAGATTTTTATAGTTGACGTCGAGATATTTTGAAAACATTATAGATAAGTTGAATTTCTTTCAGAATTTTCTGAGTTACAAAGTAAGAAATAAGAAGGCCGGTACTCATAATCGAATCTTATATTTAAAACCGTCTTAAGTTTATCTTCAGATGCTGTACAAATCGTTTCATTGGTTATAAGGTATCTGAAAGTGAACTTAATAGCTGTATTCATAGTCAGGCCTTATATTTGAGGCCTCCTTATATCCATCTTTAGATGCTTCACGAATTATTTTATTGGCTATAGACCATCTGAAGATAAACTTAAGAAAGTCTCAAATATAAGGCCTAACTATGAATACGGATGTAAAACCGAGTCTATAATAAGTGTAGTAAGCTTTAAACCTTAAGAAATTAACCAATCCTAGTCGATTTTTACAAGAATAATCGAATAAGGTTAGCCAATTTCTTAAGGCTTAAAGCTTACTACACCTATTGTAGACCCGGCCTTAAGCTAAGACTCCATGCATGCGGTGAGCTCCGGCAAACGGCTGCGGTGACCAATCAGGAGGGAGGCGCAAGTCCGGTTGCGGCAAGCTCCGGCATGCGTCTGTCTCCTGATTGGTCACCGCAGCCGTTTGCCGGAGCTCACCGCATGCATGGAGTCTTAGCTTTAGTCTTAAATATAAAACCTGACATATGTGGTCTGTTCTTTTCAGCTGCACTGCGGAACTAGTACAATAAGTTAGAATGAGACAACTATATTTTTTCTCACTTTAACTTATTGCAGTTCAGTAGTGCAGCTAAAAAGAACAGACCAATTGACTGCGTTCCGATATCCACTGCTAGCACTGAAAATCTATAGTATAGGTGACATAAACTATATATTTTCAGTAGTGGCAATGAATATCAGAACGCAGCCTATGAATACTGGCCTAATGTTCGTTTCTACAAATCTTGGTCAATTTGACCGGCTAGTTATTTCAATGAAATTGACCAATCACATCTATCGTTAATCAAAATTGGCAATTGCAGTTGATCAATTCCGATAGAATAACCAGCTGTTTAAATCAATCAGAGTTGGTAGAAACAGGCATAAAATTTTGTTAAAATTTGAAAACCGCCGGCATTACTATTGTCCGATATATAAAGCCAGGCACACGGTGCTTGTTTTCGTGCTGGATTGCTTGCTGAATGAAAATATTACGTTCTGATTGGTGCATTTCCATCCATCTTCGAAAATATACCAATTAGAACGCAGTATTTTCATCCAGCAAGCAATCCAGCACGAAAACAAGCACCGTGTGCCGCTGGCTTTACGCAGGGAAGATGCTCCGTCGGATTTTATATATTATGCAGCCATAAAAAGGATTGATGTGATGCAAATACATGTAGGTGTATTTTAATTAAATAGGTTAGATTAGATTGGTTAGGTTAGGTTGAGTTAAAAAATATGAAGATGACATATTTTTTAGACTCCCTCGATTGATTGTCACTGTTGGGAGTCACGATAGAAATTTTTATTAAGAAATCTGCAAACGAAAATATCAAAATTTGATGTAGGCTTTATCCCGAATAATTACCGAAAGACGAAACTGTGCATGCGCAGTTTTGCCTTTCGATCCAATAACGTAACTTTAGCTTTCGCCGTATTTGAAAAGCGTTATTGCAAATACTCCCTAATATTTTCGTCTCTGGAAATCTAATTTTCCCATTGGATATCGGACATCGTGTGTGGCGTGTCGATGCCGTGCGAATCCTGCATTACGCTCGTAACTACGGGACGCGTGCATGATGCTGAAACCATTGTAAAAGTGCCGCGAGTCGAACGGAATAACTCAATGGGTGTAATCGGTTAATTCCAGCGTTCTGTTTAGTTCACGTGCATTGTCAAGAAGAATATGAATCGCAAGTACACTGCAGCATCATTTAATCGCATGGTGTAAACGTGACTTCAAAATGCATTTTCACGTTGCACGATTAGACGAGAGTTGAGAGACAAAAAGAGGGAAAAAAGGAGGTAAAAGGAAACGCAGAATCCCAGAAACGCAGGCTCACGTTTCTCAAACTCGCGTTTTGTGATTCGAGTATATATAGATGCAGTTATGGGCTTTTACAGAGCATGTGTGTGCCCGTAACTTTGATCCATACGTTGTGCGTATTCGAGAATTGGTTATCACGTTTACTGACACTGCAAATTGCATAGAAAATCGTGAAAAATACGATGGCTGATTTCTCAGGTAATGAAGCAAACGCTTTTAGATCATGTTATTATCTAAATTTGAGTTTGACTATATTTGTGCATAACCGTTTTTACTGGAATAAAATTTACCAAAATAGGAAGTATGTTCTCTTGATCGGTGAGATGTTTAAGTGATGTTTGTAGGATACTTAACATTCTTGAGCCTTGCGCGTTCTTTGTTCTCTGTAATAATAATGTTTTTTAATCTGAACTCATATAATTCTTATATAAGTTATACAATTTTATCTTATTAAAATGCTACATTTAACATAGCAATGCATGCATATTTATGATATACAAGTATTACGAACCATACTTATGTGCCAGAATATTCATGCAAATTTTGACTGTGTACTAATTTTTTGCTTAATTCCAGCCAAACATTGGCAAAATAATTTGTGAAACATATGGCAGACAAGGAATCTTTGAATTACCGTACACCTTGTACGGATATTAACGATGAGATTGAAGGTCTTAATGAAAGGCTGTTGCAATTGTTAAGTGCACAAAAAGTATCTTCACCAGATGCAACAGCTAATAAGAGCCAATCATTGTGTAATAGTAGATTAGGAAATAATAGTGGTTCTAAGGTAGAATTAGAGTCATCTGCTTCTCCATTGTTCAGTCATTATAGATATGACTGTTCTTTTATGCATCATGACAGCCCAGTTAATATGCCAACTGTACCAAATTATCTTCCACCTATTGGTGTATTTTGGGACATTGAGAATTGCCAAGTATGTTCATAAATTCTTTTCCTATTGGTGATCAATGTTAGTGATGTATAAAGAAGTTATATATCATTATAATTTATATAATTTGATATTACTAAGATGATATTACAATATTTTCTGATTGTATTATAGGTTCCTAAGGGCAGATCCGCCATAGCAGTTACGCAAGTAATTAGGGATAAATTTTTTAGTGGTTATAGGGAAGCAGAATTTATTGTAGTTTGTGACGTTCAAAAGGAAAATTACCAAATCATACAGGAACTGAACGACGCTCAAGTAAGAAAAACGTACAACCTTATTCCATTGATGACAGATAATTATCCTTGTTATTTTTATCATTTATCAGGTTAATTTAATACATGTATCTGCTACATGCAAGAATGCTGCTGATGAGAAACTTAAGCAATCCATCAGGAGATTTGCTGACATTCATGGTAGTCCAGCAGCTATAATCTTAATATCCGGCGATATTAATTTTGCCGCTGATCTCAGTGATTTACGTCATAGGAAAAGAATTCATGTGATACTGCTGCATAAAAAAAATACCTCAGAAGCATTAATATTATGTGCTAATGAACACTATGATTTTACGGAGCTCATGGAACCACTGCCGTCCAGAACTCCAGCAAAGGTATGAAAAGATGACTGATATCAGAAGATTATGTAATATTTGTAATATAGGACTTTTATTTGAGACTGCTGGTACAGATCATATGCTAATCTTTCTGTATCAATTTAATAAACTATATATATTGAGAGTATATATGCAATATTATTTTCTTATTTTTAATTTCCAATCATGTACATTGTTTTATGTTTGTATATGTTCAACATGTATCGCGTTTATTTTAGTACACGGTTTAATTTACATAACTAATATATATATACATACATACATATATATATATATATATAACATATGTATTTGCATGCTTAATCTATCCTGAATGACCTCACTTATGTATCAAAATTATTTAACACTTTCAGGGTGTTGAATCCTATGACCTTCTAGTTAGTAACCTTCCTGATGAAAAGGATGTTGTAGTCATTAAACGTCGTCTTAAGCAATTATCTGATAACTGTGGTGGTCGTGTGGTGGATGTCCAGTCAAATACAGCTATTGTACGCTTCACATCGCAAAGTTCTGCAGACAGGTACACATATTTTATTAATATTAGAACTTACTCTCTTCTACTTACATTCGTGTCAATTTTATTTATTTACTCGTAAACGATCGTGCATATGAACGCGTTCGATTTCTATTCAAATAGCCCGCCTTTTTTTCGTGTAAATCGGCCTTACATATTTTCTATCCTATTATTGGAGCAATATGTATATAAAAAAAAGAGAGAGGAAAACAAGGAGTATTATATGTCGACGTAGTAGGGATGAAAACATAAATAAGAGACATTTCAAATGTCAGCCAACAATGTAACGAACAGCTGTACCTAAGAACATCATATAATTTTGCTGGCCATTATTACCGTTAGTACATCTCAGGGTCCATTGCAAGAAGGTTACATATTAGAAATTATTACGAAGAGATTATTTTTATAGAAAATAATATATTGTTAGCGTATTTATTATTTTATTTTAAATGTTATATCTGAGTATTGACTTGATGTGATGGCTTTACTTCCACTTGGGGTAAGTTACACGACACACATACGCGCACGCGCGCGCGTTATCATCTTTATATATTGCTATATAAACATTAGCGTATTTAATACCGAGAAATCTATATTTCGTACATGGTACACATTTTTATTCGGAAGATTTTGTGACGATAATTATACACTGTGCGATATAAATCAACTTGTGTTTAGGTTTTGTTATTCCTCACATCTGCAAGGTCATTTATAAGTGATATTGCGCGCTTGTTCTGTGTATTGAAGTTGTTCGCTTCTCTTCCGACAGATTATATAATAACACAATGTGATCTTTTCTTCTTTTTTTTCCCTCCCGATAGGGCTCAGAAGCGTATGGACGGAGAATATGTTCTTTCGTCGAAAATATCTGTAAGACATTATAAAGAAAAAGGAAATACAATCAAAAACCAAGGTATGTTTGTTGGTAAAATTCTTGAGTAACATAAGCTGGTATTGTATCGTTGAATTTCGCATAATTGATCGCATTCTTTCTTCCAGGAAGTATTATAACACGTAGTCGAGCAGTTAGTGAGTCAGAAATTGTTGCTAACTCCTCTAAGCAAATGTACGGTGGTGCGGGCGCCTCCGTATCAGGGACGAGGGCCCTACAGTTTTCGCATTATCAATCATCGTCACCTGTAGTAGGCGCTTATCCTACTTTCAACACTCATTGTGCATCTGTCAATACTACATCAGGGTAAATTTGTCGCATCTCTTTGACTTACGCCTTCAAAGCTGATAACGTAGGAAATTTTCTACATGATGGACAATCCGAGCATGAGCTCTGGAGTCGCGAGTAGATTTTTATCCTTGCTGATTCGGGCTATGAAACGAATCTTTGATCTTATCTGATAGTACATTAGATAATATTTGTGTAGCAAACTTATTTGTTCAGCATTACACGACCTTGGTTTTTTTATTCTGCGTTTACAGGGTGATACAGCAACCTCCGATATTTTACGGGAGATCATATCCGAATAGCAGCGATGTGGCTTTTAATAGAACATATAGTGATCTTGGTAGAGTGCAGTCGCCATTAATCTGGCAAGTTCCAGGGCCTCAGTCATATGGCCAGTTGTGGGAAGAACAATACAAAGTTAGTTTTACGCGGATAAACACACACGCACATTTACATTTAAGATACAATCTGTTGTAATCTCTTCTTGCTTGCAAATGCAGCGTTATTTATCAACTTTCAATCTGTCGTGAAATTAGTTTATAATCATACATATTTCACACATAATCATACATCAGTTATTCATATTGTAAAATTTCTTGTAATTTCTTGCAATAATACATAACGCAACTGAACAATAATTTAAAGATGGAGAAGCAGAAATTGGGCAAGCGAGTTCACGTCTCGCAGGTTCGAGACAATAATATTTCTAGTAATGCAATCTCTCGTACTCCCGAAGGCCTTAGACGCGTTAGAGGCACACATAATTCGTTCGTTCATACTTCCGACTGGATTGGAGGACGACAGTTAGCTGTTCCACCTAATTACAATACCAGTGGTTTGTAGTTTAGTGTACTCATATATTCTTATCAAGATCACATTACGATAGCATCGTCATCAACATGCTGCTTAAATTACAGGACAAACAAATCCCTTCAAACGGCGCAGTCCGTCTCCGTTGTACGATGCACAAATTAGAGAGAAGAACGTATGGAACGGTCAGGTATACGAGCGTAACACATATACACATACACACACACGTTTTGCGTTATTTATCTTTCACGTATAATTTATATTTATATCGTCGAGCATAGCTGTTATATTTGTCGAAATACCAGAGATAACATTTTGCTTTTCGTCTTCAGAATCAACAACAAATTTCTGCACGTAACAACAGAACACCATCACCTTACGAGAATAGCATATTGCAAGGAACGGGACAACACAATCAGACCTCACGTTCGCACCAGAGCGATGCGGAGAATGAGGAAGTGGAGGTATCGTTTCTCGCTGTTTTCATTCAAACTCGGCGCGTCTCTGATCTGCGACGATTCTTTGTAACATTCTGTATATCTGTACGCAGAAATTGTTCAATCCCATAAACAATCGCACTGCACCCGGCACGAATAATGGCGCTAATACAACTATCGAGTTACAAGTAACGAATCTGGATCAGAACATCGATACGAAGGACATGAAACGGATCCTCTCGTCTGTATTTGCAGAACACGTAACAGTAAGTTTTCAGCATTCAGCTTGAGCGGTTATCGAGGGAACACGTCTGACTGCTTTGAGAAGTCGAAAAGCGTGAACTGAAAAGAGTGCTGTAGTAGTAACAGTAGTTTACAAATACTAAGATGTAACGTTAATAATATTTTAACTTTATAATTTTTGTCTTATGTACACATCTACAGTGCTTTTTGTTTTGGAAAACTCATACGCGATTTTTATGACAAAAATACTTTCTCCGAGCTTCTAAACATACATTTTTGAAGATGGCCTTCCTGCAAGAAGGGGTATTTTTTTTCTTTTTGCGTTGATCATAGAACCTTTTTTATATGAAGTTCACATAGTGTCTTTGGTAGACAACTTCAGACTCTATACTTAATTTTTTTCGTTTCCGATGGAAAGATCATAATGGTGTCTCAGAATGTGTGCTTTGATCGTGCAACGATCGACTTCCGAGTCAGAATGACGTAAAGAAACAGAAATGTTCACGAGCTTCTAGCGGCGCTCCGGTATCCCTTTGATTCGCGAGAGTTCAGAGAGAGAATTATTGCTAAGTTGTTCGGCTGCTTTGTATAAGATTGCGGAAGGTATTTCCAATAGTCCCTCTCTTTCAGGTATTACATATTTCCATATTCATGCAGTCGGACGGCAACTTTGCAGCTAGCGTGAGAGTACCTTCGTTGCCAGACGCACAATATGCAATCTCGCAGTTGCATCGCCGTAAAGTAGGCTACAAGCGCATTTTGATATCGTACGCTCACACTGGTGGCCCGAACCCGCAGCTCATTCGTGCGCAAATCGTGATGCTCTTGCAAGAGGTACCGGGGCACAAGCTCCCACTGTTCAAATTCCGCGAGATGTACGAGAGCCGGTTCATGATTTCCATTAGCGTGTCTGAATTATATAAAATGAAGGATGTATGCCTAATTACGGAGGATACAAGTGGCAGAATGGTTTCGCTCAATCCGGATCACAGGAATACCCCGTCGCCATGCAACACGACACAGGTGCGTGCGAATTATATGTAGCGCCATTATATGAATATTACTCCCGATTACTCGCAACTCCGCAAGATGATGGATAGAAGCCGAGGCTGAGCTTCTCCGGTAGAGGTAGAGCTGCTAGAGTTCCCTTTGTCGTCGAGAAGCTTTGATCACACCGTGAAGCGTGAATGTTTTGTGCTGAATGAATGTATTTTTACGACGGGAGATTCTAATTAAATATTTTGCAAAGTTAAAAGAGACGGGATACTTGCAGGAGGGACAAGTCAAATTGCCGTATTGCACGATCCATATCTCGAAACCGTTGACGTCTGACAAAGGTTGGGCGGAACAGGAAATGGCATCTTTACCTAATGTGAAGATTTCCTTGAAAATTCTCGAGACCCGTATGCAACAATTGCTAGCGTCGCACAACGGCATTCTACCTCTGCCAAGGTATGTTTCACTCTGGCTTACATAGGTCTTGTGCGAATAATCAGCAGGTTCAGTTGAACGAAGGAAAGTCACGGTACTTTTACCTCCAGGACTTTACCTTTAAAAAGTGCATGTGGTATCCAGCAGAATTTATTCTGTAAGAGTTATCTATCTTTACTTTCTCTCAACTATCATTTTTATACAAATAAATCCAAATTTGCCTTCATTATTATGTTAATTTATATCATCTTCCTTTCTTCTTCTATACTTATACATGTATCTTGTCTCTCTACTCTCCAATATCCCCATTATCACATGCATTTCACAGCCTTGTCTAATCAGTCTTTTTAGGATACGCTGCAACCTTACACTTTTGGTTTTCCTATTCTCTTCACTTCGCCTTATCTCTCATACTATCTTCCCATGAATGCTGCTTTGTACTTCCTCAATTCTCTTTTTTCCCCATAGTTTCCTCAATATACCTTGCCTTTTACTTCATCCAACTCATCGCTTCATAATCTCTTCCATATTTCGTATCTACAAGCTTTAAAAATGCATGTGATATCTAGATGAATTTATTTTCCAAGGAGAATTTATTCAAAGAATTTATTCTAAGGGTTATTAAAAAAATTTTCCTATCGGATACAAACGTGCTGCAAAATTTATTGAAGAGAAGAAAAGTGTTGCAACAACTTTTCTACTGACTGCATATAGGGTGTCTCACAATATGAGTTTTACGATACATTCCTTATTCCAATGTAGAAAATGTGAATATTTTAAAAATTACTGAAAAGCATTCTATATATAGGATGTCCGGGATTTTTTGGAAACGAAAAATTGTGAAGATTAATCAAATCACTGAGAAGAAAAGTCCATGTACATTTTGCAAAAATCGCAATAGTTATTAAGTTATTAATGTTTGAAAATGACCATATCTAGAGGCTTTTTAAACTAATAACTTGATCATTTGCGTACTTGTTTGCGAAATAGTAAAAGACTTTTTTTATTCAGAATAACCTAATTTACAATAAGAATAACCTAATTTACAATTACATGGTGACTGTTACACCTAGCGACAGGTTCAGGATTCAGGATTCAAAGTTCAATATATTTATATCTCTTGCTAGATAATAGCTATTATATAATTATAGATTAGGTCATTCTGAACAAAAAAGTCCCTTACCATTTTGCAAATAAGTACGCAAATTCTCAAGTTATCAACTAAAAGATATGTGGCCATTTTCAATCATTAATAATTAAACATCAATCATTACTAACTAATTATTGCGATTTTTGCAAAATGGCATGACTTTTCTTCTCAGTTTTATCTGATTAATCTCCACAATTTTTCATTTTCAAGAGATCCTGGACACTCTGTACATACATTCCTATCCAATTCTACAAACCACATTTTTTATATTCCAGCATTATGCACCGCCCGCTATTACCAAGAGATTGTCGATAGTTTCAGATTTCTTGAATGACAGCTCGTTTCTTTGCATCATGTGCAGTCGCCTGACAATTTTTCATAATTGATACCTCGATGAATATCATGTTTGCAAAATGATGTAGAACTTTCTCGCCCAAGTATATAAGCAATAATTAAATACGTTAGATACAGTAATTAACACCCGCGCGACACTTCTTTAGATACGAATAACGAGTGGGTTGTAATCGCAATCTTTGAAATCTGTGAATTTCAGCCTGCCGAATTGTTTCGAGGCTGAGTTCAAGGAACCGTTAGAGATTGTAGATAGTGGCGTACCTTTGGAGCACTTGATATCCTGCTTATCGTCGGTGGAATTGAGACAGGACATCGGAAGCGTGAAATACATCGTATGGATAGGAAATATAAATGTCGAGAGTAATCACGAAGGTGATTTCTCTTTTTGTGAACCTCGTATCTACGGTATAATCTATGGCGTTTATAAAAATTGTACTTGGTTAACAATACGTCGCTTCTTCCAGAAATCAAGTGTGTGAGTCCGTCGCTCGCGAATCAGCTGGCCCTTTTCAGTCGCGAATTGGTTGATCTTCTGAAAACTGCTCCGCACTGCCAATTACCCTTTAATCGATTTATACCGGCGTATCATCATCATTTCGGCCGGCAATGTAGAGTTGCTGATTACGGATTCACCAAACTAATTGATTTGCTGGAAGCGCTTACACACACGGTTCAGGTAGGTAAATTAGGCACTTGGAGAGCTTTTAGCGGTGGATGAACAATGAACGATCCATTTCTACCAGAGCTGTCAAGGTAGAGCAAGTGCTTGAGGAGAGACAAAATGGTGCGAGAAATAAGCACGCTTATCTCTCTTATCGCTTTGGTACTGGCTGTGTTAGACGATCGTTGTGTGCGGTGTGTAGCTAACGCTAGTCGCTACAAGTCGCTAATAAGTGAATAACGTTAAACTCCTAAGAGCGTTACTAACATAAGCACAGAATATTACAGTTTTATAGAATTTAACAGTGAACACATTGAGCGCAGTACATTCGATAAATTGTAAAGAAACATCCAACTCTCGGCGTGCTACTTATTTGATGCGAGTAATCGTCTGTTTCGCAAGGTAATGGGCGAGGGCAACAAACGCATCGTTACTCTGTCACATCGCGCGCAAGTGCGGCGTTTCACATCGGATCTGCTGCGAGTGCTGAAGTCCAAAGCGAGCAAGCAAGTAGCACTTTCGGAATTTCCAACCGTTTATAGCAGAGTGATAGGTAAATATATTCGTCTTTGCGATTGGTAGCGGGATAATCGTCGTTACGCTCGTCATTTGCAGCAAAACCGTGGGACATTGTGGACTACGGCGTGTGCGACATCGATGATATCCTCGGGGAGGTGTCCGAAAACACGGTCGTTGTAACGTCCCTCGACAGCGGTGACAAAATGATAGCTATTCCCAAACGCGAACAGACCGCGGAGGAAGTGGAGCGCACCAAACTGTTTGCCAAAGAGGTAACGCATGTGAACCGCTAAAACTTTTATAAAAAAGGAAGATCGACTATGCGCTCAAAAACTACTATTTTAAGTTGATCGAACAATCAAAGATTACTTGGATTTAAGTTATTTAGACTTGCTAGATAAGTTATTTAAAATGTATTAAATAAGTTATCTAAATAATTTTAATTTAGATAACTTATTTAATATATCTTAAATAACTTATTTAGTAAATCTAAATGATTTAAATCCAAGCGATCTACGATTGTTCGGTTAACTAAAAATTACTTTCGAGTACATAGTTGAGTCTTCTTTCTCGCGGGAAATTATTTTAAATCCAAATGTACTCAAATGTAGTCAAATAAATTTAAATGACTTGATAACTTATCTAATACATCTTGAATAATTTGTCCAGTAAATCTAACTAACTTAAATCCAAGTAACTTATTTAAGTAAAGTAAATTATTTAGATTTATTTAATAGATTATATTTGTCGTTTGGATTTGAATCAATTTTCCGCGAGAAAGAAGACTCAATTATGCATTCGAAAGTTATTTTGAGTTAATCGTACAGTCAAAAGTTACTTGGATTTAAGTTAGTCAGATTTACTGGACAAATTATTTAAGACATATTAGATAAGTTATCAAGCTATTTAGATTTATTTGATTAGATAGATTATATTTGAGTTGTTTGGATTTGAATCAATTTCCTGCGATAAAGAAGACAACTACTGCACTCAAAAGTTATTTTGAGTTGATTGTACATTCGAAAATTACTTGGATTTACTAGATGAGTTACTTAAGATATATTAGATAACTTATTAAATTATTTAGATTTATTTGATAAATTAGATTTGAATCGTTTGGATTTGAACTAATTTCCCGCAAATCGACAGGTTGTCGAATTGCTGCAACACGCACCTCAGTGCAGAATGCTGTTCAACAAGTTCGTACCTTCCTACCATCATCATTTCGGCCACCAGTGTCGTGTGTCGGACTACGGCTTCACTAAGTTGATCGAGCTGTTCGAAGCGATTCCGGATGTCGTGAAAATCGAGGAGGTAAACGGAGGTGAGCGGCAGATATCCTTGACCGAGAAGGAAGGCCTGAAAGTCCTAGCTGAGCAAATATCAAAATTGGTGATGCGCGCCAAAGGTGGCCTTAGCATTTCGAGCATCGCGCAAATGTTCTCTCATCAATTCGGCTACTCCCTGCGTCCAGAATTGTTCGGCTGCAGTTCGATGTTGCAACTCATGCAAAAACTTGAAGATACCATTAAGGTAATACACTGACATGTGATAGATGCGCTTGAAAGTGAGACGAAGATTTAGTCAATATTGAAATTGTTTAACCTTTCGTCTGGCACATTTTTTCTACTTGACTTGACTTTCTCTGAAATCTTACATTTCTACGTTGTTTGGGTCACTGATTACAAATTTAAGGTCAGATTTCAAGAGAAGTCCAATGTGGCTGCTAAACGGTAAAGTAATTTGTTTATAAAAAGAGAAATATTGCACACGAAAAATTCCGGAAAAAAATATATGTACAGGGTGTCTTTTGCAAACGAAAAGTTATGAAGATTAATCAAACTGAGAAGAAAAATCAAGTATCATCATTTTGCAAAAATCGCAATAGTTATTAAGTTATTAATGATTGAAAATGACCATATCTAAAAGCTCTTTTAATTGATAACTTGAAAATTTGCGTATTTACTTGCGAAATGCCTTTTTTCTTCAGAATGACCTAATCTGTAATTGTATAATGGTTATTGTGCCTAGCGACAGGTCCAAAATTCAGGGTTCAAAGTTCAATAGTTATTAAGTTACTAATGATTGAAAATGACAACATCTAGAGGCTCTTTTAATTGATAATTTGAAAATTTGCGTACTTTGTAAAATGGTAAAGGACTTTTTTGTTCAGACTGATCTAACTTACAATTATAGGCTATTGTGCTTAGCGTAGATAGGTTTAAAATTCAGGATTCAAAGTTTAATATATCTATCGTTAGACACAATAGCCATAAGATAATTGCAGATTAGGTCATTCCGAACAAAAGAGTCCTTTACCATTTTGCAAATAAATAGGCAAATTTTCAAGTCATCGATTAAAAGAGTTTCTAGATGTGGTAATTTTCAATCATTTCAATCATTAATAATTTCATAACTAAATCATTAATAATTCTCGATAATTATTGCGATTTTTGCAAAATTGTACTGGACTCTTTTCAGTTTGATCTGATTAATCTTCACAATTTTTCGTTTCCAAAAGATCCTGGACACTTGTATTATATTTTGATATGCAAAGAATATTCTGTGAAATTTTCAGCTCTTGATCTTAAATATTCTCCAAGAAATTAAAAAAATGTTTTTTAAATCGCTCTTTTCAACTTTATTCGCTTGCAAATAAATAAAAATGAACAATCGGGTATAATGATCATGAGAAACATGTAGAGTATGTAATAATATACCAGGAAAATGTTATAAAGTTCATGAAGGAATCATTAATAATCATCAATAACTATTGCGATTTTTGCAAAATTGTACTCGACTCTTCTTCTCAGTTTTATCTGATTAATCTTCACAACTTTTTGTTTCCAAAAGATCCCGGACACTTGTATTATATTTCGAATGCGAAGAATATTCAGTGAAATCTCAGCTCTGATCTTAATTTTTCAAGAAATTGAAAATTTTTATTAAATGTTCTATGCATTTTATTTTTTCTGATAACTTTATATCCAATTGATCAATAAGAATAAATAATGAACAATCAGGTATAATGATCATAAGAAACATGTGGAATATGTAATAATATACCAGGAAAGTGTGAGACTATGCTTATTTTTTATCAAACTGTAAATTACATCATAAAGATGGAAGAGAAAAAGGGAAAGTATATTCATCACTGCCGCACAAAGGGTTAATCCTGACAAGTCAGGATGATTCTTCTTATTTAACGCAACTTTATCGCAGATCATCGATCTGGCGACGGGACCCGCCATCGTCACGATCGACAAGTCGCACCTGCAACAGACCATTCTCCAGTGCCGACGTATTTTGATGGATCAACCACAGTATCGAATGCCCGTGAGAGAATTTCTGCGGCAGTACTCGCAGTATCACCTAAAGCCATGTAATCTAGACGAGCTTAAAAGGGACCTTGCCAATGTCTTTCGGGTGTGTATCTCAAAGCTCAGCGTGAGCTGCGTATTGCGGGTTGGCTAACATCACGTAAGAATGTGCGTATATTTGCAGTTTATAATGGTAAATGGCGAGCAGTTTATCGAATTGACACCATTGCATCGCTTCGCCTGCGACGTTTGTCGCGTAATGATGAATTGCGGCGGCATATTAAACCTGTCCCAGTTTGACGTAGCGTATTCAACCATCATAGGCACACCCTGTAAGCCCGCGCAGTACGGTTTCCCGACGCTGACCGCGCTGTTGCAAGCGTTACCGTGCACCGTAACGATCAAAGACACGCGCAAGAAGAAGGGAATGATTTATTTAAACAAGAAATTAATCGGTAAGTGACGGCCGCACGGCGACCAGCGGGTGATCCTGCCTTCGGCGGTGTCTCCACCGACGTTGGACAGTGTCTGATCTGAACTGATTTCTACTTTTCAAGCCGCGGTTAACGTATTGCTGCCATCGTACAAGCCAGCCTCTTCCTACCACGATACGGATTCTAGTAACGATTCGTTCGAAAGCGACTCCTCTTATCACGTGAATGTCTCCAACGCATCGAGCATGATAGACGATCCCGAAAAATGGTTTGAGCACGTGACGAGCGTCAACTCGTGGAAGGCCAAAGAGGAGAGGAGCTTCTGGTCCAAAGACTGTGATAAGCACTGGAAGAACTTGCAGAGCATAGAAGATCACTCGATCAATTGGCCGATATCGGAAAGCAGCAGCGAGAGTCTCATGAGGAGCCTGATACGCACACCAATTATGCGTCACAACTTCCCACTGCCCCCGCCTAAGCCTGATTCTCCGCCCGAGGTACCGTGTCCCCATCGACCTTGACACTCATCGTTGACGCTTGGTCGTCGGTTAATCGGCCATTTTTTTGCCTACAGGAAACTCTACCGAAAGGAGATTGGAAGTGTTCACTGTGGATGTCCCCAGGCAAGTTTCCGTACCCGCAGGATGAACATTCCACGAATGTGCAGGTACGTTTTCTCTCTACAATTTCTACCGTCTGCATCTCAGAAGGACAACATGAAGTGCCGGCCCTATATGGGCCGGTTTTTCAATGGTTTAAATTGAAGATTATCTGTTTCTTCCTTGATCCATAAACCTAGTTTTACATCTTGTGTGTTTTTCAAGCATACGTCGAAGACAGTTTAGATAAATCTTTGTTATTCTTAAGTTAGCAACGAAAAGTCATCGCTGTGCGGGTCACTTTTAGATGTACACGTGTAAATTTAATTCTAATATGAGTGCAATCTAAAGTACCCGTGCAACGTAGAAATCTTGCAATATTGTAAAATTTTTCGTGAGGTCTTTGAACATTTCCTTGTATGTTCGGAAATTTTACATATGCAGGTTTAAGTTGAGCAATTGTCCTTGAAACTTTATTATTTTTATTATTATTAATTACTTTACTTGCTGTACTTTTACGAACACCAACAAAATCACCTACGCTTATCAAAAAAGATTCACTAGCACAAAATCTTAATGTTGGAAATATCGTTTCATATATATTGAAAGAGCCTGATTTCTAAAAAAAAAAAATACAAAAATCAATTTTATACTATTCGTATAATATTCATTATTAGTAAACATCATATTTTACAACTAGTTAAGTGAGCTTTTTCTTTATAGCTTTTTCCTTATAGCTCGCTCACTCGTCGTTCGCGCTCTCTCGCTCTTCGTCGCGCTCGCTCGCCTTTTGTCGCTTGCGCTCGCTTGCTCCTCGTCGTTCGCGCTCGCTCGCTCCTCGTCGCGCGCGCTCGCCTCTTGTTGTTTACGTTGCCCCTCGTCGCGCGCGCTTGCCTACCGTTACTCACTGACTCCGCCTGTATCAAATGTCTACGTGCTTACTGCTTACTGCAGTCGCCCTCCGCTCTCTACGCGCTCGTTGGCTCACATGTTTTAATTAATAACTCGATAACTATTGGCAATTTGACATTATAGTACATGACTTTTCTTCTCGGCTACACCCAATCTATCTCCAACTTTCGTCTGCATGATCAGCTATCAAACACCCTGTATATGTCATTTAATTTATATGGCATATTGATACTTATCAGTTGGTGATTGAACAGCGTCTTGAATGTTTTCTATTAACATATAAACTGTAGTTTTGGATAAGCGAAATCTTTGAAGAAATTCTTTTTTATCCCAAATTTCAAAATGATGATGGTCTTCGCCTTACAACACGATTTTTTCGCACGTTGATATGTTTTATATATTTTAAAATATCCTCATCCTCACTACTCTCTTCATAATATTCGTCATCAAACATCGTAATAAATATTTAACAATATGATGTTAAATATAATAATAGAGACACTATATTGCAATGACATTTATTAATCCATTAAACGACGTTATCATTCACAGTTTAGTTAAACTATAATTTAAATTACGTTTTATTCTGATCTATCCATTGGGAAAACAGTCTAATGCTTTTGAACAGAGTTGAAACTTCGATCTAAGTTTAAACCATTATTGAAAAACTGGTCCTGCATCGCCTCTCGCACATTCTTCCAGGTTCCGCCGTTAACTCTGCCAAGCTGGAATCCAATCACGTCCAACGATGATACGTCGGATCTGCTGTCGCCGACGAAAAATCTGCTGCCCGCTGCCGCGAACCCCTTGTACCCGCATACCTCTCCCTACTACACCAAGTGTAACACAGTCGTCGCGCCGCACCCGTCGGAACTGCCGCTTCCCTCTCTGTCTCTGACGCCCAAGAAGATGTCGGCGGACAATCAGAAGAAGAACGCCAGGACGTACCTCAGCCTCGCGAGTTCTGACAGCGACAATAATACCGTCGACGACGATGAGAACAGCGACGCTCACAGCACCTCCGGCAAGCCTTGTTAGTAGCCGCATTGACTAACTAAACTAATTGATAACTAAACAGCCACGCTCAAGTATTCCCTACGTTGTATTTCTTAAACCCTTTAACTGCATTATACTCCACTTTTACACCGCAATTATGCATTTTCAAATGTGACTACGTTTATTTCAGTAGTGAAAGGGAAGAGACGCCTGGCGGCTCAGTTCAATCAACCGATCGAGTCATAAGCAAAGAATACACACGTACGTACGCACATATATATATATGTATATACATATGTACATATATATACACATATATATATATAGTGAGGGGAAAGGGAGGGACGGAGGGAGAGAGAGAAAGAGAGAGAGAGAGAGATAAGGCGATAGGCATGTTGAGTTCAAAATCGGAAAACTGATTGAGTCAACGTTTCGGTAAATCACCACGTACACATGTACACATACACACACACACACATACACTGACACACACGCGCACATACGTACACTTGATGGGTTAAATTATACCTATATACTGTTCTACGAATGGTAGGTACCACACTTCATTTATACTCGAAATTTACAATAAATTTGTGTATAGATTAAATGTGTATGCAAACCGACAAAGAGAAGCGATGAGAGTCAAGTGAGTTATTTTCAAAGTGTATGAAAATATACAAGTCGAGTTAGGTCGTCGAGTGAGGTCAGGATCATAACATAACATGCGGCGTTCATAGCAAGTGACATATGCTGACGGTATTGCATATAGAACGTGTAAAGCATTTTTCGTACTGTGATATAGGATATAAAAACAAGCAAGATGATAGTAATAGTACATCAGGGAGGAGGCTTGGAATGGCAATAATTTATCTTTAGGCAAATCGCATACGTACGTAGACACGTGGCCCAATGTAATTGACTTTGAATTATATAATTATATAATTATATCTCTAAGATGAAATTATATAATTATATTTATCTCTCGCATCCTACTTTACGCGCTGCCTTTTGTATTTGATATCTTATATTATCTCTCGCTTTAGTCTTTCTCTTATATGTGTCTACCTGTATAGTGTTTACTACAATCGACTTATACTTGATTGTTTTACGACTGTTCCTCTTAACAGTACATATCACGGCATAATTTGCACCTGTTTTTAATTTTATATAATTCCTCGCATAAAGCTAAAAAGAGGTCAAGCTAGATTTCACATTCGGTACATTAATGTTCCCTCACGGATAAATTATTGGACCACTTTAATTTGCCTATAATCTTGTACTACCGGAGAAAAAGAGTGAGACCGAAGGGGCTTAAGAAGAAAAAGTTGCATTTTCACACACGACATATGTCTAGAACAAATTATTGTGCACAATTGTTGCCAACTACCAAGAACCAAGTGAACTGAAAATCATTTGTCTACCAATGCACCTTCACGTGTACAGCTATTCATCTTAATCGCCTTACAAATTTCCCACATCGACATATTTTTTTTTACGGCGCAATGTGTAATTTTACTTTGCAAATGTCTTGCGGAAACTAATGTGTTATGAATCTGATGAGATGCAAAATTGGATTGCGATATTATTATTATTATTATTATTATTATTATATTACGGGATACAATGCTATTTATAAGTTGTCGTACAGATAAAGAGAAACGCAAGAAAAGACATGATTTTATCGTTGAAAACATTTTCGATGTTGATGAATTAGTACTATTGTTCAGTATATAGCGCAAGTATAATTGAAGAATAGTAAAAGTGATATGGTGCGACACGCGGAATAATTTTAACAAAGATCATTGCGAGGACAAACTCATTGAAACTGCTGAAAATATTGCGATAAGTATCTCACGATTTTATTTTAAAGGAGACAAAACAAAGTGTAAAGCTTGCACCTTGGGTATATCTCTCTCTCTGTATCGCTCAGTGTATCACCGCGCACATCGATTTCTTGTCCCGCTCTTCTTCCGAGTCGAAGAGAGTCACCGCAACTGCGCGATACAGAGCTTTTTTTATACTTTGTTAGAGTATACACACACACATACACAGAATGCGTGATACGTAGGTTGCACAATCTGGATTCGTTGTTCTCTGAATTGTACAGAAATAAGTGTTACGATCTCACTTTTAATCTTATTATACCTCATGCTCATCTCGTTGATGTGACATGGATATGTAATGATTTTGCAGCATGAAATGGTTTATTAGGTCGTATCATTGAATCATCGCTAAAAGTTATTGCGAGTTTTGCGGCGAAGTAATTGTCGATTTGTCACTAGATTGAAAATTGATGAAACGCGTTAGCAATTTTTCTGGAAATTTGAGGTAACGCACAACATACTTGCTGTCTGAAGATTCGCAAGACGTTTAGTGATGGTCAGGATCGGTATATCAAAGACGGTTATCATGATCATAATATTTCGCGACACTTTTTAACATTTTGTTTATTTATTCCTATTAGAAGCAATCGTTTTGTTACATGTTGTTTACCCATGTGTAAGAATCAATCCTAATGTATTTTATATCACCGGAAGATTTTGTACGTGTCTTATAGAGGAATTTTTAATTTGTTCAGTCGTGCGGGCATCTCTTACGTCGTGCCAACCGTACCACCGCGTAAGACATCCCCCGCGCGCGCGCGAGTAGTTGTTTGCATTATAAATAGTACTGTATAATGAATATTTTATATGTATCCAATTCACTTTGGCCATTCCAAATAATGGATGAGTAATTTAATTAATACAAACACAATATCGAGAGATAGAGGAAACTGTAAATGCGATCAATGTGTACAATTTTATCGTAATAACAAAGAAAAGATATTGTAATATATAAATCACGGTGAATCTTCTAAACGAGTGTTTCTTAAATTAATTTGGTATACATGTACAATAAGCATAATGTTTTTATATATTGTACAATGAAGCAAGGAATAAAAAGAATTGGCTCATTCAACATTGAGATTAAATCGTTACTGATGCGCTATGCATTGTTGTTGTACACCATGGTTATATGTCAAAGGGGCCAAAACGTGTCCAAGCGCCCGAGGATAGCCAAAATATGGCGTCGACCCCGGGGCTTATTTATATAATTTGCATCGGATAAGGAGGGGCAACGGTGGAGGCCGGCATACATGGACAGCAGGTCTTAAAAGATAGCAACCTTTGACTTTGAGACCACCACCTTGTACCACTAGGTACAAGTAACAATGCCTCTCTCTGTAGTCGCCGTGCGCTCGGTATAGCATTAGAGATGTCACTTCCGAACGACATCTCTTAACGTTATCTAAGGAGAGGAGAGTGTCGTGAGCGTAGAACGTCAGGTAGCTCAGTAGTCTAGAGCAGTCGCCCGGCAAGCGAAAGGCACGGGTTCTCGATTCCCGGTCTAGCGACTACCGCGCTCTCGATGTTTTTCTCTCTTCGGAACGAAAATAAGATGCAGGTCCCGAACGCACAGCGTCCCGTCGCCACCTAGTACGCCCTCCTTCTTTCATGGTTCAAAGGGGCGAAGCGTATCTGGAGTATTAGAAGATGTGGAATTGAACCCTTGATAAGTTACTTTTATTAGTCTCACACTTCCAACTCACATTATCTGTACACTGGATGCAAATTTATCATTCACATATTCACAATATGTGAATGTACTTTTCATTAAATAACTTTCTACAATAGCAGTACAAGTTGTTATGCCTTTTTATAGTCTTCTTTCATTCCACTACCTACTGGACCATGACGACGTTCCCAAATCATACGATGTTTTTGCTTCATATACGCATCTTTGACATTCAGAGTTACACCCATATCGCCATCTGCATATTTGAGAATGTTGAGTAGATATACCAATGTTCTCTTGTCTCTTCAACCTTAAACTGCTTACTTTTGATTCTTTACAGTTACGTCACTTACATTTCATAAACCAAGCTGTAGATGCGTCTTCATAAGTTTTGCGTATATCATCGCATAAATTCATATCATCCGAACCATGATACCAAGCACATTCTTCAAAGCGACTTCTCAAAATGTATAAAATTTCATCATCTACCAATCTGGTGTTGAAAGAAAAGATAAAAATAGTTAAAGAATACCTCATCCCTTGTAAATATAATAATAATAGATAAAAACAGAAAGAAGTTTGCTTTGTCTATATTTCTAATATAATTCTAATAATTCTTATTAGTAATAATCCTAGTAATTTTTAATATTTCTAATAATTCGTAAAACTTTATTTACTTATCGCGCTTGAATTGAATATTTGCTTCCGTATAACAGACTATATCATGGGTGTAACATTCGTCAATGTTGGGCACGCGGCGATATTTCTGATGATACCATGGATATTTTTTCTGATTTGGCAGAACGATTTTTTCTACGACCAAAACGCCCATTTAATTTCTAACACTGCGAATGGTTGAAGCAACATAACCAAACACATGATTAGATAATACCTCGGAAGTAAGCGGCCGGTGTGTCGATCACATTAAAAACAGTGTTAAAAAATCTAATCAGAACGTTATCTGCTGCCATCGTTTGATGATATATCAAATAAAATAGTTGGCGACAATACTACTTTTATAAAATTGTTACGTGTTGTGATAATAACGAAATTCTCACGACACCATGCAGCACACTGTAGAGCACGCATTTAAAGCCAGCGGCACACAGTGCTTGTTTTCGTGCTGGATTGCTTGCTGGATGAAAATACTGCGTTTTGATTGGTATATTTCCAAAGATGGATGAAAATGCACCAATCAGAACGCAGTATTTTCATCCAGTAAGCAATCTAGCACGAAAACAAGCACCGTGTGCCGCTGACTTTAGACTGCGTTCCGATATTCACTGCCAGCACTGAAAATCTATAATATATGTGACATAAATTATATATTTTCAGTACTGGCAGTGAATATCGGAACGCAGCCATATGGTCTGTTCTTTTCTTCTGCACCGCTGCACTGGTGCAATAAGTTAAAGTGAGACAAATTTATACTTGTCTTAAGCCAGCGGCACACGATACTTGTTTTCGTGCTGGATTGCTTGCTGGATGAAAATATTGCGTTTTGATTGGTGCATTTCCATCCATCTTCGGAAATGTCTCAATCAGAACGCAGTATTTTCATCCAAGCAAGTAACCCAGCACGAAAACAAGACCGTGTGCCACTGGCTTAACGCTCGACATGATGCGTTCAATGAACTCTCCGATCTATATGGGGTACGATCCACTAGACGCTGCAAATATTTTGAAGCGCCCAAAGAAAAGCCGTGATTGGTCCGTAGAGTACTTCGTAGCGTTTGCAGCGTGTTAGGCCAGGTCTACAATAGGTGTAGTAAGCTTTAAGCCTTAAGAAGTTGGCTAACCTTATTCGATTATTCTTGTAAAAGTCGACTAGGATTAGTTAATTTCTTAAGGCTTAAAGCTTACTACACCTATTGTAGACCCGGCCTAAGCCCTGGTCTACAATAGGTGATTTAAGCTTTAAGCTATAAGAAATTAACCAATTACAGTTGAATGTGAGGAAAATAATCGACTGCCGTTGGTTAATTTCTTATAGTTTAAAGCTTAAATTATCTATTGTAGACCAGGGCTAATGGATCGTGTCCTTGGTGCATTCTCTCAAATTTCATCGAGACCCAAACGTGAGAGCCAATCAGATACGAGAAGCTATCGAGCGCTCACTCAACGGTGCGACACCGAATGCACCGCGATGCAGTATATCGACACGCGTCGAATATCGGAACAATACATCTACATAAAACGCGGATAAACAAACCAATGCGACAGACACCATTCGCAGAGTGCTGGCTAATTGCGACGGACTTTACAAAAGCAGCGACCAATCGTACGGCTCGAGGCGGACGCCATCGCGAGGAAAGAGGCACGTATCCCTCTGTCCTTTCCGTAAACAGTGAAGCAGTCATCGACTTCCTCTCGTTTGGTGTGCACGGTAGTGCCAAGAAGCTGGGTCCTGATCGAAGGAGTTCGAGAAAGGCGTTGCTGAGGAAATAACGTGGAATAATCAGGTACGACGTTCCTCGCCTCTGTCGCGATACGAAACGCGAATATGATCGAAAACGCACGGCTTCGGCGCGTGGTTCGGCCGCGAAGCGAACGCGAAAATCGCCGACACGCTCGCGACGGGATCGTCGTTTTTCCGACCATGTCTTCGTAGCTTCTCAAGCGCCTCGGAAAAGTGCATTCGGCTGGCGCGGCCATTTTGTTTATTGTGTTCACTTTTGGAGGGAAAGCAATGTAGAATATATATATCATGACGATCGTTTCGCGGTGCTTGTGATTAAACGACACGACTTGGGACGCCGTGTCCCGCGGGAAAAACCTGGAAATGCCGTTTCCGCGGCGGTAATCGGCCCCCGCCTACCCTCGGATGTGCTGTCTTATTGTTCCTTCCCCTTGCCCTTCGCCCCTCGTGTACCCCCTAGTGTACTCGCGCGCAGCAGTTGATTCCCGCTGCTTATAGCCCGACGAATATTTGCAGTCATGGCACGTACGAAGCAAACCGCTCGTAAGTCAACCGGTGGAAAGGCACCCAGGAAGCAGCTCGCCACGAAGGCTGCGCGCAAGAGCGCGCCGTCCACTGGAGGCGTTAAGAAACCGCATCGTTACAGGTACACGCGTCAATCACAAAGAGTGCTTTGCGTCTTTGCTATCGCACGACACGAGTGCTTTTATCTCGGGAGTAATGTGAAACGTTCGGGAGGTGATGGCAAAAAGTTATAAAGCGTGACTTTGATTGAATTGTACTTGAGAAAAATTTATATTATTTATAATTACACTTATATTTCCTATAATTATATTAAATTTATATCATCTATAATTATATTAATAGAAAAAGAGATGATGTGCAATTAAAAATTTTTGAATTCGGAAACTCGATAAACTGATATGACCGAAAAGATGATACATTATCTGTTTGTCTGCAAAATTTTTTTACAATTTAAACGTGTTGTTTATGCAAGATATTGTTTTCGGGAATATATGTTTTATACAAGTTTCTTGTGCTTTCAGGCCTGGTACTGTAGCTTTGAGAGAAATCCGAAGATACCAAAAATCCACCGAGTTGCTGATTAGAAAATTACCATTCCAACGTTTGGTTCGTGAAATTGCTCAGGACTTCAAAACTGACCTGCGTTTCCAAAGCGCGGCTATCGGCGCCCTGCAGGAAGCATCGGAAGCATATCTCGTTGGTCTCTTTGAAGATACTAATCTGTGCGCCATCCATGCTAAGCGTGTTACCATCATGCCAAAAGATATCCAGTTAGCGCGACGAATTCGCGGCGAGCGCGCTTAATTCACTCACAATCACACAAGTCTCTTTATTATTTGTTTTATTTTATTATCATTTGGACATTGTATTGTCGAACGAACTAAAATTATTCTTGACCTTCCGTATATATTTACTATATAATTAACACACTGCCAATCACACTATAAAAATATTGAGAGGGGAATAGAGCATGTAACGTCCTCGTCTCCATTTATTAGATTTCATAATTCGACGAAACATAATCACAATTCGTACGACGATAAAAGTATATAAAAAGAAAAATGGGTGAAAAAAATATATATATTATATATGTGATGTATTTGTCTTGAGCAAGGAAAGGAAAAATCACGGCAGAATCAGCAATTAGTTTTGTATACTCGAATGTATAAACAAAGGAGTAAACATACGAGCGATGCTGCAGGTACACATACATTGCACGTACTTTCGTAGAGAGTCGAAAGGATCCGAAAATTAGTGCTTTTATTTTAGGAGTATTGACCGATACCTGCAATCTTGCTTTGCAATAAATACACACATTGTACTCGTACATAATTCTTTACGTACAAACGAAGCATACTTATCGACGTATAAATTTTCGTAAGATGTGTAGAGCGTTAAGGGACTGGATTTCCTCTATATAATGCTAAAAAAAAACGCCGTAGAAGTAGTTTAGTTTCACAGTATAACTACACAACGTTTTTCTTTTCTGATTCACATTTAGTTTGGAACAACTTTCTAGAGTCTCTGCAAACTTTTCCAGGAGTGATGGTATATAATACGATACGATTTCTCATATATCTTCTCGAAGACTCGACATGAAAAAATCTGCTGTGCCGTGGGAAATTACCTTTCTTTTTCCTTTGACGATTAACGTGCGCAATTATTTATTTCCTGAGAGAGAGAGAAAGTGGGAGGGAGGGAGGAGGAGAAGAACAGCAACAATATATTTTTGTTTTATTTTTGAATCAGCAACAATATATTTTTGATGTAATGTGATAAATTTTTGTTGTACTTGAGAGAAATTTATACCTAACAGAGCGCGAGAAAACTCCGCAGCTCTAGTATTTATAGCAGCTTTTTTCATGCCGATATCCTTACATATTAGGTTGTTGCAATTATCTTAATTCTTAAACCAGATTATAGTAGTGTCTATCGAATAACTGTAACCACAGCACAATGAAATACATTTTCTAATTGATGTAACTAAATCCGAGCGACTCGTTCTACTCGACGACCCGTATGACGCTCTCCTCGCGTACGCGTGCCGAGTAACTCGGGCATTTTTCCTCCGACGTCTCAGCGGGGGAGAATCTTCTCGAACGATTTTCACGAGGCAGCTTCTCTCGCTCGGATGCCCGGTGAGTGTCGAGATGAGCTCGCATTTCCTCATACTTGTACGCATTCGCTTATTTATTATTCTTGCGCATTTGTTTCTCATTCTTTATCCTCTTCTGGCTCGAGCCAGAGAAAGACAGAGAGAAAGAAAGAGAGAGAGAACGGAGAGAGCATATCGCACACGAGACTCGGAGCGGCCGTGCATGTGCAATCAGCCGCGCCAATGCGTCGCTGCGCAACACACTCGCACGGCGCTATCGATTCGCCGTGTCTAGCGCGAGAGCGATTGTACGCGGCGCTCTATATGCACGTTACATGGCACACATTGGTCGTCGCGTCTCGCAAAGATGTAGCGCAGTGCACGCGCGAGAGAGAGAGAGAGAGAGAGAGAGAGATAGATAGATAGAGATAGGTAGGTGAGCGGGAGGGAGAGAGAGAGAGAGAGTACAACACGCGCGCGTGTGCGCCTCTATAGAAGGTTGTCTTTTTTGAAGAACTGGTGCAATAAGTTGGAGCGGAACGGATATATAATACTTCCTCTCGCTCTAACTTACTGCACTAGTGTGCGCCAGTTCAGCGGTTCTTCGAACAAGAACAGATCCAGAGAACCTAACACACGCGCACGAGCGTCTGGCAAAGTTAGCGCAAGTGCGTGAGAGAGAGAGAGAGAGAGAGAGAGAGAGAGAGAGAGAGAGAGGGAGGGAGGGAGGGAGAGGGGAGGTGTGGAGGGAAGAGTGTATGACACTCGCGCGTGCCTCTACAGGGTGTTTGAAAGAGAGGACTTTAGGGACAGATAGTGCCCACAAAAGTCTTGATGAGAAATCGAAAAATTAATATTGTCAGAGTTATAAACAATTATTTATTTTAATCAGAGCAAGCGACTCGTTCGCTTCTTATATTCTTGCTTTTGTATGTTCTGGACGTAACCTGTCCATGCCGTTTATCGCTGAAGAGAGAGAGAGTACCATGCTTTAAAGGACCCCCTGAAAAGTCTTTCGTTTTTACTTGGAATGTAGACAGACAAATATCAATTTTCTTTCCATGCACGCTTCGCCAAGCAATTGTTAGTCACATATCTTCGTGAATAATGAACAGTTGCGGAGAACTATCACAAAGTTTTCACAATATGACGTAAGAATGACGTCGTATTACTCTAATCAAGAAATGGCGGAAATGCGTTTTATATATGGCCGTGCATAAGAAACAAGTAAGTCATGCGCTTTAATCGAAATAGATAATTGTTCATAACTTCGACAATATTAATTTTTCGACCCGTGTTTACTAGAATTTTTTTTCTTCCATTTTATGAGTACTATCTATCCTTGAGCCCTGAACCTTTTTTTCAAACACCCTATATATGATCACATGTGATTTTTTCACAGAAATATATTCTATAATATATAAATACAATATATTACTGTAAATGTGTGTTGCATCATACAGGGTGTATAAAAAATACCGAGAGGTCGAAATATCTCAAAAACTAAGCATTTTAGAAAAAAATGTTTCAAACACGAGTTGTATAGTTTCATAGGGGGACATAAAACAACTATATCATTTTGTTTACAGATGTCGCCACTTTTGAGATATTCATTGATTATTACTTTTCCTGAATGGGAATTTTTTACTATATTATCTTTATTTACTAATTAATTTTAATAACTTTTGTCTGAAATATTTCTGTATTTGTCTAACATTTTCTGAAATATTTAAGGAAAACTTGATAACTTCTTCAATATGTAACTTACGATATCTCGCTAACTATTTGTCGGAAAAAAAGTGGAACTAGAGATTTTTGCTCTATTTGATCTCAAGAAAATATTGTTACAATAGCGCCCTGACTTTTATTAATTTGACGATTTTGAAATTTCCAAAGATCGATAAGTTAACAAAAAGTCTAATACCATTTTTTCTTTCGATAAATAGTTAGCGAGAAATCGTAAGTTAAATGTTGAAAAAGTTATCAAGTTTTCGCTAAATATCTAAAAAAATATTAGGCAAATATGTTATGTAATAAAAATGTTTCAGACAAAAGTCGTTAAAATTAATTGGTAGAAAAAGATGATGTAACAAAAAATTGGGATTTCCATTTACATTTCCAAAGTAATGATTAGTCAATATCTCGAAAGTGGCGCCATCTAAACAAAATGATATAGTTGTTTTATGTCCCCCTTGAAACTATCCTTTGTCTGAAACATTTTTTTCTAAAATGCTTACTTTTCGAGATACTTCGTCGTCCCAATATTTTTTATACACCCTGCTGTATAATTGAATACTAAACATGCGCAAATTACGTATTTGTGATTGCAAATTAAATGAATTTTTACGAATCTGTTGTTTCGGATTTCATGCTGCATGTCCAGTCATAAAAGCAACGCACTTTTGACATCAGCGTATCACGTTCTAGCCAAGAAATGGCAGAAATGCATTCCACATATAGGAACCGTGCACCGCAAGCAAGTGTGTGTGCACTCGCTTTAATTAGGATAAATAGTTGTTCTAATAACTCTGACAATATCAATTTTTTGACCCATGTTTATCCGGACCTTTTACCCTTATCTTATCAATACTCTCTGCCCTTAAGTCCCAAACCCTCTTTTTTGAACACCTTATATAGAGAATACTAAACACACATCACACAAGCGTCTCGCAAGGATGTAGCGCAAGTGCGTGAGGGAGGGGCGGGGGAGAGAGAGAGAGAGAGAGTAAGTGAGAGAGGGGGGAGGCGTATGACACTCACGCGCACGCCTCTATAGGGGGAGCAAACGCACACATGGACGCACGCGGGGCATCGATCTGTCACGAAATCGCAGATCGATATCCCTGGCGCTATAGAGCGAAACAGTCGGGCGTTATTATCGCCGCGCGATAGCCTTTCTCTCGGCATAAACAGTAGCGTCGCGTCGTGACGCGTCAGTGTAATTCCTATGTCGCGGTCTCTCTCTCTCTCTCTTTCTCCCTATCTCTTTATCTCTCTCGCTTCCGTGGATGCGAGAGAGATACGTGCTGGGCCCGGACGGACCAGGTGCATACACGGTGCGCGCGCGACGACCAAGTCGTAAATATCCCCTCGTAGCGTAGACGACGGCTCGCTCCATCGCGGTTCTCGAGAGGCGCGCTCGCGAGAACGACGCGACGATCGCGCGCTGTCGGGAAGATGCCCCACATCCCGGGACGACGACTCTTCCTCGCGATTCCGCTTCCGTCCGACCGGGGATCGCAGGCGCGACGCGCGCCTTCAGTGAGCGCGCCGCCGCGATTACAGCGAATTGTTCGGTTCGAGACAAAGGCAGCGCGCGGCCATATCTTTTTCGCGCTCACGTGCGCGCGCGCGAGGGGCGAGAGAAAGAGAGAGAGAGAGAGGATCCTCTGATGCGGCGAATGAAATCCCCGATTAGACGAGCGTGTTCGACATTCGACATGTGGAATGTGAATAGCGAGCTATTTGCTTTATTAGCGTCCCCCCTCCTTCCCCCCACCTTTCTCCTCACTCGCTCGCTATTGTCCGATACGCGGACGTCGCGGATGCGTGCATATAGAAGCGCAACGTAGTTGCGCGACGACGACGACGACGACGACGGAAGAGCGAGGAAGAAAAAGAGAGAGAGAGAGAGAGAGAGAGTGTGAGAGCGAGAGCGAGAGCGTTCGTTTCCGGACGAAATACAGGCTACGTTTCGATATTCACTGACAGCATTGAAAATCTATAGTATACGTGACACAAACTATGTATTTTCAGTACTGGCAGTGAATTTCGGAACGCTTAACGTATACATACGTCGCAGCGCGCGCGCGCGCGCGCTAGCGAGCGAGCGATTTGCCGAGCGAGGCTCATCGGAATCTCCCGCGGCGTCGATCGATCCATCGGTACTCGCCATCCCCCGATGATAATTCTCGGCGGCGACAGCGGCGGCCGATTATCCGCGTTCCGCGCTGATCCGAGTAGAAGCGAGCTGAAGTCACGGCGGCGGGGGCGAAGGGACGCTCAGCGGGGCGCGGGCGGAGAGGGGGGGGCACGCGTTCGAGAGAGCGTATCGTAGTACGATTTAGTGCGATTGACAGGGCACTCTCGTCGCACTCGATGCACCGGCGACCAATGCGGCACGCCGGCCGGCCGACGGCCTGTCGCCCGATTGGCCGGCGGCAGCGACGGCTCTACGTGCTCTCGTGCGATTTAATTTCCGGGCGAGGGGGTAGGGACGCGAGCGAGCGAGCGAGCGAGCAAGAGCAAGTGAGCGAGGGAGAAAGAGAGAGAGAGAGAGAGAGAGAGTCGTGACTCGCTCGGGAGAGCGTAGCGTCCACTGCCATCGGAGTGCGCGAGGAAACGGATAGTGGTGTAGCCTAGCTCTCTCGTGTGCGCTCGTCTACGATTGTCGTCCGAGGTGAGTAGGGAATCGCGAGCTGCGGAATCGCGCGTGGCGGACGCTGCGGTCGTGCGGAATCGCGCTGGCGAGTCGGAGAGGTCGAGGCACGACGAGGAGTCACCGAGACGTCTTCACGCGTCCGTTCGCGCAGGCCGTTCTCGCGAGTCGCCACCATTTTGCGATTGGCCGTCTCGCGCTGAGAACGCGACGCGACGCCCCGGACGCGATCCGCTTTTCCGCGCGGCGCACCCTCAACGGCGACGGGACCGCGCCGAGGGTGCCTCCTGCGAGCTTCCACGAACGCCGATCTTTCGCCTGACAGCGCGCGTTTTTTCGCCCTCTCTTTCTCTCTCTCTCTCGTCGACGCGGAGGCTACGCGAGTTCGTGCATTGCGCAACGCACAGCGTTCCTCGGCGCGCGACTCCTCCGCGCGAACAGCAACGGATCGCTCTCCCACCTCGCGGCTCGCGAGCCCCCACCACTGCAGCCGCCGTCGCCGCCCCCCCCCTACCACTGTCGTGCTGTTGTGTTGCTTTCCCACTATTTCGCCGACAGCTTTTCTCCGGTTCGCTCTGGTCCGCGGGAGAAGAGAAATAGAGTTGCATTTGTGTTATTGTTATTGATATTGTTATATTTAGAGTTGCGACCGCCGGTTGAGACGTTTCGACGAGTGACGAGTGAAGCTGATATCGCGGGAACCTGCGCGCGCGCGCACGCACGTTTGGCTGAATGTTTAATTGAATTGAATGTTGTCGTTTTTCAGATTAAGTCATGGCTCGTACTAAGCAGACAGCCCGTAAGTCCACGGGAGGAAAAGCTCCCCGTAAGCAGCTCGCGACGAAAGCAGCTCGCAAGAGCGCGCCGTCCACTGGTGGAGTCAAGAAGCCCCATCGTTACAGGTACGCGAGGAATGTTTGGTTACACGTTTGACAGACGCAAAGCAATGCCGGGCAAGTGCGCAAGCTTTTATGGGCTCCTCAGAGCACGTCATGGCTAGTTCAGTTTTGTAACGACATAACGTACTAGCCGTAAAGCACAGGTAGTTGCAGCAACTGTCTGTATGGGGAAGATGATAGAAAACAATGGTGGGAGGTTACTTGGTAGAATAAGGGTGAACTGATTTTGATAAAATTACTTACTGCTCTCCCACCGCAAGATTTGTGTAAGCTCTTGCACAATAAGATAAGCCACGGATGTAATAAACATGAAGAGACATTGGCCAGTACTCATAGTTGGATCTTATATTTAAGAGCGTCTTAAGTTTATCTTCAGATGCTATACAAATTATTTCATTGGCTATAGAGTATCTGAAGGTGAACTTAAGACAGTCTTAAATATAAAACCTGACTATGAATATCGGCCATTGTGTCTACGTCTCGGTTCCATAATACAATTTGATACTCAATATTATCTTGGTGATAGTCTTCTCACTCAGTTTTTGTTTTGTTGAAACAGGCCTGGTACGGTGGCTCTCCGAGAAATCAGAAGATACCAGAAGTCGACAGAGTTGCTGATCAGAAAGTTGCCCTTCCAACGGCTGGTGCGTGAGATCGCGCAGGATTTCAAGACCGACCTGCGCTTCCAGAGCGCCGCCATAGGCGCCCTGCAGGAAGCGTCCGAGGCGTACCTCGTCGGTCTCTTCGAGGACACCAACCTGTGCGCGATCCACGCCAAGCGTGTCACGATCATGCCCAAGGATATTCAGCTGGCCCGGCGAATCCGCGGCGAGCGTGCTTAAGAGATGCTATCTAACTCTCATACATACCGGTTACGATTATTATTATTATTAATTATTATTATTATTACTATTAATTATTGCCGTTGGCAATTGTCATGGATGAAGCACTTTCATTCCAAGCTCTACATATGTTTTTATCCATATAGAATTATACGAAATATGTAACGTGTATCGGCCGTTCCGTGTCGAATGGTACAACATGGATTAACGCGAGAGAAGCGATTTACTGTCTTGTCGGATCGCTCGTCGAGCGGAATGTATTCGATTCATCATTTTCGTTTCTTCTCTTCTTGTAACTCTCGAGTGTTTGATGTCGTTTCAGAATTGACTTTTTCGTTTTCATTAACCACTATCGTTCTGAATTCACCGTTTAATGTCATTCATTCGTAGTCGTAGGAAGATCAACGCCGACATGTTTCATAATTGTCTCCCGTGCGCGCGCACGTGCGCATTGTCAGGGGTTCGAAGGGGGTTCGTCCTTCGTGACGAAGTGCCGCGGGATGCGTCGTTAATTTGTCGAGACAAAGCATATGCGGCGACTCTCTCGCGAAGAAAAGCGGCGTTTCTTTTGTTTCACTATCTTCACTAGCCCCTTCCTTCCGCGCCCCTTGTCGTATCGTCATTAATATTAAGCATTAACGATTGTCCATTATTAGTACTCGTGGAAAAAGTGTGCATTAGAATAAGACTCTCATATAGTGACCCGATGTAGCGTGCTTAACGTACTATTTTCGATTGTACTCGAGTCCCAGGTATGTCGTTTTGGTCACATAAACATTGTGTAAAAATTTATGTAAAGATGATAAACGTTTCGTAAATAAATCTTCTAAATTCGCACAACTCACCTTTCATCATTTCTTCTTTTTTTTTCCATCCGGAAGTCCGTCCAGCAGTTCCTTCAGCTGCAACGGTCAAGTGTGATAAAGAGAGAGATACGCCATGTTTTTTTTTAAATTAATCAGATTTTATTGAATGTGAGCTCTTGACGTTTCTTATAATGATACAACATGATTACATCCAAAAAGATTTAATTTCAGAACAAGCGGAATCATCTAAATTTTAAAGGATTTTATTCTTATATGTGGCCTCAAGACTCTCAAGAGGATTCCTCTAAAATTAAGAGGAAAAAATTATAAGCATTATTCTTAAAGATAGAGAGATTATATGTTACATGTATAATGCAAATCTTGTTGATTTTAATATAAATTTCCTCTTATATATACAAATTATTTAATCTTTTTTTAAGAGGATTATTTATTCTTACTGTACTTTATTCTTACCGATTATACTAGTTAATTTGAAAAAATTGTTATAATGTATAGCGAAAAGTAATCTATATCTATATCTATATATATTACTATATATATATATATATATCCAATTCTATAATAAATAGGCACGAACGAAATAAAATTATCATAACAAATAAATTTCCAATCAGTTTTGTTATGGACTCCATAGCTACAAAAATGTTCATCATAACCATAATAATGTTCAAAATAAAAAAATTGTATGAAACATAATTAAAAGATAGAATATATTATTCAACTTCTTGCAATAAATTATAAATTATATTTGACCAAATATATGGATAAATTATCTTCGTTATATGTCACAGCACACACATACCTTTTTTAAAAAGCATTCCAAATATTCTGACTCATGAGTATATCGTAATTTTTGGTTCATGTCTGGAGGTAGAGCAAAGACTAACTAGAAGAAGCCGACATTTAAATCAACATATTCCTCTTCATATAAGAGGAAAATTAATTGATATAAGAGGAAATCTTGAAATAAAAGGAAAATAATTAGAATAATATTTAATAAATTTTAGATGAATGGTTTAATCGCAATCATCGAAAGAGGAACCTGTTCCTATAAAAGGCTTCGCTTAAAATATGAGACTATGAAAAAATCATTTTAAATTTTTATTTTTTTTTATTTTATTATAACATTTTACAGTTTAAGAATGGTATCTTTTTTGCACATGTGGTTTAAGAGAAATAAACTTGTAAACAATGTCAGTGCAACATTACGTTCTTCTCTCGCTAGTTTAGATTTCGATGCCTCTAATTATACAGTGCGTGCAGTTATTGAAATTACAATCCAATTGCAGCAGCGCCGAGAGTGATCGCACCGCCTCAATTAGTCAATTTTACTCGTACGAAACATTAAAAAAAAGAAAAGAGAAAATAAAAAGACTATGTATGTATAAATGTTTGTGAAGCGCTAAAAGTACACATTTTTACAAAATATACGAAGTAGTTGTTGGACAACAATAAATACAATTACCAATTACACTAAATTTACCCGTCAAAAATCAGAGTTCATGAATTATTTATTTCGTTTGCGTAATTATATTTACAAATGTCACAATCCCATCTCTAAAAAAATAATTTGATACTCGAGTCCCAGATATGTCGTTTTGGTCACATAAACATTGTGTAAAAATGTATGTAAAGATGGTAAACGTTTCGTAAATAAGTTTTCTAAATTCGCACAACTCACCTTTCGTCGTTTCTTCTTTTTCTTCTTTCATCCGGAAGTTGTCCAGCAACCTTCAGCTGCGACGGTCGAGTGTGATAAAGAGAAGAGATACGCCATGTTTTTTTTTAAATTAATCAGATTTTATTGAATGAGCTTTCGACGTTTCTTATAATGATACAACGTGATTATAACTTCCATTTATAACAATTTTGCCGTTTAACAATGGTATCTTTTTTGCACATGTAGTTTAAGAGAAATAAACTTGTAAACAATGTAAGTCGGCGCGACATTACGCTCTCTCGCTAGTTCGGATTTCGATGCCTCTAATTACACAGTGCGTGTAGTTATTGGAATTACAATCCAATTGCAGCAGCGCCGAGAGTGATCGCATCGCCTCAATTAGTAAATTTTACTCGTACGAAACATTAAAAAAAAGAAAAGAGAAAATAAAAAGACTATGTATGTATAAACATGTTTGTGAAGCGCTAAAAGTACATATTTTTACAAAGGTATACACACTAGTTATCGGACGATAATAAATACCATTACAAATTACACTAAATCTACCCGTTAAAAATCAGAGTTCATAAATTATTTATTTCGTTTGCGTAATTATACCTATAAATGTCACAAATATTCCATCTCTAAATAAATAATTTGATACTCCGTTACCGCAATTGTTCATGCGTGATACACATGGGGAGAGCTCGAGGCAATAACGTAGCAAAAGCCGCATGTCACGACAAATGATCGAGCAAATTACTAAAGGCAAATTACAAGGAAGTTGCAAGCAAAAGTCGTTATTCCGTTTCGCAGAGCGTTCTTGCTTATTCCCTAGTTGGCGACTTAACACTACTGAGGCCGTGATTGATTCGACAAAAACCGAGGTATGAACCAAACTTGTCATGCGATCTAACGAGTTATCGCCTCCAACTCATCACCAGCACGCGAATATTTACAAAATTCTACCCAAACGCTTTCCAGACAGTTGTCGTAGAGCGGCATGAGGGGGGGGGAGGGGGAACTATAAAAAGGTGCGATATATAATCGATGCAGCGTTAGAGTGCAGAGGAGAAAAATATCTACTTTGCTCACGCCTATATGTACACACACACACACACATATATATATACACATACATTTATGTATATATGTATGCGTGTACAGGGTGTCCCATTTTAAATAAGCCAGGGAAAAATGTGAAAGATACCAAGAAACGTTTCAGACAAGAGTTGTATGATTTCAAAGGGGACATGAAACGACTATATCATTTTGTTTACAGATGGCGCCACTTTCGAGATATTCACTGATCATTATTTTTTTCAATGAAAATTCAAATTTTTTTACCATACCACCTTTTTCCACTAATTAATTTCAACAACTTTTGTCTGAGACATTTTTTCATTTGCCTAATATCTTTTGAGATATTCAACTTGATAACTTTTTCAATATTTAGCTTATGATATCTCGCTGTTTGTTGAAAGAAAAAGTACTAAAGACATTATTATTCTATTTGTTCTGAAGAATATAATGTTACAATAGTCCCTTGACTTTCATTAACTTGATGACCTTTGGAAATTTCAAAATCATCAAGTTAACAAAAATCAGGGCGCTACTGTAACAATATATTTTCAAGGCTAAATAGAATAAAAAAGTCTAGTACCACTTTTTCCTCCGACAAATAGTTAGCGAGTATCGTAAGTTAAATATTGAGAAAGCTATCAAGTTTTCCTTAAAAGATATTAGGCGAATAAAAAAAAATGTTTCGGATAAAAGTTGTTCAAATTAATTGCTAGAAAAAGATGATGTGATAAAAAATTTGGATTCCCATCTAAGAAAAGTAATGATTAGTGAATATTTCGAAAATGACATTTGCAAACAAAATAATATAGTTGTTTTATCTCTCTCTTCCTACCTTACCTCTTTGAAACCATACAACTTTTGTCTGAAACATTTCTTGGTATTTTTCATATTTTTCGGGATTTTTGCCTGGCTCATTTAAAATGAGACACCCTGTATATACATATATATGCGCATATACATATATAACCGTGTATGTGTGTGTGTGTGTATTTATACATATACATACATACGGTGTGTATATATATATATATATGTACATATGTATACATAAATAATGAGTACTTTGTTACTTTTTATCTGTTATTTACATGAAAATTAATTAATTGTCAATTTTTTTTTCTCTTAACGGTTATACATTTTTGCGTGACGATGATACAGGTTTATCCGTAGTAATGTGAATGCAGATAGGCATTCGTCCCGCGAGTGGTACAATTTCAACGGGGAGCGGTTTACAATTCCGCCGAGCTCAAATCTCAGAAACAATGCCGGGGAAACGATGTTCGTGTTTGATCGCGGTGGAACGTCGGAGGAAGAGAGACGTGTCATTGACGGGGCGTGAGAAAAACCGATTTGGCGAGTCGAAAACTTGACTCACTGAGAAATTGTAACCACAGTTCCGATCTCGGTATAATTAAATCTTTGTAATTAATTTCTAGCGGCGAGGGCTTACACATGTAGACTTCTATATAATAAAATACGCTCTCTTATTCGCATTACAACGGAAGATAAAGGCGAACGCAAATGACGGTATTATATTGCCAAAAATTACAGCCAAGAAAGAAGATTACATGCCTAGCATGATCGGCGCTTTCTTTGTCCTGTGTAAATTCCATCGGACTAACTTAAATCGAGAAATCACCATCGGACGAACTAATCCAACTAATGGTTACATCGATATCATACAACGTGATGTGCGCGAACATACGATCGCTGCGTTACATTACCTCCTCGTTTATAATCGAATGTGGTTGTTGTTTCCTGAGGCTGGGCTTCTGACTTGTCGCCTAGCCCTAATTGAACAGACGCAATAATCCTTTGTTATCGCTTATTCAGTTGGTTGCAAGAGGATCAATGGGCCGGCAGAAAGACGAACCCGACTTATCTCTAACATTAGTGAACATTCAGCAACACCAATCATACGTGAATTCGTTAAAGACGCATCGTTCATGTAAGCTTCTCGAGAACGGCGTTTCTTTATTATCGTTATGTGTATGAGATGACAATGTGCGATACTACAGGGTATCCCATTTTAAATAAGCCAGGCAAAAATTTTAAAAAATATCAAAGATACTAAGACAAAAGTTGTATGGTTTCAAGGGGGATATAAAACAAAATTATATCATTTTGTTTACAGATGGCACCGCTTTTGAGATATTTACTGATCATTACTTTTCTTAAACGGGAACCCCAATTTTTATGTCTTTGTTTACCAATTAATCTGAACAATTTTTTATTTGCCTAATATTTTTTGAGATATTTAAAACTTGGTAACCTTTTTTTACTAATATTTATTTTACGCTATTATCTCGCTAACTATTTATCCAAAGAAAAAATAAACTTTTTTATTCTGTTTAGTCTCAAGAATATATTGTTACAACAGCGCTAAAAAAAAGACCAAATAGAGTAAAAGAAGTCTGGTATTACTTTTTCTTCTGACAAATAGATAACGAGAGACCGTAAGCTAAATATTGAAAAGGTTACCGAGTTGAATTAAGTCTCAAAAAACAATAGACAAATAAAAAAATGTTTCAAACAAAAGTTGTCCAAATTAATTGGTAGAAAAAGATGACATAATAAAAAACATCGGGGTTTCCGTTTAAGAAAAATAATAATCAGTGAATATCTCGAAAGTGGCGCCGCTATCTGGAAACAAAATGATACAATTGTTTTATGTTCATAACCATCACAACTTTTGTCTAAAACGTTTCTCGGTATCTTTCCATATTTTTCCAGATTTTTGCCTGGCTCATTTAAAATGAGACACCCTGTACATGTCTATTTGTACATCAGATTGTGCGTATGAGGACGTGTGATGATGAGAAAAGTCACTTCATGCAAAGAACATCTACGAGATGGCATATGAGCTTTGCGCTTTGTTATGATACTAATGATCTCTTTTGCATTCTCTCTTCTCCTCATAGATTGAGCCACGAATAATTTCTCGCTCCAACTAACATACGGCAGCGGGTCGAACGTCCTTTACAATCTATACTCTTAACTACATAACTTGGAAGCTATCTAGATATCACATAACATCGTATAGTACTCTTATCGTTGAATTGGAAGCAGCTCTTCGATGCAATTGCACATTGCCGTGATGCTCGATTGCTTCTGTACATTATTTACACACGTGCGCTTATCGATAATTTAAATGTAACTTATCAATATTGTTTCGTCACAAATGCAAAATGCCTCTTGTACCCGAGCGAATCGTTACACACGCGCGGAATTCAGGTGTGTAGTTCTCATAGTACGCCGGTGATTAGTGGCTCAACCCATTACTTGCGAAACAGTTTTGAGTCATGTGCATGAAAAAACGTTGATAACGATTAGTCATTGTGGAACACTATTTTTGCAACACAAATCCGGATTCGAGAGACCTCATGCTACTCATGCACAAATGTACGCAAAAATTTTTTAAAGTTGCTTCACGTCTAAATTTGTACGAGTGCAGAATACGTGCTCGAGAAAATGTGCCTGCATCAAGAAGACTCAAGAAAGTAATTCTTTTCCAACAAGAGATCGCATATTTGTCTTGGGACATACTCGAGCATGTTTAGGGAATGTTAAAAAAAGTACTGAAGGAGATGAAGAAACTAAATTGGCGCATTGTCTGTCTTCCGTGCAGATTTACGCAACTAATCCATCATTATTCTACACCTAATTCGGAAACGATCTAAAATGCACACAAATACACGAGCTACATATCTATGAAACGACAATTACTCCTGATGGTATCACTGAGCAAATAAGAACAAGTACGACGTAACTGATAAATTTCAATGTGCAACTTTTATTAAGATAAATCAAAAGCGCTGTTGCCTTCTGTTCTAACAAGTTAGCTCAATTGTAAGGAAACGATTTACTTCCACTGAACGTTTGTGAGTGTCTGAAGATCAGTGTTACATAACATTGTGTAAAATGAAAAGCCTTAAATGTAAACAAACATGAGGTTTCTGCTGGCAGTAATGGCGACAAGCATCATTAATGGAAACATAACCGAGACATGTATTACACTAGCAATAAGTACAATTAAAGGTCTGCTCCTTCTTGAAGGACTTTTCAACTAATGCGATAGGTTGGAGTGAAACAGATACCCTTTCTCTCATTCCAACTTATCGCACACTAATGCTGCTTCAAAAGTTCTTCGAAGAAGAGAGAACAGACCTCGAGTATCTCATATATCATCCACCATCTTGTACAGTTTTGTCCGGGATTTCTCCACCAGGAAACACGTTTTTACAATTGATTGCGAGTAACTGCTTGAAGAAGAGGGGAAAAAAAAAAGAAAAAAAAAAAGAAGAAGAAAAGGGAAAAATAAAGTTGCGCGCCGCAAGATACAGAGATACATGACATTTAATTCTGGCGCACACGCACATACATACACGCACGCGCACATATATATGTGTATATATGTATCGTCTATATTGTGTGCGCTTGTAAGCATACACAATGCATGATGGAACGGACACAACATCACGTTTAAAGTATGATTGCTGTATTACCTGTAGAGATCACGGACCGCTTGATCTTCTCGAAAAGCATTTCGACATGTGTTCAGCTTATTTTCCAGCGCCTGCAAGAGGAAGAACAGTCGTGATTAAAAATATGTCTATTACAGCACCTTGGAAAGGAAAGAGCCAACGCGCTTTTTGGTCCTCGTAGTCACGGGCATGTTTGAATTTGGAAGCATCAGCAATTTCTGAAGATGTGAGGACTGAAAGACGTGCGAGGAAACATGCGTTGGTCCTGCTCCTTTTAAGGTGCAGAATTATATTGCGCGCGAAGTGATCCAATGACGAGCAGAACGCTGTGCTGGAGGCTGTTAGAGCGTTCGGTTGATGCTTCGATAGCAAAGCGCAAGATTGTGTCCAATTGTTGCCAATAGATAGATATGCGGATGGAACAAAATTTCGGCGTGATGAGTGCGCAGGTGACTAAAAGCGGATGCGTGCGCTGCGAGAACTGAGAGAACCAAATAAAGACCTGCTTCCTAGGGGGTTGTGCAAAATAATTTAACGGCGAGAGGTCATGACGAAGATCGGCACGTGGTCGGCCTAGGTTGCTGCCTTATACACTGAACAGATGTGTGTGTCTGGACCGTCGGTAAATCGTTAGACGGCGTGGCATTCGATTTTTGTCCGCTCGGACAAGCGCATTTTATTCTTCTACAGCCTACGCAGACCCATCTGTCAAGCTACCAAAACATCAACCGCATGATACTAACTACCAACGTCAGAATAAAAATCGCTTGTACAGGGTAGGCCATTTTATTCAATACACGTGAACGTCCTGAAAAAGACAAGTTTTTCAAAAAAACGTTTCAAACGAAAGTCTCATGGCTTTGAGGGGGAAAGATAATGATATTGTCAATTTAATTGCAGATGGCGCCATTTTTAGAGATTTCATCGTGGTGGAGGACATCTTTATAAATAAAAGTCGATTTTCTTCTCGAAATAAAAGTTGCTGAGTGGAACGAGTTCAACGGTTTTCTGTTTCTTGAAATTGGATCATTCTTCAATGAATTACAGCGTTCCAAAGTTTATCATTTAAGTAGAAAGCTTTCACCTCCATATAGTGTAGGTATGAGTTTTGTGACTCCAAACCACCTTCGTAAAATAATGCATAAAGGGTAATACCTCTCCGATTTCTTTCATCTTGAAATATCTCACAAAGAATGAAATTCTGAGTAATTTTCCTTAATACAATTATATGAGGGTCACTTATAGTTCTCGAGATATATGACTTTAAGGTTATAAAATTGTATGTTGAATGCAATTATTTGTAGAAATTTATCGCACTACAAATGTGAAATAATCTTGTCCTAAATATTTACGATTTACACTAGCACAAATCTTTCACTTTACTAAATTGATGAGTCTACTGTATAGCTAAAAATGGAAATTTTACACAGATTGGAAAAGACTTCTGCAAAGTTAGCTAAAGTAATTGTAGGAGTCTTTGCTAATTTTCGTAAAATTTTCATTTTTAATATAGGTAGAATTAAGTTAGGTTTTTTTGCAAATAATTTCTATCACTCCTATAATGGATACAGGGTATCCAATTTTAATCTATTACCCCTCGTAACTTTGCAGGAAGCGGTCGTAGAGAAAAATGTTTCAGACAAAAGTTGTAAAATTAATTGGTAGAAAAAGATGATATAACAAAAAATTGGGATTTTCATTCAAGTAAAATAATTAGTGATTATCTCGAAACTGGCGCCATCTGTAAACAAAATGATATAGTTGTTTTATGTAAATCATATAACTTTTGTCTGAAACATTTTTCTCTACGACTGCTCCCTGTAAAGTTACGAGGGGTGATAGATTAAAATTGGACACCCTGTATATTCAATTTCAACAAAATTGATGAGTAATCATTTATACATATTTACCTTTTAAAACTTCAAAGTCATATATATTGAATACTATAAGTGATGAAAACATATAATTGTATTACGAAAAGTTACTCAGAACTTTTTGATTCTTTATAACATATTCCAAGATGAAAAAATCGGAGGTGTTATCTTTTATGTATATTTATCCCGCCCTCTACTCCCTTTCTGTGTGTGCGTATGCTATCAAACAAAATCAACTCAGATAACGGATAAGAACAACAACGAAAAACGTTGTACTCGTTCCATTGTCAGCTACAATTTTTATTTTGAAAAAATCGACTTCCATTAAAAAAAATGGCCGCCATAATGAAATCTCTAAAGTGGCGCCATCTACGATAAAATTAATAATATCTTTCTCCCTCGGAGCCACCAAACTTTTGTCTGAAACATTTTTTTTTTAAAAACTTGTCCCTTCCGAGACATTCGCGTATATTAAATAAAATGGTCTACCCTGTATAAAGTAATTCTAGATATTTGCAGTGTTGTCGTATATTGTACGACACGCGTAGAGTTACATTCTTCAGCTTATTTAATATAGTGCCCCTAAATGAACAGGTTCATGGGCGATGTTTGGCCGCAAATACAGTCAAAGATGTCGTACAGAGAAACAACTCGAACAGGGGAATTTACGTCGATGCACGTAGTGCGTCTGATAGCTCGGTGCTATCAGACGCACGTACATGTATCAGCAGCTATGTAACTTTCCGCTGTGTACGAAAATAGGGGGAGACACACAAGCCATGCCTGAAGCTTACAAGATTACGGGTGTGTAACGGAAGAGAATGGTTTCGCTGCTATGCTTACCCCTACTTTCCGCATTAGGTCACCGATCATGTTCATTGCCAGTATTCTGGTGCAGGGTGGCAATGGTTGGCTCATATTGTTATTGTTGTTTCCGATTACACCCCCTACCATCCCGTGTCCAACTAGGATAAAAGAAGAATCGGTGTGATGCATCAATAATATCACTCGTGAGTGGATAAGATTACTCGATAAATGATGTAAATTCAATAACTGTATTGTCAGACTCAGTTTTAATATTGCGTGAAAAATTGCTCAAAGCGACGAGGTGAAAAGAAACTGTTAGCGAAATGATTTCACGATAATATTGCAAGCAATTCCTCGCTTCCTTTTCGTCTTGATGCATCCCAATTGGGTCTTAAACAACCCAATCGTCTGTGTGCGTGGCGGTCTTTCTTTCAACCACTTTGAACAATTTTCACCCCGTCCGCAATTTGTTGGCCGTTTTTCTCGAATCCGAAATAAAAGAATGCGCTTCGCTTCAGGGAAAGTATCTTACTTTTCAGCGGCGAAGTTGTATTACTCGGAGGTATGGTTTGCGGGGCTATTTGGCCAGCAGGTGAATTCGACTCCAATTCGGCCTGCAGCTTATTGCTGTCGACGATGCTGCGAACTCTGTCAGAAGGCTTGTTATTATCCGCATGATGCCTCTCGTGCACTTGTATCTCCTGTTTTAGATCTGAAACATTGCGAGGTAATGGCTATCGTACTCACGAGATACACGTTGTGCGTCGAGTAAGAGTCTCACCAACCTCTGACTTCGTCCATTAGTCTTTGCACTATAACTTTCAGGCCTTCCTTCTCGTCGAGTTCCGACTCAAGCAAGGCATTTTTTTCTATAGCTAAATTAAACTTAGCTTCTATTTCCTCTTCTGTGACTCTATTTATTCTGCAATACATACATACATACATAATGCATGTGCACGCAAATTATGGCAGCCAATATAAGTCTTTACAGTCCTGCGGGAACTATGCGATCAAATCGTTTTAGTTTCATGCTTTATAACTCCCAAGGGTCTTTAAATCTACGTTAATATTGACCCCCACATTCGTCTCTTCCGCAGAAAAAACAGAGGGCCTTAAAAACTTCAAACGAGTATCCATATGAAATCAATTATTTCCACGTTAAAAAACAAACTACTTTTTGTATGAAATTTTTCTTCTTCAAAGAATTTGAATTTTCGACTTGTTCAAGAATTTGTTGGATCAAACACTCGTCGTAGGTTCTTATTAATTCGTTTAACATATTTTGTTGTGTTTAAAAATAAATTCATGAATATGAGGTCTGATACAAAATTTAGTTTACAGCTAGCGTTTATGATAATAACGTTTTCGAAACCTGTTTTGATGAAGACATGAATATATATTGTTAATTTTGAATGAGGGTAAAAAAAATGATCGATGTGCATCACTAACGACTTCCGGACGTTGACATTAAAAAATCGCCTTTTTTAATTTAGGAAATCGAGTATGGTGAATCGCGTGAGAAAATTTGTCAAAAAGTAAATTCAATAAAAGACAATAATACTGTGAACTAACAAAACTTTAGATATTAGTTCTTAGTCATTCTTCGATTTAACGAGTTTTTTGAAATATCAAATATATAATTGCATCATGTAATATTTTATCAATGGATGTATGTTGCCACAGGAAATAATTAATTTTTGTCTAAAATTCGCTTCCTTGACGAAGCTATATTTACAAACACTGGGCAAGTAAATGGTTACATTATATTTTTTATTACTGACTATTGGAAGATCCATATTGGATATGATTTATATCTTTCCACTAGTGTCGACAGTCATTGAACATTTATTGTTGAATCATTGCTGGTTTTGTGATTGAATTGTATTGTTTTTAAGGAATTGTCTATAAAAAAGCATATTGCAACTAATTATTAGGGTAATTCTCAATAAATTAAAAAATGAATTGCATCCTGATGTACAATGCTGGTGAAAGATGCGTTGTACAAGAGAGATGTGAACAAGACAAAGTTCTACTGTATTATATAACAATAAAACTTATATTATTAAATGAAAAATGTGAAAATAAATGGACATGTAAAAACAAAGTAACATATGAGCATTTAATAAATTGAATTATACGTTATCTTGCGTTTTACTTTTATCTTCGAATAAATCTGACTTGTAATCAAATTATTCGCCAGCTCAAATGTTAAATGTTTGCAATTTTCAAAATGATCTGAAGAGAAAAATGCTCCACAAAAAATTTGTTTTCTAACGTAGATTATAGACAAAATTAATCTTATATAGATACTCGTTTGAAATTTTGAAGTTTCTCCTGTTTTACTCCCAAGAGAGGACAAATGGAGACCAGACTTAACATAAATTTAAAGACCTTTAGGACCTGCAAAGTATAAAACTAAAACGGTTAAAATTGATTGCATAATCCTCGGGATATTAAGCTATAAAAATTTACAGAGGCCATCTTATATTTATATATACAGGGTGTCCGGATTTTTTGGAAAGGAAAAATTGTGAAGACTAATCAGATCAAATTGAGAAGAAAAGTCACGTACCATTTTGCAAAAGTTACAATACTAATTAAGATATTAATGGTTGAAAATTATCACATCTTTTAATTGATAACTTGAAAATTTACGTACTTATTTACAAAAAAACTTTTTTCTTCAGAATGACCTAATTTACAATTATATGATGCTTATTGAGCCTAGCAACAGATTCAAGGTTCAAAGTTCAATATACTCATATCTATCGTTAGACATAATAGCTGTCATATAATTGTTAGGTCATTCTGAACAAAAGTCCTTTACCATTTTGCAAATAAGCAATTTTACGTAAATTTTCAAGTTATCGATTAAAAGAGTTTCTTGGTCATTTCCAATCATTAATAATTATTGTGATTTTACAAAAATGGTACATAACTTTTCTTCTCAATTTGATCTGATTGATCTTCACAATTTTTCATTTCCAAAAGATTCCGGGCATTCTGTATACACAATAAAATAAAACATATGTGTACGTGTATCACCGCTTATATTATTTATTGCATTAAAAAAGTGCCATAATGAAAGCTTTACCAACAAAGCACTTTTTTTTGCTAAGTTTGCATCGTACTGATTATACAGAAGCTTTTACACAGTGAAAGCAGAAAACAATAGAGAAGCAACATTGTTCAATATGTAACAAAAATAAAAAAAGTTTTGAAATTGACATATTGAGCTGTTAATTAAGGTATTTGCCTAATATAAAGTTCTGTAGTTTGTATGTATCAAACGCCTGTTAGTTCCACTAAATAAAATTTTGAAGAACATTACTGTACATTTACAACTGAATTTACAAGTTTAGAAATATACGAGATGTTTGCGGCAAGATTTTTGTGTGTGCACGGTTATGTTCTCCATTAAAATATGGTAAAATAGAACAGCATGTATTTATGTAGGATATATATGTGTACGATACAGAAAGAGTAGCATGATTGTATTAGTGCTTATCTGAGATGGCTTTGATGATCGTCTGCATTATCAATATTTTTGGAATTTAACACCCACTTAGATATCCATTCCTTAACTATTGATTGCCAACAATTATCAATTTGAAAATCAGAGATATTAAATACCTGTGTGCTCTTTCCAAGTCGTCATTTTTTTGTTCAAGTTCTCTAATGTACTTTAGTAAATGTTCGTGTTGTAACTGTAGATCTTGCGCCTTCCCTTGAAACATAGCGCAATCTGTAGACTGCTGATCCAATCGTGTCCTCAACTGCTCAATCTCTGTAGCTAGTCTCGTGTTTCTCTGTCTCAGTTCTCTGTTTGTCTTTTCCGCTTGCTCCAACGAAGTCTCCAGTTCTTTCTCCAACATCTGTGAATTTTCCTGGAACTCTTCTAGCTCGTGCTCCACATCATCTTTCCTACAGCAACAGCACGAGGGAGATTACAGTTTTCTTGTCCTCAATATATAACAGTCTGTTCTTCTTCGAGCAACTTCTTCAACTGGTGCACATTGGTGTGGCGAGTTGTCAGACAGTGAAAGAAAGCATGTCTCACTCCAACTTACCACAGGAAGCCATTCGAAGGAGAACAAACCTTAGATACTGCTTGTGTTTCACACAAGCGCAGTTTGACACACGACTAACCTCTGATGCAACTGGTGAGCCAGATCCATCCAATACTGAATCTCGTCATCCTTCGACAGAAATTCCGGCGGATCTACGTCCATCATTGCACTCGTGGACTGTTACAGAAATATATGCAATCTTGCTAATTTTCGATCTTCCTTCCAAAGGGGTGAGTTACGAAAAAAAAGTCCCAATCCCCGTCTCTCACGTGTTGCGCACTGCAGTCCTGCAAAAGACAAACGTGACGGAGTCTGGCGAGGTAGCAAGGTACAAGTCGGGGCGTACACAAAAAGGCACAGACGCTTCGTCGTGGGTGATCCGAGGTATTTCCAACACTATGACGTATCTCGCGGCATAGAACGTTACTCTCGAGCACGTGAGGGACATTCATATCTCACTGTATACCTCATCCGTAATGAGAGCGTCGCAAGCGGACAGAAGGGAATCTCGTCGTCGCAGGTACGAAGCGCGCTTGCCGTGAACGTGCTTCCGACACGACCCGGACAGATGTCGACCTTGAGGCGAGCGTCGCTTGCTGCCGAGGCGAACGTAGTCTCTCTCTCTGTCGCGCGCGCGTAATGCAAATGTCATTACCGTCTTATTATGAGTCACACTGGCTGGCGAGGCGACGAGGAGGCGAGTGCGGCAAGTGCGCAACAAATCGCCGTGGCTGGCGGCGGTGGGTGTAGATGCAGGTAGGCTTCCGCGAGATGAGCAGGATCGCAGAGTCCCCGACAGAGCACTCGCGGCGGGCAGGATTTTGTCGTCGCTGCCAGGAATCACAGCCGATCATGCGAATCGGCGGCCACTCGCGGATTTTCACGGCTGTGTCGATCGTGCAAAATGGTGGCTGAAGGCGGCGAGTTCGGAAGAGGGAGCGAGGCTACACGACGACATACCACGACTGCGAGCACCTCGCGAGAGCAGCAGCTGGAAGGCGCACGGACGAGACGTGCGCACGAGACGACTTGACGGCGACGCGGCGATAAGCGTCGCGTCGTTGAGCGTTTCCGAAAATCTGCGCGGCCCGTCGCGCGAAATTGCGACTTGCGACTTACGACGCGCAGCAGAGCGGCTTTTGTTTCACTCACGCAGTCGGCCGCGGACTTTCCGGCGAGTGTTGTTCTCGCGGGAGGAGGAACGTGACGTCGGGAGTGAAAATATGAGCGGGCTGTTGAGGAACGTCGAAGCATTCAAGTTAGTTTCGTTAAAAACGTCTGTCCGTCAGTGACGTGATTCAACAGGTTCGATCGAGGAGATATCTATCATCTTGAGGTGGATACGAGCGCAAGATTGGAGCCGCTATTCGGTCGTGCTGTTGGAAGATGAAGGATCCGTCTACCTGCCGTTGAGTTGTATTCTCTCAGAGGAGAACGGGTCTGTCCTTCATGTTGAAATGCATACATGGAATAAACGCTGCATTTGCAGCTAAAAGTTGGCGGTTTGAGGGTTTACAGGAGCCAAGAGAGTCGAATCAAGATTCGACTCTGGCGGCCTCGTGCAGCGGGAATGCAAACTACAGCTCCCTACATGGCGGTGGTTCTCAACCTTTTGCGTTTCACGTATCCCCTGGAAATGTGTATGTAAGGGTCGGTTGTTCCAACTTGGTAAGTTAACTGGTAGTTAAATTATATATTTGTCTTTGTCTTTCCTTCAACTTGGACAAAGACAGACATATGATTTAATTGTCAGTTAACTTACCAAGGAATTGGAACAACCTGCTCTAACTGGTGCACCTTTTGTGTAGATAGATTAAAATACTATAGTTGTGGTGGTATAATAATACTACAATACAATAGGTAATTATGCAGTATAGAGGATGCATCTTCAATGACTTTGATTTTGACATATGTTGTCAAGATCATCACCTTGAGTAATGTGCAAAAGGTTTCAAGCAGTGCTCGTTTGTTAAAAAGTTATCAAAAATGAAGTTCAACAAAATGAACGTAATTTGTATTCACTGTTTGTAATAAACAATGACTGCCAATTTAAATTTTTTGAATGGTATTCAGAACCATCAAAGCAAATTATCAATACATTTGTTTTTATATACATAAGTTTTGGTACTTTTTTCACTTTCTAAATTGATGAATTTACCATATATAAAAATTATAGATTCTGAAATGATTAGTAAAGACTCCTACACAAGGTTTGGCAATTAAATCTTTCACCTTATTAAATTAATGAGTCTATGATATATTAAAATAACAGATTCTGAAAAGAATAGCAAAGACCCCTACGCAAGGTTTGCAATTTAAGTAATTTATTTGTGCCAAACTTTGTGTAGAAGTCTTTGCTAATCTTCTCAAAATCAATCGCTAGATACAATAGCCATATAAATATAATATACACAATATACAATCCATATAATGTAGATTAGGTCATTCTGAACAAAAAAGTCCTTTTCTGTTTTGCAAACAACTATGCAGATTTTTAAGTTATCAATTAAAAGAACCTTTATATAAATGTGGTCATTTTCAATCATTAATAACTTAGTAACTATTGCGGTTTTTGCAAAATGGTACATGACTTTTCTTCTCAGTTTGATTTGATTAATCTTCACAAATTTTCTTCTTCAAAAGATCCCAGGCACTCTGTATAATTAAAGATAAAATTAAATATATAATTATATATAAGGTGAGGCATCTAAAACAGGCCACCTGGATAACTTTGAAAATATGCAAGATAGAAAAAAATTGTTAAATACACAAGTTTTAGAGTTCTAAGTGACGCATCATGCAGGAATACCAGTATGACCTTGAACGTCATCAAAGTTACGGAAAGAATACTTTGAATTTTTTTGAATCGAAACCTCCATTTTTTATCACATCATCTTTCTCTACCAATTAATTTGAACGATTTTTGTTTGAAACATTTTTTATTTGCTTAATATTTTTCGAGATTCTTGCTAACCTCAATATTTAGCGATATCTCGGTAACTATTTGTCGGAAGTGGAAGCTATATTAGACTCTTTTAACTCTATTTGGCCTCAAAAATATGCTGTTACCCTAAATAGTGCCCTAACTTTTGTTAACTTGACTAAAATCTCCAAAGGTCAACAAATATTGTACCGCCAAGGCACAAGTGTACCCCCAAAATTTTACCGCGTACCCCACGTTGAGAACCGTTGCTATATGGCAGAGCTGGACACGATCTGCACATTTCGGGCGAAATTCAGTAAGTGACGCCTACCGTCCCCCTCGCACCGCTCCGCGCTTAGCGGCCTGGGTGACGATCGCGGTACATTCAGGCCCGTCGCTGTATAAGAAATCAGCTGAGGCGTCATATTATCATTAAAATTGTTTCCTCGTGTTTAATAATCACGTTAAAATATATATATTTATGCGTTATATATGTATGTATGTATGCGTGTATATATATATATATATATATATATATGTATGTATTAAACATGTAAGCATATATATTTTAACGAGGATTTTAATTATTAAACGAGGAAACAATTTTAATGATAATGTGACGCCTCAGCTGATTTCTTATATAGCGACGGGCCTGAGTGTACCGCGATCGTCACCCCGGCCGCTAAGCGGCCCCGGCGCGGAGCGGTGCGAGGGGGACGGTAGGCGTCACCTACTGAATTTCGCCCGAAATGTGCAGATCGTGGCCAGCTCTGCTATTGGTGTATGTGCGTTACACGCTGCACTAAGGCCCGGTCTACAACGGTTATTTTTTGAAATTCACTGAAAATATTCTGACAGAGCTGCTGATGAAATCAGCGTATTTCCGTCGCTCCGAAATTATCAGTAAATTGTTGCAACAATGAACATTGGAATGCATTTGCAATATCACGCAGTATTACAGACAATGTGGCAATGTAACATCAGCGACGATCATGAAGAAGAGCAATCTAACTTATTTAAAAAAAGAGGGTATGTAAAAGCGATATTAAAATAATGGAAAAGTCAATCACAATTGTAATTGGTACGCAAAATATTGAACATTTTATTGAAAACTACAATCAGAAAAAAAATATTAAAAAGATGTTTTTAAAAATATTAAAAAAACATATTTAAATGTTAAATATTTGTTCTCAATCATTATTTTAAATAAAGAATTAATGTAAAATAAACGTTAAATCTTTTTGTACAATGAATGGAAGAAATGTAAAAAAAATATAAAATAAATATTTGAAAAATGTTAAAAAGATATTGTCTGCTGATTGGGTATTGCCAAAATTTATCTTCAAATGATGGAGATATTTTAAATATTGTTAGATTAATGGCAGAACAAGAAAGAGGAGCAGGAGGGTCGGTAAAAAATTATGTTGACAATGTCGTAACTTTCCTTCTAGATGGAGGATTTAAAGAATACCCTAGTTAAATTAATAATTAAGGTAATTAATGGTTCAAGCCATAGATTTCATCATTATATAATTAAAAAAGAAATGGATGTCCTTTTTTTGTGCAGAATGTCGAGAGAAATAAGTTTGATTTTCTATTAAAAATCGTAAGACCAAAGAATTAGAAGAGAAAGAATGTAAAAAAATGTAGAAAAACAGTAATCGTAACTATTATTCTCTTACAGGCTGAAAACAATTTGGAAAAATACGAAAGCAGTACGGCTAGTCTGATATGGGTTTAAGGTTTTCGTTTCCTCATCGCGGCCATCTTGGATGATGACATCAGAAGCGAAGAAATTCACGTTAAAAATTCCTATGGACTACGTCAAGATAAAAAGACATTCGCGAAATGACGCTCGCAATCGATTGCACATACTTCTAAACTGCTCCAGAAACTTTCCTTCCGTTCCAACAATCAATAACCGTGAAACTGATGATATATATATATATACACATACACACAGACACACACACATTGTCCTTTTTAACCACTTTTTCTCGTGATTTTGTCACGTTGGCCTGATTGTCAGAACAAGAGAAAAGTTTCCCGAGCAGCTTGGAAATGTGTTCAATCGAATGCGTTACTTTATGGATATATCTTTTTACTTCGACGTGATCCGTAGAAATTTTCAATATGAAGGCTTCAGCTAACTGCGTAGAAAATGGCTGACCGTGCGATTGTCTCTTGGCAACGATCAGTTTAGGATGAACGCAACGAACAACCGCTGCTTGCATATTTCTTTCATGCTTCTCTTTCATCTCTATCTGGTGCAACAAATAATTATTCACAATATGCTTTATATATTGCGTGGATCAAAATTCGCTTTTTTCAACCACTTTCTGTATATAATGAAAGAAACGTAATTACTTATATCACAACTTGTTATCTTCGATGGAAAAATGGAATTCAATAAATCATCCAATAAACCAGAGAGTTGGTTTATAAATAATACGACTCAGAACTTTTTACCTTTAAATTATTTACATTTTTGGAGAATTTACACATCTCTCAAACTTTATGTATATATATACAGATTTATGTACAATAGTGCAGTAATTTAACCTAGAAGCTTCTCAACGATATACCGTTGTCGTCACTCGCACGTGAGATTAAATATTTGACACGAATTATAATCACGAATACGTATAATAAATATTTGAAAAAGTTAACTTTTCAAATTTATTGTTCTCTCAGAGATCGTGCAGAATACAGAATAGAACGATCCTATTGAGTCGCGGCAGCGCTCGGCGCGGAGCTGGAGGCTTGCGCTTGTTCCTCGCGGATGCGATCCTTCTTGAGCTGTCCCATGAAGGAGGCCTTGTCCGCGGCGGTCTGGAAGCGACCGTGTCCGAACTTGGAGCTGGTGTCGATGAACTTCAGGTTGATCTTCTCCAAGGCGGACCTCTTGGTGTGCACCAGCAAGGACTGTATAAGACGTTTTCAAGTTATGTAACGTTGGTTGCTCGTGAACATTACAACATAGAATATATAAAATCAGGCCTATCATAATTATTATCATCGTAATCAATATATTATTTGGCTCTGTTGTAATCTCATCACAGAAACACAGCGACGTATGGAGAGAGTCGAGTTCTTATGTATTGTGCGTCTGTCCTTACCTTTCTCAGCGTAATCACGCGTTTCTTTGGACCCATGCAGCATCCTTTGATCATGATGAAGTCATTGTTCACTTCACCATAGTGCGGAAAACCGCCCATGGGCGTGATGGTCTTCTCGGTGAGATCGTACTCTGTTGAGGCGTTGTTCTTCACGATCTAGAAGAGATCATAACATGAAGAATAACAACGATGACGAACGTAACTTAGAAGACTTCGCGATATTTGACTTTGTAACTTGCTTTAGAGGCCTAAAAAGCCGGAGTTACACTTTTTTAGGTACTATGGACAAGTCAGTTTGATCTGCCTCTTTGTCGAGATTTCAAATCAACCTTCATGCGCATTCGGAAAGATTGAATTGGGGAAAGAGGCACGAGCAAGAGTCACTCGAATTTACAGCGACAACCAACCTTGCCGTCCTTGGTGTGGATGCCTTGGCCGATCCTGTAGATCTTCTTGTTCATCTCAGTACGGTGGTGATACCCTTTCTGACCAGCACGCGCGACAGTGAACGACACACGGCTCGGATGCCACGCACCGATACAAGCTACCTTACGCAGACCCTTGTGTGTTTTGCGAGGCAATTTCTTCGTGTGCCACCTGGAAGTCACACCTGCAAGAGCGGAAGAATATCAATTTTTTGAAACGAACAATTGCGCATGCTGGTGAACGGAAAGCAGATTAAACTTCATCTCAACACGTTAGTCTTCTCTGGTTAAGGACTTCAGTAGGAAGGCAGCATGATACTATCTTCAAGATAATCAGATAATTGCACGTCATGCTAGTTTCATCATACAGTCCTAAGTATAGTTTCCTAGAAGCATGCTTCTCTGTAGGGAGAGGGGGTAAAAGAGTGGTCGCAAGCGCAGTACCATGACAAAGGGGGGTCTCGAGCAGCACACACCAACATATGTAGAATGGGAAAACGTACCTTTGTAGCCTTTACCCTTGGTGACTCCGATCACGTCGATCATCTCGTCGCGAGCGAACACGCTGCTAACAGGCACAGGCTTTTCCAAGTGTTCACGAGCCCACTGCACCTTGTCCTCGATGGTGCCGCCGTTCAGCTGGACTTCCATGATGTGGGCTTTCTTCTGACGTTGTCTCAGCAGCTTCATCTGATGAATAACACGTGGATACAATTAAACTGTTTTACCACTTGAAGATATCTATTAATATAACTAAGTGTACCGTCCAATTACCTGAGTATGAGTGATAATGCGAACAACGCTGCAGTACTTTTTGATCTTCTTCAGATCCGCTTCGATGGACTTGCGACCGATGTCGTCCTGCCATTTCTTCGATGCTTTGGTGAACGCCTTCTTTTTGCTCTTGTACCTAAAGAAAATCAATCGCAGTGTCCATCTATATATCCTATCCCCTTTATTGCACCCTGTAACGTGCCAGTCTCATCGTAATGAGCGAAGACTGAACACTTCTTGGACCAGCCATATTAAAACTCAAGGCTTTAATGGCCACATCCAAATGAAAACTCTCATCGTGCAAGCGGAGAGCTAAAGTAATATTGATTTTAGTATCAGGTGTATAAGAATAGCATAATTCTAATGTAAAAATAAACCTGTAATGTGTGTATCGATCCATTCTATTTTATAAATTTACATTGTAAATTCATATAACTATTTCTCAACTAACCAGTTCTTGTAGAAACGTCTGCGGCAATCCTCTGACAAATGTTCCGCCCAGACAGTAGAAAGCGCTCTAAGTCCATGTGGAGTTTCAATGTATCCAACGATGCCAACCACAATCATTGGTGGTGTTTCAAGGATAGTAACTGCCTCCACAATTTCCTTTTTATTTATCTCTAAAATGCAAATAAGCAATAATTATGAAAGCAGCTTGTACGAAACTTGAATGATGAAACAGTGAGTAATGCACTGAATCTTAATGATGCACAATTGGGGGGAATTGTACTAGGTATGGCTTGTCTCAGTGGTCACTGCCCAATGGACTACAACGAGTTTATGGAATATACCTTGCTTTCATGCAATCTGTGTAACACAGAGCACGATGTTGCTTTTCGATGTGGCAGTTGAGAACATACTGCATTGAGGGCAGCTTTCTTACTGCAATCCAGGAGGATCAACACACTAATGCATTGATCAACCCCTGGATATACACTTCGCAAGTTCATGCATCATTAATGAATTGTAATAGAAAATTTTGAAGAAAATTCTAATTAAATCTCACAAAATATCTCGTTCGAGTCGCTATATCATTTACTGATGTTTTTTTTATCAAACAATCAATAATATAATTACTCACTTGACCCTTGACGATCAGCTTCCCTCACGATGTGCGTCATACCAGCTTTATAACCAATAAAAGCAGTTAAGTGCACTGGTTTGCTAGGATCGTCTTTGGGGAAAGCCTTTACTTTTCCCCGGTGTCTTTGGGATCTCTTTTTCGGGTAGAATCCCATCGACCCATGTCGAGGGGCGCTAAATTTCCTGTGCGACTGTACCGTAACAAAAGGAATATTAGCCACGTGGCAAAAGTGTATCTCGATAGTTTCTTTCAACAAAAAAAAATCAGACCGCCCTAGAATAATATCTTCACGGTTATTCAGTTTATAACCATAAACTTTTATTGATCTAAATCATCATGTTCGTAATATATTTAACGCAGAATCGTAAAATGGCGTACGAACGAACGGCCATTAGTCACCACGTGAACGAATGATGTAAAATCGTTTCCTTATTCACAAATAAAATATCGGTACTGACCGCCTTAGAATATCTTCGCGGTTATTCAGTCGAAAACTATAAACTTTTATCAATCTAAATCATGTTCATATGTTTATTGTAAAATCGTAAAGTATGAGCGGCCATTGGAGTCACCACGTGAATGAATGTAAAATCATTTCTTTACTCACAAATAAAATATCGATATTGACCGCCCTAGAATATCTTCACGGTTATTCAGTTGAAAATTATAAATTTTTATCAATCTAAATCATCATGTTTATATGTTTATTGTAAAATCGTAAAGTATGAGCGGCCATTAGTTACCACGTGAATTAATGTAAAATCGTCTCCTTATTCGTAAATAAAATATCGGCACTGATTAAGGCTTCAACGGATAATATTAGTTTAAATATATAAAAAGAAATATCAAAGATCTTAATTATACCGAGACAAAATGCGATGCCAAGAAATGCCGTAGATATTAACGGATTACAAAACAAGAACCATAAGATCACTCACCATTACGCTGTTTCGAAGAAAATGGAGGGCACGATGCTGAGAGGCCTTCCTTATATACCCACTTGGCATGAACTATCGAGATTTAAGATTTCTAGACCTAGTTTATGTTGATCGTTTAAGGCTAATATTACATGCATCGTACAGTAAGTTTGTCGGACATTTCGATTGGCTGTTAAATAAAGAATTTCTAGGGTGCTTAGAAATTCAGCCAATCGGAATGTCCGACAAATTTATCGTACGACGTGTGTAATGGCTGCATTTCGAGATCTATTGGCAGCACTGAAAATTTATAATATACGTGACACAAACTATGTTATTTTCAATAGTAGTGAATTTCGGAACGCAGCTTCGACTCCCACACTAAGCAAAGCATTCGACATACGACGTCCGACATCCAATGAAAGAACAGCTTTCCGATGGAGGATTTAATTTTCCATCGAAAAAATGTTCTCTCATTGGATAAAGAATATCATATGTACCTTGCCAGGTGTGAATCTTTCATTAGTCTATGACTGCGTTCCGTTTCACGCATTATGCGCGCATTTTCTACAGTATACGTAACATGAACTATATATAAATGCGCGCATATGCATGAAACGGAACGCGGCCTAAGATTTTATTTGTCGTGCAATGAATTTGTTGAATGTTTTGATTGGCTGTCGGATAAACGATTTCTAGAGTACTCTAAAAAAATATTATATATAAGGACGTTAAAATATTCTATCGAACAGCTAATTGATATAGCCGATGATACTTATCGTACGACAAATGAAAAATTAGCCTAATACAAGTGTCAACTAAAAATTTTTTATTAACTTATTTTAATTTCGGTAATTTCGATAATGTATAAATAATAATAGTCGTTTTCTAATAAGACATATAGTCTTCTAGTTGGCTGCATAATATTTATAGATAATCATAAGATAATACTTAGCGAATGAGACAACTTTGTCTTTTTCTGAAAAACAATCAGTATATCTAATTAAAGCCAACGGCATACGGTGCTTGTTTCGAGCTGGTCTAGTTTTAGTCTAGTGAGATCCAATAATACTCTAGAAATAGGTCAATTAGTGGTCTGTTCTTTTTAGCTGCACTGCGGAACTAGTGCAATAAGTTAAAATGAGACAACTATATTTTTTCTCACTTTAACTTATTGCACCACTTCAGTAGTGCAGCTAAAAAGAACAGACCACAGAATGAAGCGTTTCTAGTATATTGGATCTCACTAAATTTAGCATTAAATAAATACTATAGGTCTGTTTCGAAATCGGTTTCGGAAAATTTGGTTTTAGTTATACGGTTGGTAGGCCTTAAGGCCTTAAACTAACTTAGATATGTTTCGTAATTGATAATTCAATCAATTATATAGATAATGACCGCGTTTAGAAAAAGCTGTGTATTAAGCGCTTAATGATTATTATTATTTATGATTGGAGTATTTTTTAAATCTTTAATGGATCTAGGAGAACAAACCAATCAGAAGCGAGAACCACTAAGCGCTTAAAGCCATCACACACCTTTTGGTAAGGCGTAAGGCCCCTTGCACAATGCCAAGCAACAGGCAATAAGAATAAAAATAGACCAATCACAATCGACTATTACAAGAATAATCTATTGTGATTGGACTATTTTTATTCTTATTGCCTGTTGCCTGGGATTGTGTAAGGGGCTTAACAATTTCAATCAATCGCATTGCTCATTTCAAATGATTACGGTTATGGATGGCCGAATCAAGCAATGTACTTGATCGAAACTTTATTGTTATGAAACGTGTGTGTGATGGTTTTTAGTAAGCAGCTTTTCTGCTTTGAATGCGGTCATTAAGTATATATAATAAAAGATCTATCCATTTTTCTAATATTACAAAATTATAATAGTTAAAATGAAGTTAATAAACAGAAATAGTACATGATTGTAAACGTTTAAACTTAATCAGCTAGTCAATTATGTACCTGAGTCAGTTTAAAACCTACTAATCTTATAATTAAAATCAAAATTTCCGAAACTGATTTCGGAAAATCTTTAGAATCTTTTTAACGTTTTAAAGCTCTTGACTGTACTAGTCACGGATATTTTGATTGATGGTGTCTAATGAGAGAAAATGCACATTCAAAATTTCTGCAAGATAAAATGCAATGGAAAAATAGATTCATAAAATAACATTTGTAATCAATCGATTGATTTGAGCAGATCTTTAAAATGGCGCGAACATTTTGCCTTAACAACCAATAAACAATTATAAAGTTAACGCGATAAAATCATGGGAAAAGATATGTTGAAAAGATGTTAAAAAGAAGTTTTATACATCTATTTATTGAAAAATATTTTGCATTATTTCATATCTGTTAGAATCTGTTGGAATAAGGAGTTTTTTGTACTTTCCCTTATCCTTACAACAGATGCTGATATAATAAATTAAACTTTAATGTTAACTTTGTACATAATGTCCATAATTTTTTTTATAATATTTTCTATGTATCTTCCGTGAGAGACACAACGACATCATAATTATTGTAACGTAAATACATTACTGAAATCTGCAATGTTTGCATTATCGTTAGATATTTCTCAGTAATTTAAACATTAAATTATAATTGAATAATATTGATTATAATAAATTATCATTAAGATTGAATTATCTGTCACGCTTTATCTGTTATAATTTTATTCATAATTCATCTATATAGTACAGTTTATAATATTGAATATACATTCAAGCAAATTAACGTATATGAAAAAGTAATCGCAATAGTTTATTACACACTTATGAAAAAGAACCTTCAATTTTAAGTGTTAACACTAAAAAAGCGCTTAACTTTGGGTGTTAAACACCGATAAAAAAATACTCAACTTTGAGTATTATACATCGAATAAACGCTCAATTTTGGGTGTTATACACCGAAAAAACACTCAAAGTGAATATGATTTCGGATTGTCAATTGAAGGTTACACTCAAATGAGGGTTAACGCTCAACGAAAACTCTCAAAATAACACCCAAATAAAACCCTGAAAAGGAAACCCTGGAATTAAATGCACCCAAATTTTGTAATACACACAAATGAAAGCATATGTTCGTGAAATCTTTGTTTATTTGTTGTTTTCACTTAAGAACTTAAAAAAAACCATTGATCGAATAAATAAATAGGCTAAATATACTTTTATTTAATTGTATCATATCCATTTTGATGGTGTTTGTTTTCAGTATAATTGTAGAGTTAACCATTAAATGTAATACTTGAATGAGGATATATACCGGGTGTTTCAGATCACCCGATCCCGAGTCACCGGATTTTTTCGTTAACGCGACATTTTGGAGAAAAATATTTCAGACAAGTTGTAGGGCTTCAAAGGCTATTTACTGACGCTGTGAATTTGACCTTGGGATAACCTTGAAAAGCCCAGTCAATATCAATATAAAAATCTTAAATGGGTACCCCAATTTTTTATTACATCATCTATTTCTAGCAATTAATTTGAACACTTTTGTCTGAAACTTTTTTCATTTACCTAATATGTTTTGAGATATTTAAGGAAAACTTGATAACTTTTTCAATATTTAACTCACGATATATCTCGCTATTTGTCAGGAAAAAAAATGGTACTAGACTTTTTTGCTCCATTTAATCTCAAGAATATATTGTTCCAATAGCGCCCTGACTTTTGTTAACTTGCTGAAATTTCAAAATTATCAAATTAACCAAATTCAGTGTACTATTGTAACAATACATTCTTGAGACTAAATAGAGCAAAAAAGTCTAGTACTACTTTTTCTTCTGATAAACAGTTAGCGAGATATCGTGAGTTAAATATTGAAGAAATACCAAGTTTTCCTTAAATATTTCAAAAAATATTAGGTAAATAAAAAAATATTTTAGACAAAAGTTGTTCAAATTAATTGTTAAAAAAAGATGATGTAATAAACAATTGGGATATCCGTTTAAGATTTTTATATTGATCTTGACTGGACTTTTCAAGATTATTCCAAGGTCAAATTCATAACGTCAGTAAATAGATCCTTTGAAGTCCTACAATTTTTGTCTGAAATATTTTTCTCTAAAATGTCGCGTTAACGAGAAAATCGGATGACCCGAGTAGTCTGAAACACTCGGTATACACATCCATTGTGCAAATAGTAAACATTAGGTATTAAATATATATGTTTAATGTCCTACTCAAAAACTACGACATTAAACATATATGTTATGTATTTAATACCTAACGTTTTTACTATTTGCATAGTGAGTATATATATATCTTTATTCGAGTATTACACCCAGTTGGTGTTATTGTTGGAACACCATCAAAATGAATGTGCAACAGTCAAATGAAAGTATATTTAGCCTATTTAGTTATTCAATTAATACCTCATTTACAAGTTATTAAATGAGAATACAATGAATAAGCAAGGGTTTCACGAAAACATACTTTCATTTGTATATATTGTCGTCCACTGCAAACTTGAAATATTCTGAAAAATGAAGAATAAAAGACCAATTACTCAACATTATATTTTATTCAAAATATAGGTTTCTTAACTACTGGCACGCGCGCACTATTGCACCATTGATGCTCTAACTGACACACATTATTAAATATCTACATCAAACTAACACCGAATATTAATGGTCGTATTTAACCCGACGACACCCAATACTGATGCCCAATGCTTAACCATTCAATATTCAGTGTCTACACTAATAATATACCGAATATTGATGGTTACACCCAACCGACATCCAATATTGTGTGTCTACACTAAGATAATAACGAATATTAATGGTCAAACCCAATTGACACTCAATATTGAGAATCTACGTCAAAGTTACATCGAAAATTTAATAGTCATACTCAACCGACACTTAACATTGATGCTCAACATTCAACTAACACCGAATGTTGACGATTAACACTCAACTATCATGGTAAACACCCAAATTTCAGTGTTTACACCCAAAATTGAGGGTTTTTTTTTCATAAGGGCATATAGCATAAAAATATGTTTATTAGAATAATGATGTTAATTGAGGAAAAAGTAACTTACCGCGATAATTGAA